CTGATTTTGCCCAATTTCGCTAAAAATCCAAGGTTCACCCCTTTCAATTGAGATTTTTCATAAACATCCAACTTTGCCAAATTTCACTAAAAAAGCAAGGATAATCCCTTACATCTGAAATTTTCCAGAAACATCTGATTTTGCCCAATTTTGCTAAAATGCAAGGTTAACCCCTTACAATTTGAAATTTTCCATGAACATCTGATTTTGCCCTATTTTGCTAAAAAAAGTGCAATCTTAACCCCTTACAATTTGAAATTTTTCATAAACACCTAATTTTTACCAAATTTTACTTAAGAAAAAAGTAAGGTTAATTCCTTACATCGGATCTTTTTTCAAAAACATCTGATTTTGCCCAATTTTGCTAATATATGCAAGGTTCACCCCTTACAATTTGAGATTTTACATAAATATCTCATTTTGCCCAATTTTGCTTAAAATGCAAGGTTAACCCCTTTCAAACTACAATTTTCCAGAAACATCTGATTTTGCCCTAATTGGGCAAAGGTTAACCTCTTACAATTTTTGATTTTTCATATAAATCTGATTTTCCCAATTTCGCTAAAAATCCAAGGTGCACCCCTTTCAATTGAGATTTTTCATAAACATCCAACTTTGCCAAATTTCACTAAAAAAGCAAGGATAATCCCTTACATCTGAAATTGTCCAGAAAGATCTGATTTTGCCCAATTTTGCTAAAATGCAAGGTTAACCCCTTACAATTTGAAATTTTCCATGAACATCTGATTTTGCCCTATTTTGCTAAAAAAAGTGCAATCTTAACCCTTTACAATCTGAAATTTTTCATTAACACCTAGTTTTGCCGTATTTTGCTAACAAATGCAAGGTTAACCCCTAACAATTTAAAAATTTTCATGCACATTAAAATTTGCCCAATTTTACTAAAAAAGCAAAATTAACCCCCTTACATCTGAAATTTTTCAGAAACATCTGATTTTGCCAAATTTTGCTAAAAATGCAAGGTTAACCCCTTTTAATCTTCAATTTTCCAGAAACATCTGATTTTGCCCTAATTGGGCAAAGGTTAACCTCTTACAATTTTTGATTTTTCATATAAATCTGATTTTCCCAATTTGGCTAAAGATGCAAGGTTAACCCCTTACAATCTAACATTTTTCATAAACACCTGATTTTGCCCTATTTTGCTAAAAAAATGCAAGGTTGACCCCTTACAATTTGAGATTTTTCATAAACATTTAAATTTGCCCAATTTTACTACAAAAAGCAAGGTTAACCCCTTCAATTTGAAATTCTTCATTCACATCTTATTTTGCCAAAAATCACTAAAAAAGCAAGGTTAACCCCTTACAATCTGAAATTGTCCAGAAAGATCTGATTTTGCCCAATTTTGCTAAAATGCAAGGTTAACCCCTTACAATTTGAAATTTTCCATGAACATCTGATTTTGCCCTATTTTGCTAAAAAAAGTGCAATCTTAACCCTTTACAATCTGAAATTTTTCATTAACACCTAGTTTTGCCGTATTTTGCTAACAAATGCAAGGTTAACCCCTAACAATTTAAAAATTTTCATGCACATTAAAATTTGCCCAATTTTACTAAAAAAGCAAAATTAACCCCCTTACATCTGAAATTTTTCAGAAACATCTGATTTTGCCAAATTTTGCTAAAAATGCAAGGTTAACCCCTTTTAATCTTCAATTTTCCAGAAACATCTGATTTTGCCCTAATTGGGCAAAGGTTAACCTCTTACAATTTTTGATTTTTCATATAAATCTGATTTTCCCAATTTTGCTAAAGATGCAAGGTTAACCCCTTACAATCTAACATTTTTCATAAACACCTGATTTTGCCCTATTTTGCTAAAAAAATGCAAGGTTGACCCCTTACAATTTGAGATTTTTCATAAACATTTAAATTTGCCCAATTTTACTACAAAAAGCAAGGTTAACCCCTTCAATTTGAAATTCTTCATTCACATCTTATTTTGCCAAAAATCACTAAAAAAGCAAGGTTAACCCCTTACAATCTGAAATTGTCCAGAAAGATCTGATTTTGCCCAATTTCGCTAAAATACAAGGTTCACCTCTTACAATTTGAGATTTTTCATATAAATCATATATTGCCCAGTTATGCTAAACATGCCAAGCTAACCCCTTACAATCTTCAATTTTCAACAAACATCTGATTTTTCCCAATTTCGCTTAAAAAAATCAAGGTTAACCCCTTTCAATCTGGAATTTTCCAGAAACATCTGATTTTGCCCTAATTTGGCAAGGCTAACCTCTTACAATTTTTGATTTTTCATACAAATCTGATTATGCCCAATTTTGCTAAAAATGCAAAGTTAACCCCTTACAATCTGAAATTTTCCATAAACACCTGATTTTGCCCTATTTTGCTAAAAAATGCAAGGCTAACCACTGACAATTTGAAATTTTTTTTATAAACATTTAAATTTTCCCAATTTTACTAAAAAAGAAAGGTTAACCCCTTACAATCTGAAATTTTCCAGAAAGATCTGATTTTGCCCAATTTCGATAAAAAATGCAAGGTTCACCCCTTACTATTTGAAATGTTTCATAAACATCTAAATTTTACTAAAAATGAATGGTTAAGCCCTTACAAGCTGCAATTTTCCAGAAACATCTGATTTTTCCCAATTTTGCTAAAATGTAAGGCTAACTCCTTGCAAACTGTTAAATCAATACATGAAGTGTCCCATTTGACTTTTTTAAAACAAATTATTTTTCCAGTTTTTAGGGTAAAGGAATTTTGTCTTTTTCCTTTCTCTTTTGTTGTTGCTATATTTTGCGAATTAACTCATTCGTATGGAATGCTCATAGTCAATCAAAGAATATTTCACACATAGGGGCCTAAATTATATATTTTTAAATTTAATAGAGACGCATTGATCGTGCTATCATATACCATTCTAATACCATTGCGAATTACTGTATTGTTTGGAATGCTCACGATTAAAGACACGTTATTTGAAAGATGTATAAATAATATTTATATTACAATGTACATCTTTATTCTTTCAGGTATAATTTATGGCGTTTCTTACGTCAATTGGCAATTTCGTCATTATATAATGATAGTCAAATTGATCAAACGAAACTCCGTTTTGATTATAGTCAATTATGAAATAGTCATTGATTTATGACATGCAGCTTTGTTTCAATTTTGATACTACCCGTAGACCTACCGAGCAGCTGTAGATATCAAACTAAACCAAAATATAAAAGATAGAGGGTAAAAAAATCAAAAAGTTATGTGCTAGTCAAGCTTTCAGGGATCGGTCTGAGCCATAACAATGCCCCAGCCGATCCCTTAGTTCTCTTCCGGGGTCTCGGCGTCCCCGACCAATACACACTTCCTTCCCTATCCATCCATATAACCCCGAAGGGCCAGGCACCATGTAAAAGCAAAGAGCTAAGGGAGGAACAGGGCGGCCCCTAAGCCCTGATCCTCCGAGTGGACCACATGCCCTGAACCTGTACGAAGGCGCCAACCTGGAACTCGCGGACAGTACCAGCAGCAGTGCTTACCGATTAAGCTAAGGTACTGTTGGTACTTTACGACGGGAAATTAAATCTCTTATAGTAAATGATTGAACTCATACGTTAAAAACCAAAAAGACACCAGCGGGATTCGAACCCGGGACCCCGCTAACTGTGGACGACGAATCGTAACCACTCGGCCATTTCGTTACCTTAGAATTGTCCTTAAACTGAGAAAAGTTGTCTTTATAGGTGAGCAAACGCGCCAGGAAGATTACTGGGTCCATTTGCTTTACCTTAATGGGTAAAAACAAGTCGATATAATGAGCCCAGTGTGTTTGGTTTGTTAGGAAGCTGCATAACACAGCCTAATGTGCAAAACAGTCGTGTGCTAGGCGGATCATTACGCAACAATGAACAACGCAATTGTGTATTTTCAATTGTGTCCGATGTCTCCCTAAGGTATAATTAATGACGACAAAATGTCTCCCAACGGTAGCATTAACAGGTATTCTTTTACATTCAGTTATGTGGTGTTGCACCGACCTTGTATGGACGTCTCCGTCTAAAATGATAAATAATCAGTGTGTGATAAAAAATGATAGACCTATATAAACGGGCATATTAACTTTGCACATCATAGTTTATGATCCATCTCGTTTTCCCCTTACCTCCTCCTCTCCAGTAGCGTATCCTGCTTTGGATGTCAGGGGGGCAACCGCACATCCGCGCCGAAATGTAGACATATTTTTTTCTCCGAACACTTGGCCTCCGTAAAATCAAAAAACGGGGGGGGGGGGGGGGGGGGGGGGGGGGGGGGGGGGGGGGGGGGGGGGGGGGGGGGGGTCGGGCTCGTACCCAGATGGGGGCGATCTTCAAAACTGACCATTATTATGCATACTGCAAATTACTTTCACGGCGCATTGTGATGATTTTAGCAGGTTTCTTTTGGGGATTGATGTCGGAACTCTCTAACCATTTATTACAATAATTGCTGAACAAATTTTGTTTGTGACAAATACCTGCCGGGGGGAGCAGAGTGCCTCTGCCTCCCCCGCCCACCCCACTGCCCCTCTCGTTTACCCCTCCGACGAGCCCCTCCCTGCTGGACCACGTCAATGATCACCTTGTTTAATAAGACAACATTCCAAGCTTTAGGTGCGGTCTGAAGGGGGCGTGGCAGGTACACATCTGTACATGATTTTATCATGTCTCGCGTTGTAATTGAAAGCTGTGATTAGTAATCAATGTGTGTGAGGAAAGTTTGCTTATTAATGGAACATATAACCATGGGCTTTATCTAGTTTCCCCTCAATGTTAAAGAAAAACATAAATCACAATTTTAGGTGAAACGTCACAAGGGCTTTCCAGTTTGGTTGGTACTCATGAACTTCCTGACCCCTTTGAACGGTTAACACACAGATTGGTTCCCTGCATGCTACCCCAACCCTTATAGACAGGTAATTTCGAGCAAAGACAAATCTACATTGCGCGCTAGGGGATTCGGGGTACCAGTCCACCTATATGTGCAATGTAATTTCACACACTCACGGGGCCGGGAGAGATGTCATGACGAGTCGAGTGAATGTGCGACGTGTGTAGTGTTAAGCCGCGGCCGAATTGCGTGGATGTTTCCGTGAAAAAGGTGGTTTCCAAAATTGACGTCCTTCCAAAGTCTGCGATAATCATTTTGGTCTGTCATCGAAGCTGAAGAAACCCACCTTCTGCAAGCTGTTCAACATCCCAAAAGGTAACCGGAGCAAGATGGAGAATCCGTGCAGCATATTCGTCGGCTCGCTTTCACTCAACACAACGACAGAAACGCTGGAGGATTATTTCAGTCACTTCGGCCCCATCGAATCGGCCGTGGTCCTGCAGGACCAGGTATCGCACACCAGCCGGGGTTTCGGCTTCGTCAATTTCAAAAGCCCCGAGTCCAGAACGAACGCTCTGCAGATGAAGTCTTCCCACTTTATCGACGGCAAGAAGGTGGAATGCAAAGCCGCGATCCGCAAGGGAGAACAGCAGAGGATGGACCAGACAGGAGGGCGACAAGGGGGCGGGGCAAGGCTTGACCAGCCCGTGTACGACAACCAGAGGAAGGTGTTCGTCGGAGGCATATCCAACGGTACCTCAGACGATGATATCAAAATGGCTCTCAGTAGATTTGGGAGTGTGGAAACTGTCGAACAGAAATTTGACAAAGTTTCACAGCGGATGAGGGGTTTTGGATTTGTGGAGTTCAGCAGTGCCAAAGAAGCAATGGATGCTGTGCACTCTCAGTTTGTACAAATCAACGGCAAGACGGTAATTTTTGACATGTGACAAAAGCCTAAATGAACTTATTTATTCTGATTAGAACAGTTAAAAGTAGCAATAGCATGATAATCATTTCAAACATGTACCATACAAATATGAGCTCTTATCATCATGATCTTTATTTGAAACAAATGCATTTAGTTGAACATTGAATTAAAACTAAAAGTCATATTTTGTCGGATTATAAAACTGTGTGAGTTTTGAAACCTTGACATTGTACTTGTAGTCCCACCAAAATTCAGCTATACTAGTCCTTATGTGGATTTGGCATCCAAAAATTCCAAGTTTTCAATGTCATAAAAAAGGGAGAATCTTTGGCATGTTTTTTTGATGATTTTTGTTTGTGCATTTCTGTGCATGTTTCGCAGTTGATGCAATTTTTGTTTGCTCCGTCTCTTTCTCAGGTGGAAATAAAGATAGCCGAAAACAGGCAAGCTGTGCCATACGGACTGTCCGCAGGTGGTGGCTTTGGTGCAAGTTCATTCGGGAACAACATGGGCATGTACGGCCCACCGATAGGCTACGGGAGTTTCACACCGTACACCGCCAACACCAGCAGCGGCTACGCGGGCGGTGGTGCCGCCGCCGGCTATGTGAGCAGCAATCCTGGCTTTGGTGGCAACCCCGGCTACGGGAATAACAGCCAGTACCAAAGTTACACCAGTAAGGATGGCGGGAACCCATATGGCCAAGGCACTATGTACGGCTCTGGCTTTGGAGGGGGGTCGGGCTCCAATCACGGTGGGGCTACGGGCTCCGGCTATAGCGGATACGGCAGAGGTGGATACCATCATTATGGCCAGTAACTATTGATTGAGAGAAGGGAAACAATGTGACATTCGGTATTTGGTGGCGTCGCGTGTACATTTATAGAAGTTTTGTCGGGGACATGTATGCCGATGATACATGTACGTGGTAGTTGCCTTTTTTGGTAAAAAATTTAAAGTGCATGTGATCGGTGCGTTCATTACAAATGAATGGGCCGATGGAGAAATTGTGTACAGTTTTATGTACGTGTACATAATCCTGACCCGACTCCATGCTCTCTAGCGTCATGTCTGTGGCTTACACGCTGCATTATGAGAGGTGTCTGAAATTTATAGATGAATGGAGCAAACTTGTGGCACATGATTTCTTTAGGACAACTGAAAAATCAGGTTCTAAGTTATCCGTGCCCATATGTTTGTACATGTAAATAGCTCTTGGAGAGACCAGTGGTTGTTTTGTGTTTGGGTCGTGGTAAAGGGAAATTATTGTGAGGAAAATGAGCCATAATTTGCTCATACACAGCATGAGGGAAAATTTATATTGTTTTCGCTTGAACGCAGGTAGCATTTAAATACTAACCAGGAATGGCAGCTGCTTGGTAGTTTTTGCGAGCGCTTTCACTAACCTAAAAATTCTACAATACAAGCTGGCCAATGCAGTTCACCCACTCCCTGTGGTTGAGTTGGTATTAATTTCTCCCTTGGCCTACTACAACCTGTCACAAAGGTTCCAACTGTAGGGTGCTTGCCAAGCACTCGGAGTAACAGACTCCCCCCCCCCCCCCCCTACTGATTGGCCATTATCGCATGCAGTTTGTGCTAAAATCATCACTTGAATACTGTACATACCAGTATGTACACGTACCGATACCCGAAACAGTAAAATGCAAAAATTTGGCATAAACTCAGGCATGCAACTTTTCCTCGGATCCGCTGATTTCCTCATTTTTGACTTCTCATGAATGCCATTACAAATTGAAAAATACTGTACAAAGTCTTGTGTAGTTTGGAGTTTCCTTGTTTTTTTTCTCTAAATTCCCAGTTGCATGCCTGTAAACTCTGGCCTGTTTCATTACAGTGCAAAGTTTACTTGTTGAAGGTATGATGATTCCTTTTTGCGCTAATGATTTGTCAATGATTGTCTAATTTCCTTGGAAACTGAATTAAGGCTGAAGTGAAAATGTTCAACACAGCCTCAAGGCTGTCTTGTTTCATGTAAAAACTTCTATACATGAGAGAACGAGTGTTGTCAAACATAGTTACAGTTTATACTGCAAGGCTTTGAGATGCTCTTTCTGCTGACTTGTGCCCAGAGATTGAAAAAACTGGGGAAAACCCAAAACAGTAACCTCTTATCACATTGATCCTTCGCTGACAGGTTATCTAGGTTTTAGAGTTCTGAAACGTAAATCAAAACACTGTTTATCAGTCCACATGTACTCTCAAAAGTCTTGGTTGCCGGTGTCGTACTTGAGAGTGCCAAGATGGTTTGTTTTTTTCTGACAAAAATCTGACTCCCAGAATACTCGGCATCGGGATTGAGACTTCGGAATACAGTGGTAGTCTGTACAGTGAGTGCTTCAGAGTAGTCTTTAGGACTTGTAAATATGACTGAATTTTGAAAAGTGAATGAAAGAAGGCCTTTGGTATTCTCTGGAATAGTCATGACATCACTCAGAGGTCACCTCTGTGCAACTTGAACCATGATTGGTTCACGTGCACATGCACCGGCCAAGTGAACACCGTGGATTCGCTGTGGCTGTTGTGAATCCGTTTCATAATTGGCTTGATTCTCCTCTTTGAAGCGAAAATGAGCACAGCTGTGGTTGTACCTGGTGTGGTGACAATCTGCTGAAAGGCAGTGGACCATTTTCAGGTACCATTTTGTTAGAATGTTCTATAAAAGTAGGATGTAAAATTGCTGTATGTGATGGTGTGTTAAACTTACGTGAAACTTGTCTTTATGGCATGCTCGTGAACTGTTGTCAAGGATATTTACCAAGAGGCCACGACAATGGTTTTGTTTATTTGAGGGGCACACGTGTGCACATGTATAGTCACTCTTAGGTCAAGTTCAATGCAAACGACTCTTTACTCAAACTATAAATCACTAGGTAATGGTCGATGACCTTTCATTTGCTCCATGCCTGTGTCTTCGCCATCATGCATGAAGTTGAGGTCCTTCTTTGAAAATCTCTTGGCTTATGGTTGTGTTCCTGGTTCCACGAGAATTCCTACTCTTTGCTTGAACAAGTAAAATTTGCAGAATGCTAACTCACTTTTTTGAAGCAAGTTCTGTATTGCTTAAATAGGGAGCTAAAGGACTGTACTGGACTCGATAGACAGAAGTACCATGGCTGATGGACATTTAAATGTTCATTTCAATTTTATTTATTTATTTTTCCAAGGACAACTTCTGTCTTTTTTTTTGGTATTCAACAACATGGGTTTTGTGCATAAGATCTTGTGTTTGCAGAGCAATGTTGCATGGTTTTACATGTATGTGCTAAGTATATATCGGCCTGGAACTACCACCCTGGCCAAATCTCGCTGGGCCCCCAATCCCCTGGCCCCCGCTCAATGTTGTCTCTCATTGGGCGGTGTGTTCTCTATCAGCTGGAGAGACCAACATTGAGCGGGGGAGCGGGTGACCGTGGGAGGCTTATGTAATCTCCAACCCTCCCAACCATTTTGGCCGGGATTGTAGTTGCAAGCAAATACAAACAAAGGACTGACATTTTGGCTTGGAACCTAGTCTAGGTGCGAGATGTTCTTAGAGGGTAATTCACGATAGACAGTACAGCCTTTGTACCGCACGCAGCAACATGCACGTTCCCGGTCCCATAGGGCCATCCACGAACCTGACTCGGTCGACGAACCGCTAGCAAAGAGCATTTGCGGCGTGTTGGCTCGTGTATAAAGGGCACACGCTTTGGTGAACCACTGCTTAGCCCAATGACCAATGCGCGCTGAAAGATTGCACCACTAAGGATGTCTTGGAAAAAAGACGACATGGAGCTCCAGTTCTGTGGCTATATGTAGCCAATTTGTGCGCATAGCAAATGAAAACATCACCAAGACAGGGTGATATGTGCAAACTGGGGCCTGTTCATGCAGTTGCCGCTAGGTGTTGAAGAGTGTTGATACAGATTTGTTTAAATTGAAGTAAATGTGGGCCACGATCCAAAAACACGTACGTTGTACAAGCGCGGCACTTGTGGTCTTTAACCAGAAAAAAGTGTCTTAGTGTAGCCATGTAGAAAAGTGTTGTTATATTGTACCAGCATGTTAAGCATGTCTGTTTGTACAATCAATCTGCTAGTTTCACCATTAGAAGGGCTTGAATTAAAAGCTGGCATTCTTCTCGGTAAAAAAAATATTCTTTAATTTCGCAATAACAATAAGAGCGTCGCACATGTACATAAAATAAGTTCCGGATTTGATAAGTTCTGCAAGAGAGCAGGCTCAAGCGCTGAAAACAAAAATTCAAAATCTTGCCAAAATTGCGCACCAGTGAATCCTCTTTCGCTCGTTCCTCCTGTGTACGGTGCTTCGGTGAATAAAGCCAATGTTATTTTTTTGAGAAAAATTCATATTATACCGTGACAAAGCCAGTTGCAGCTACACTTAATAGACTTCCCCGTGCAATTTTTCATCGCCTGCATGATGCTTGCAAGCTTTTAGTATGTATTGTGTGGGTTGCCAAAAATGTACATATTACGGTATTTTCATACTTTTTTTTTTGTGTAGCTTTTACGCTGGCCTAATATTATCCTCGTATTGTTTGTGGTTATAACTTTTTTTTTCCTGAGAAAAACAGACTATGGAACTGTCTCGAAGGTTTGTGTACAGCAGAGAACGCTTGTACATGTATGCAGTTATCTATTTGTAACCTATTTGTACATACATGTATTCAATCGTTTTCCGGAGGCTTTTGTTCCAATTATATTGTTTTCTTGAACACAAGTTACTTGTTTATTTATGTAAATACATCGTAACTTCAAACGGAACTGCACGTGTGACACAGTTTGTTGCACATGGGCCAATCTTAATAAGGAAAAGGGGTCGATAGAACATATTATTTTTTAATTTTCTGTAGTTGGTTGTGTGACATGATGTGAAGAAATACAATGTACACGTTTGCGTTTGTGTTAAAAATGACACAAATATTACTAATCTTTTAATGCTTTTCATGTAATGCTAATATTTTTAAATAGTTTTTTTTTGGTAGCTTACATAACTTCACCATTTTCCACAAGTGCTTAAAAAACACTGGAAACAAAAAAAAAGTGTGTAGGGTGTGTTTTTACTTTCTTTAAGTTTCTGCCATTTTTCCATCAACCCCGTGTAAAATTCAATTGTCATAGGTCTTGGGGAAAAAAAACAGTTAAGAATGCTACCAAAGGGAGGCTATACCTTTAGAGTGGACCCTTTTTTAAGTCAAAATATTTCCAAGTTGTCAGCAGACTTGATGGAAATTGAACCATGTGACAAAATGTTTTCATGGGAAAAGGTGTATCTTGCAATTTGATGCAGTATATAAATTAACAAGCTTTGTATTGTTTAACCCTTAGTTTAGATGATAGTAAAACTATCACTGTATTTCTTATCACTTAGATGTGGGTCTGTAAGGGCCCATCTTGAATCAAATCCGGGACGAGTTCCGAACAAGTTGCGGGTAGAATCATTCACTTTGTCCGGAAGAAGCTCTGCATTTGTCCCGGACATGTTCCGGGGAAACTTTCATCAGCAACTGCTTGACTCACCAATGCTGATAACTTCATTGCGGGAAGATTGCAGGGAAGTTGTTCAGAATCCTGCAACTTGTACCCGATGCAATATCTGTGACTTGTCCAGAACTCGTGCTGGATATGAATTGAGATGAGCCCCAAGAGATAGATAGCTGCTTTAAGAAAACTTGACACATTTTTAAAGGATTTTTAGTTACTTGCCTTGAAATTTTGTATAACACGGAGAAAAATCCATACATTAACAAATAAATATCAATAAACAAATGTAAATGTACTTGTTTATTGATCTGTATATAGAAAATGTAGTCCGTTTGGTAGTTGAAATGTTTTTTTGGCATAGCAGTTGCAATGTATATGAATTTAAGAAAGAAATTGCATTATTTTTTCACTAATAGTAATACTAGCCACTATTATGTTGCATATTTGAATTTTTTTTATTTTTTTGAAATTATATTATGTATAGTGGTATATTGATGTCCTTTTTTTTTACGTTATCAAATAGTATACAAGGAAAAAAAATAAAATTGTTTCCCTATTGAAAAGTTAACTAAAAATAAAAAAGTTGCATGTGATGGATTTTTTTTCTGTTGTCTTGAGTATTTGTGAGTGTTAATTGTGAATTTTTGTTGGTAAAGAAAGATAGGGTCAGTACCTTTTTACATTGTATATGGCCAATACTTCCGTTGTTAAGGCCTGGGCCCAATTTTATAGCACTGTTTAACAGTAAGCAGAAAAGTTGTGCTTACTATAGCAGAAAATCATGCTGCTGTTTAAGCACTATTTCAGGCTAACGGTTGCGCGCGCATGGAGATTTCTATTGTTGCGTCACTGATTTAAGCAAAGTTTTCTTCTGGGGTTAAGCGTGCTTTTGCTGTGCTTACTGCTTAACGGTCCCTATGAAATAGATGGAGGTTCGGTAAGCACAAAGTCAGCTGTTAAGCAGCGCTATGAAATTGGGCCCTAGTTACAGAACAGTCCGGGCATGGAAGCTGTTGAGGTCAATCTCCCCTCTCCAATCAGATCCAATCGAAAATACGCACTCCCATGTACTTTGTGAAGCCAGTAGCAGATCTAGAAATTTTATAAGGGGGTGGGAATGGGTGGGTAGGGAATAAACAATTGTCCCCACCCCCCCCCCCCCCCCCCACCCCCCCCCCCCCCCCGCTAATTTGTTGGTCCAATAAGTGACAACGGCTAACATGTTTTACAGAAATTGCAGAACCAACCCCCACCCCACTCATGCTAGTTGGGGGGGGGGGGGGGGGGTCCTCCAACTTGGGTGCAAGACCCATGCAATGCGTAGTACAGGTACAGTGATGTAATCACTGCCTTGCAAATGTACACTGAAATAATCAATGAAGTATCGACCACCTGCCTGTTTCTGTGTCATTTTAAAGGTGGGGAAGTGGCCACCCCATTAACGGTTAAACCCCCCCCCCCCCCTTAATCCGCGACTGTGTGAAGCCAAACCAGCTGGCTGAAAAGCTAACATAGTCCAATTGTTGACTATGTTCAGTCCAAGTGTCATCCGTTCGAGCGTCTATTACAAGTACGGTAAACCACACTTCTTATTACAACTGGCTCTCAGACACCTTCCCACACTTGTTCCCTATCCCATTTCTTCACTAATATAAGTGGCAGCCAACGTGCGTGGTCTCAGCATTGCTGACTGAAGAGTGAGGATGGAATAAGGACCATTTCTTTTGAGCCAAAAAAAAAAAAGTCAGCTGCAAATCAACATTACATAATGATGTCAGTTTCTAAGAGTCAAGTTTTTCACACAAACCAAATCTGCTTCATATAAAAACACTTTATTTTCTTCATGAACAACTTGTATTTACAAAAAAAATTACGGAATAGTAACTAACTTGTACTTTGTCTTCTTTCTGTTTTTGGACTAAACTTCCCATCAAAACAAAACTTAACATATACTCTCTAGGAATGCAGGATCCTCCAATACTAAAAATCCAGTAAATTTAACACTTTCTTTTTAGTGGGAACAAAATAGGGATATCAAGCCCAGTGTAAATGTAAAGAAGCTAGGCTGCAAAGCACATGAATTGACTGAAAATTAGAAAAACCTTCTTTTTTTCCGGAGAGAAATAAGAGAACCAAAACTGTATCTCTTTTTTTTTCTTTATCACACATAACACAGCATTTGGCCACAATCACAAGAATACCACAGATGGCTTTCATGATTGTTATGAAAATGCAACAAAATTCAACAAAGTTACTTTTCGTTTGAACATGATTTAGCGTCATTTCATCAGATGCCAGCTGTGCACAAGTCACACCGGTATTTGGGAAATGCAGTATGAACTTGGTCATGTTCTATAAACTGCTCAAGAGCAACCTGAAGACTTAATTGTCATGACATTATTTGTGCCAGACTTGGCCACGAACAAGAAAACACGTGATGCGATCAAGCTAAATGAGTCGTTTGTCGACCCTGGTCAATTTTTTTTTCAGATTCGAAAAGAGCACAATCTCAGCATTACTGCTGTCAAGACCGCATGCTGATACCATCTTTAGTTCAACAATTATGGAAGTCGGAACACCAAGAGATGTGATAAAGTGATGTGATGAAGTGGCCCTATTTTGGCCTGAATCTCCAAATGATAGTTCCCGACAAGCGACTGATTTAGCTTGATCGCATCATATAGGGGCTTACAAATGGGCACACACACACGAGAAACAACACAATACAATAAAAGATCATCTGCAATAAAAGAAATTACAAAGTTTACAAACTATTTACAAAGGTCTCTGCCTAGGAGGCACCTGTGGACACGCAAAACAATGTCAATACTGGCCGCTGAAACAAAAGATCGAAAACTTGAGCCATCTGCACTCCTTCTAACTTGTCAATGAAAAACTCATGGTTTTGAAATCAAGAGTCCACTTCCTTGCCACCCCCTCCAAAATATTTAACAATTGTTGACTGTTGTGATGAGGGATATGCTGTTTTTAACACCCGAGGGGCGCATAGGGCCGAGGGTGCATAGCACCCCAAGGGGTTAAAAACAACATATCCCACATCACAACAGTCAACAGGTGTTTCGTTGTATCGTGCCAATAAGCCAAAAAGACGAATGGTTGTAATTTCCTATGCAAGAATAAATTGCGGTGTTGCCTTTGATAACTGCAGGCTTTGCCGGACATGAAACGGAGCAGTTGCAGTTCTCAGTCGCAATCACACGGGCAAGCACTACACGTGTGCGTGGGCAAACCGGGCAAGCCCCACACCCACGTGCGATGCACGCAATTTATATGCAGCGCAGTGTATATGAGGATCGTTTATATGGTACACAGTGTGTGAGGTTCATTTATATGGAAGGCAGTGTATATAAAGTAAACGGTTATTTTCACAGACTGGACACGTGGCCATTCTAGACCAATGAAATGACAGCATCCAAGCACACGATATAACACTTAACTTTTCAAATGTGCAGGTCTATGATGTAGAATGTATGGCGACTGCAACACAATTTTCACCTCCTTCGACACGGGTAAGAAAATTGAACAAAATCAAGCAATCAAACTCAAGCAACATGGAATCCTTTAAGAACACACAGCACTATAGATCCTTTACATTGGAGCCATTTTGGAGGTATGGTGTGCTTTACTTCCACAAGGACAGCACGAGTAGACCTTTTGCGCATTCAAATAAAACAAAACTAAAAGATGACTGCTGAATGCAGAAGGTCAACTGAAGTGCCTACAATTACCACTGCTCAGTTGACCTGATGACGTAGTGCAAGTTACTGATATACATATTTTTTGGCACTTATACTGCTGATTATGGTATTTCTGATGTAAGCATTCTCTTAAAGGAGAATGTTCCAGAACATCAATCCAGAAATTTTCTAAAGCTGTCTTTGGCTCCAGTCACTCCACCTCACTTACAGGAGGAAGTACAGGATGAGTAAAAGAAAAAACGAAACCCAAATGTCGGGGCCCATTGTTTTAGTGAAGTTCTACATGCAGAACTTTCAAGCTCTAGGATATGAAAGCCCAATCCATAAGCTTCATTGAAATCACTCCATGTACTTTTCAAGTTACAGAGTTTTAAACACAACCACCATTTTAAAGCTCTGTCCATGGATCACAAAAAAAGGTGTGCGTTCTTACAGCAAAACAAAAACAATTCACACACATCCCTTAAGTGACTCGTTTTCGATTTGCTGGAAGAACACTGAACATTTTTGTGATCCGTGGACAGAACCTTAAAACGGTGGTCGTGTTTAAAACTCCGTAACTTGAACAAAACATAAGTGATTTGAATGATTCTTGTACTAAAAGAAAGTTCATGAATTGGGCTTTCATATCCTAGAGTTTGAAAGTGCTACGTGGAGAACTTCACTAAGACAATGGTCCCCACATTTGGGTGTCGAATTTTTTTACTCACCCTGTATCATGCCATCAATTCTTCAGGATGCTGCTCCAGCTGATCAAGACTGTAATCTCTCAAAGTTTTCTAACCATCCCCTGTTCAGGCTTCAGTCCATGAAGTTGGAAAAAAACAAAAATTGCAACCTTGCTAGCACAACACAGTTCTTCTGGATGCTCGTTGTCAACGACACTATGACGTTTTCTTGAAAGACTTCAGAATCGGGTAGATGTTGTTGAAGGCATCTAGGATTTCTTGACGAACCTTAGCACCTAGTGAGACGATAAACAAAATTCAAGATCAAGTCCAAAATGAAGAAGGAATAATTGAAGGTAAGGAAATCAAGAAACCGCATTTGACTTTTTTTTCGCAAATAGTATGTTGTTTAGAAGCACCTCATCTGAAAACATTCCTAGACCATTTGAAACATTCCTTTGGGGAAAAAAAATGAAATATTTTCAGCGGCAAAAATGGACGAGAACACCTGTGTTCTGAATGCAAGAATAGGCTGCTGTTAGTGTGAACATACATGCATGGTTCATTCCATAAATTAGGGGTCCCCTTTTTTTTCCTTAAAGCAGTCATCCTCCAAGAGTGATTATGAATAGCAAAATACCTACCCAACAAAACAAAAAGCATTTGAGAAGTCATTCTTGAATTGGGAAATTGCGAAGCGCCACTGTAACAGGGACAGGAAAAATGTCACACTTTGGATCCTAAGTTTATAGAATGACCCATATTGCTTCTTATTCCACACGGGAATATCAACACTCTCAGCCAACCCAGTGCATTCAAGGTGCATTCCAAACCCAGGCATGCAACTGGGAATTTAGGAAAAAATGAGGAAATTCCAAACCACACGAGACTTTGATCAATTTTCAATGGCATTCCTGAGCAGTAAAAGCAAGGAAATCAGCAGAAAAGTTACATGCCAGCAAAACCCAAATTCAAGCGCTGTATATCCAAAATGTTCTTAGCGTTATGAAGGCCAAGCTCCTCGTGTACACGTCTTTGTTTTGGTTAGCAAAATACAGTACAGTGGAACGTCGCTATACCGAACACAGCTATACCGAACATTCGGCTATACCGAACATCGTCCTTGGCTCTTGATGTTTGTGTACAAAATTTACCTAACGTTGCTGTTGAAAAATGGCAATAGAAGAGCGAATTGTGGCTATTATTTCCCAAAGGAATAGAAGGGGAAAGCCACCCATTGCTGTAGGTACCAGTAGTAAGCTCACAATCTGTGTAATTACATTATTTAATAAATCACTCTTGATATTTCTGCCTGAAATTTGAGGTATAGGGGTGTACATGTACACACATGTACGGTGCCAATATGTTATTTACAATTTGAAAAAAAAACCAAACTGAAATTAGGCAATCGACCTATCGCCGTTTGCGAGTTAGCCACGACCCTTAGACAACCGGATCAAGTTTTTTGTACACCAACTTTTGTTTGTCTCTGATTTTGCGCATTCCGCGTCCATTTGTATATCATGTAAATGGACAATATTTCACAAGCTGTGTTGACGCAATTCTAACGCAATTCTACCGTGATAGGTCAATTACAGTAGGACTTACATCCCTGCTAACAACTACTGACTTTATATCTAAGAGCATCCTGAACCTGTTGCATATTCATGTGAGCATCGTGCATACAGTGGACATGGCTACAAATCTCCCGTACATCTGTATCTTCCAAAAACATAACCCAAAATCGCACTCAAATCACACCTACCCGTCAGTACCACCTTCCCGGAGACAAATATCAGCAAGACTATTCTTGGTTTGACCATCCTGTATATCAGCCCAGGGAACAACTCTGGCTCATAGCTGGAACAAACCAAAATCAGAATGCATACATTTTCATCACAGCAAAACAACGGATCTTTTCTTTTTTTCACACATTAACCCTTACTCCCTAGGCCTTTTTGCTAGGATGTAGCCTCAATCCTGCAAAATCCTACAACTGGCCTCATGGAAAAATAGCATATAGCCTCAATCCTGCAAATTCCTCCATTATTTCTTGAATGTGGTCCATGGAGGGGTGACCACTGCCTGAATCCTGCAAAATCCTGCAGCAGTGACTGTCAATACATTGAGGCTTGGCCAGTGACTTTTCCTGGAGCAGTACGGAGGATTTCAAGTGTAATCCAGGCCTATATTTATGCATGACTGATCAAAAAAACACAAGGTCAGACCCAAGACCTTGACACAGTGCATCCTACGAAATCAGTAACGCACTTTTGCCATGTAACCTCAATCCTCCAAATTCCTCCACTTTGGCAAAGAGGATTTTGAAGGATTCAGGGCGGTTAGGGTTAACCCTAACTCCCTACTTAGAGTTACTAAGTAGAGGACCACGTCCGTCCAAATCCATCACTCACTCTACTTCACGTACATGACATAGCGAAATCCACCACTGAAGAGCTGGTGGATTTTGATGGACTTCGTACACATGGCTTATATGACAACAGCAGTACTGGATGCTAGGTAAAATTCATCGAATTCCCCAGCAGTGCTTTAGGCCTCCCTGACTAAGTCCATGCTCCATCAAAATTTAGTCAAACCAGGCCAGCAGGACCATGTCCCCCACCCCCAACATTCATCAAAATTGGGGGGGGGGGGGGGTGGATTTGATGGAGTTGGTAAGGTGAAGGTTAAGAAATGGTTCGGCAAGGGTAAAGACACAGCTAATGTGATGATTTGTGCACCCGAATCTATAACCGATTGGCTTGAAAATAAGGGAATAACAGTGTGAGGAGCCGGTCTTCACTGCGTGATAATGACCGGGTTTGGGGGTGACCGCGGTTAATGGACCGAGACAAAGATGCTTGGTTTAGGAAAGGTAAATATGTCGGTGGGCGAAGTGTTTAAAGAAAATAAATCGCAGATCTATGCTTTCGTCGTAAACAACCTCAGTATACTGCTGTACGATGTTGTTTGAAAACTTCCTTACGCGCGCGCACCCATAGCAACTGTGTTGCATTAGCGCGCGTAAGTCTCACGCGAAGGTGGTTGAGCGCATGTGCAGTGCTGTATTGCTACAAGCTGCCGTAGGACTGTTGTAAATTTGGCCAATCATTGTCTTGCATGGGGCTGGATCAATGCTGGTTCAGGGGCCATTTTTTCGCTTGTTCTTTGAAGCCGGTCTTTTTATCACTGTTAATACACCCCCACGTGATCGAGTCTCGACCAATCAGAAGCCACTAACTCTCCAAGGTATTTATTAATGCTAAATATGAATCTGGTACTTAGAAACACTTCATCATGCAGGGCAATTCCTTGGGTGGGGGGGGTGGGGTTTGTGTTTTTTTTTTTAGAAATACACTGCTTACCTTGAGAACTGACTGTGTTTGAGTACTAGACCTTCTAACCTAATGGGGAACTTGACATCACAACTGCCAACCATGTTCTGAACCTTGAACTCCGTGAACTTTGCCTGTCAAATGAAACAAAAAAGAATGATCAGTATGTTCCCATCATCATGTGCTTGTGTTCAGAGGTTCTTACAAAGATTTTCATTCAGAGAGGAGAAATTCAAAAATGCTGTCATTTAACCACTTTGCGCCGGGATTATTTTGACATTGACCGGACCCAGGACACACAAGACACCTAAAAACACTTCGCTGTCCAAATTTTTCTTGCAAAATGTTACTTCAGAACACGACGATCTCTTCAATGTTGCTGGTACCCCGCTATGCTTTTGCACACACACGATGGAATGTTTATCCCGAAAGAAAAATTGTCAAATCTGGATGTGCACATATGCAGTTGGAACTGGCGTACTGGGATAGTTCATTATTCTTATCTCTAAGACAAACTTAAGAATGTCTGAGGGTATTTTTCTCAAAGTTACTTGACAGAAACTTACAGGGAAGCCGAGTTTCTGCACAACCCTGGCATATTTCCTGGCGGCGAGCCTGGAATAGTCCTCACTCTTTGCCCCCGTGCACACCATTTTCCCTGAGCTGAAGATCAGAGCTGTTGTCCTAGGCTCTCTGATCCGCATAATGACAGCTGCAAATCTCTGCACATTGAAAACAAGACAGATGAGAGAAAGGTAGTTTTTATTTTGTCTGTGAAAACTTAAACAAGTAGACATTAACCCTAACTGAACTCAACCCATCAAAGCCCAACGGCAGGTGTTGTTGAAATCTGTTAGAATGGGTACAGTACCCCTAAACGGATGGTCTTTTACATTGGGTTTGGCATACCTCCAGAAACTAAGTCCAACAGTGTGTGTGTACGATTTAGGGGTTGGAATTTACCAGGATGGGTATGGTTCATAGTAAATTATTCTAGGGAGTTAGGGTCAAGACACAATGGATGTATCAATTATGATAATGCAAGGTCTAACATCTTTATGCCATTTGCTCTTATGGAATTAACATGGCTAAATGTGACCAACACAAAAACTTCATTTAAGATTTACCTTCTTACACTAATCAAACTTCGGAATTCTTCCGCATGAGTGAAATTTTGATTACCTCAGATGTCTTTAAAGTTGCGTTGCCCGTGCTCTTCAATAAATTTGAGGGTTTTTTTCCTATTCATAAATTTTGAATTTGTATGCTTTATTCCAATAAAAAAAAACCTCCTTTTTCCCCCGTTTTGGATGTCTGCAAACCTCGGAAACAAAGGGTTTTGTTTGGGCACAAACAGACCCACTTTGTGAGTAGATTGGCTCCCCGTCCGTACATAATCACTAGCCTACCCAGCAAGAATGGGAATTATTGTCTGGCAGCCAATAATTCAAAAACGTAAAGTAATAATTCAAAAATGGGCCGTTTTACTTGGCCGATGTCTCATTCAACACTGAATAACTTTTGTACTGCTAGAAAAACAGCAAGTTAAAAATGAAATCTATTTTTCGGGATGAAACTCGAAAATAGCACGGGGAATTAAAATCATACACAATACTGAGATTTGAAGGTTTGCATGGTGGAAAGATACTAAGACAAGATAAGTTTGCGGTAGCACCATGTGAATAAATCTCTTTTGTGAGTATGTGTGGTTCTGAAAGAACCGGAGGGACTCAACGTTTCGAACAGTATGCTCTGCCCGTCGTCAGGAGAAATTACAATACTCACAATACACAATACTCACAAAAGGAGTTTTCTTTCTATGGAAACACTACATCTTGTGACAATTCTGTGCATACCTTTGGATTGTACTCAGCATTTCTAGCATGGAGGGCTATTTTCTTCAGGTCCAGTTTGCAACCAAGATTCACTGTTGATACAATATTCCTGCAATCAATGTAAACAAAAGCATAAATGAAAAACCCCGAGAATAGGCGTTTTAGTTCGGGTTCACACTACACACGGACTATGCGTGATTTCTTTGGCTGGCATTTCTATTGTTTCTTCACACACTGTGCTCAGTTTGTATATATTTTTTTAAAAGGTATCATAGGTACTATGGACAATTTGACATTAGGCCAAAAAAAAAAAATATTCGGTCTCTGGTCAGACCAAAGTTCCGGACTTGACGCGGGGACGCGGCTTTTTTTTTTTTTTTGATTTTTTTTTTTTTCTTCAAGCTTGGATTGTACAGACAAGGTGGGGTACTGTTTTGCTTTTTTGGTGTCCTCATGTACATTGATGTCCTCCATAATTTGCCTTGGTGCTCTCAATCATTTGCCTTGGTGCAATTTCCCATTCCTTGGTGCTCTTTGGTACTACCGCGGAACATTTTTGGAAAAAAAAAGATTAACGCGCATGATTAAAATCGACACGCGCGCTGACCAGAGACCGACTTATTTTTTTTTGTTGCCTTATCAGACATTTTTATATTCTTAATAGTGAGGCATTATTGACTAAATGTTCCATAATACAACGATTGAGGATATAGGATGGCCGATCGCGCAGACACGTGTTTATGCCCGGGTCAGTTACCGAGTCAAAAGTCCAAATGCGAACATTGTTTAGATTTCACTCGTCCAATCTTGGTATAATAATAATCGTTGAATAAGCAGGCCAATGCAAACACGTCTTTAACCCTTACCTTCCCAAATCCTCCAAAATCCTCTTTACAAATTGGAGTATTTTGCAGGATAAAGGCTAAATGACAAAAATGTGTTGCTAATTTCGGTGAATGCACTGTATCAAGGTCTTGGGCCAGACCTTGTGTCGTTTATGCTCAGCCATGAATAAATTTAGGCCTAGATTATACTTGAAATCCTCCGCACTGCTCAGGATGTCACTGGCTCTACCTCAACATATTGACAGTGATTACTGGAGGATTTTGCAGGATTGAGGCAGTGGCCACCCCTCCAAGGACCACATTCAAGAAATAACGGAGGATGGTGCAGAATTGAGGCTGTATGCAATATTTACATGGAGTTAGTTGGAGGATTTTGCAGGATTGAGGTTACATCCTAGCAAAAATGCCTAGGGAAACACGGCCTAACCCTAACCCACCTCACTCCTCCAAAATCCTCCTGGCGGTTTTGGAGGATTCTAGAGGATTGAGGATGAATGGTGATTGAATCAAATGAGGATTCTGGAGGAATGAGGATGAATGGTGATTGAAGCACATGAGGATTTTGGAGGATTGAGGATGAATGGTGATTGAAGCACAAGAGGATTTTGGAGGATTGAGGATGAATGCATTTTGAGGCAGGAGTGTCTGACAATTTTGAAAACTTTAGGCGGAGTTGCAAAATTTTGGAGGATTGAGGATGGTTGTAAGCAACAAGGGCCTAGGGGGTTAGGGTTAACACTCACTGGAGCTGTGGTTCTATCCCTGATGACTCCATGCTCCCAGGGGTGGCCGGTGTCATAGGTGTGAGTGGTGTCTGTGGGTACATGCTGGTGGTGAGCGGCATGCTAGGGGTCATGCTGCCTTCACCCAGGCCATAGCCAGAGGAAGGGACCTGAAGCAGGCTAGGGTTGGCTGACTGGGAGGGTCCGCCGAGCCGCTGCTGGGATTGTTGGTGCTGGTTGCCGGCGTCATCGTGATCCTCTGATTGGATATGGTGTGGCTGTATAAGCTGTAATTGGCAAACAAGCAGTATAATCTTTTCGTCATCATTGCGAGTGTACTTGTGCACAGAGTCCACATGACTGGCAAAGTTCATGATTCAAGATTAGTTTATTTCTTGCAGGTGTCACAGTTACTAGTATGAGATGACATAACTGTGGTGATCTGAACAATCTGATCTTAACTCCAACTGCACATTACACAGGGTGTCCCCAAAAAAGTTGTGCAAGCAGATATCCTTTAGGGAATATACAACATTTGCAAACATCGAGAAAAAAACATTACCAAATTTTCACGAAATACCTCACTAGGATGTTGGTAAATGACAGTCTAAAGCATCCAGTAAAATTATGGCACCAGGTGTGAAGTCGTTTTCAAGAAAAGTGGTATTTTGTGTAAATTTCCATGGCCGACCACCGTTGGGAAACCTAACTATTTTTCAGCTACTGCTCCAAATTTACCATTTTGTTTTCAGTCCAAATTTTGTTTGCTATTGGTCACATGTTCATGAACGGGTGCATGCCAGCTAGACTGGTTTCATTACCTTACAGTTTTCCGACATCTTTAAGTTGACCCATTTCATCTTTAGTGGAGTCAGGAAACCAGACTACTTGAACACTTTTGTTTTTCTTGGTTTTTCCAGCATTTTCGAACACAAAACCTCCAACATGTCAGTGTAACAATATTTGATCTATTGTACTAACCCCTCAAATAGTTCATTTCTGAAAATTATAGCAAAAGCCAATGATGTACATTTCCTTTAATTTCTCAAAAACTACTTATATTAAACATGAGTATTTCATCTTGATGGAGCATATTAATTATACTCTTGTGTATAATCAGTGAAAATGCCATGGAAATCCATTCATGCAAACCAGAGATCTAACAGACTGTAAAAGGCTATGGGTTTTTCACCCATTCCAATGGGATTTACACAGTTAGTGATATCAGTGCATCAGATTGTCATGGGCCTTTTCACTCTGATGTAAATTAAGTTAACTGTGTAAATCCCATGCCATTGGAATGGGTGGAAAACCCATTTAGCCTTTTATAATGTTAAACCTCTGGTTTGCATGAATGGATTTCCATGGCATTTTTACTGAATGTAAAGGCCTACACAAGAGCATAATTAATATGCTCCATCAAGATGAAATACTCATGTTAAGTAGTTTTTGAGAAATTAAAGGATATCTGCTTGCAAACTTTTGTAAACATTTACAAAATTAAACGCAAAGTCACATCCTTAGCACCAACACTGTAAGAATCACAAGTAATTTTGTTTCGCTAACTTTATTTCACCTTCAACCTTTTGGGAAAGATTTCCATATACGAAGTTCACTCAACACCCAGTGTACAAACCCTATGAGATTGGACTGAAAAATTCTAAGTGTTTTCTAAGAAAATGCTTGTATTTTCTCACTGCTCAAATTGACTTTGATGACATGAAATTGCTATCTGGGGGCTTGTTAGTCAATACAGAGGAAAATTAGTGAACTTCGTATATGGAAATCTTTCCATCTTTCGCACTAAATTGAGGAAAATTCAACACTTCAAAAGAAAATCTGGGTGGACATACCTGCATTGTTTTCTGCTGAATGCTATGCACATTCTGTTGGGCTGTGTTTCCGTATATTTGAGGTGGTCGTCCAGGACCGCCCTGATATGGATTCATCTTGACCAATGAGCTATTCAGTCACCTGAAGAATTTTGGGGGAAAAAAAATTCATCAAAACTTATTTCAGTTAAATTGTGTCATCAACATCAACCCTGTCCATCCCACATCTGGAAAATTTCCGGGTACAAAAATCTAAGACCTCGTGGTCATTTTTTTCCTACTTTTGTTTTGCATTTTTTCGAGAAATCGACTTTTCAAGAAATGGTCACCCTTCTGCCTTTCAGGTTTGGTTACTATGCAAACACCTCTAGCTGGAGTTACCCAGCCCTAAATTTTATCATTGGGTTGTCATTTAGGGCTGGAGGACATTTTTCACGTGAACCAGCAGAGTTGGCAGGTCCCAAAAAAAATTCGGAAAAAAAAGTTGCCTGGAATAACCATTACACAGGTCCTTGAAGTAGAAAAAGATCCACGATGAAGATTCAGCCTACAATAACAGTGAAAAAACGAGGCATAAACTGACAACCGTGCGGTCATGGCAAGGACCGCAATTGGATTTGTGCACAGCGCGTTTACCAGTTCGTTCTTGCCGGCTGTGCTGGCTGATGGCGCATGACGTCACTAATGCGGAAGCGGAATACCCGACGACTGTTGAGGTTTACCACTCGCATCATAGCTGCAATACTGGACGGCAACCAAAGTTTGCCGGTTATCGTGCATGAAACAGTCGTCGGGTATTCCGCTTCCGCGTGACGTCATGCGCCATCAGCCAGCGCAGCCGGCAAGAACGAACTGGTAAATACGCTGTGCACAAATCCAATTGCGGGCCTCGCCATGACCGCACGGTTGTCGGTTTATGCCTCGTTTTTTTCACTGCAATTGTAGGCTGAATCTTCATCGTGGATCGTTTTTTTACTTCAAGGACCTGTGTAATGGTTATTCCAGGCAAGGTTTGGGTGAGTTCCAGTTGAAATTATTGTGTAACAGGGATAAAAATTGCACATTTTCAACATTTTTTCGAATTTGTTTTGGGACCTGCCAACTCTGCTGGTTCACGTGAAAAATGTCCTCCAGCCTTAAATGACAACCCAATGATAAAATTTAGGGCTGGGTAACTCCAGCTAAAACACCTCCTACTTTTTGAAAGCCTAAAACTAGTTTTAGTAAAAAAAGATTTACTGCACACTTAAAATTAATAACATTGCATGCGAAACGCAAGTGAAATTTCTCTTAAATTTGTAACGCGAAAAGGATGAGAAACTCACACCAAACAACTCAACTTCTCAAGGTTTATGAACGGGAATGTTCACAGCAATAGGTCGGTATATGTATGCGGTAATGCACTAATGCCTGGGACAAAGAAGTAATGGGGTGAAGTGGCACTTCGCCCCATTACCACTTCACCCGGAAAGATTCCTATATCTGGCCATCACTTATTTTTCCCTTAAATGACCTATCAGCTATCAGAAAGTGATAATATGTCCTAAAAAGTCAAAATTAGCAGTGACAAATTTTGAATTTTTACTGAGAAAACAGAAATTTTCAGACCAGTCCCATAGCTATTGGTTTGTGCACAGGGTGAAAAGTGATGGCCAGATATTGGGAATCCTTCCCTTCGCCCTTTTACTAATACTACTAATCCATGGAGCTACATGTTTTTACCATGGAGGTAGAAAACTAGAATTAGCTCCATGAACTGAAGGACGAAGTGGAAATGGGGCGAAGTGGTTCGGGACGTACATTAAATGTACTGACAACGGGGGCGAAATGAGAGTAAGCCCGAAATGAACATACAAATCTAAGTAAAATCTGTCGACTGGTTGACATGTTACGTCACGTGAACATAGTTACAAGATACCTGGAAACATATGGTCCTATTTCGACCGTTTTTATCTCTCTGAAAATGAATACAATAACTTGACATCATACCTGACATTGACAAAGCGATGCGTTTTGTACACGAAATTTCTGTGCGAGGCGCGAGGATCCACATGAATTGTCTAGCGCCCTCTCTTGTTGTATGACGATCGCATGTCATCAGACATCTCCGAAAAAGGGGCTGATCTTCAGCTGCGGCTACGTCTACTGTCAGCATGCATCCCACAAAATTGTAATGGGAAACCTAGGCTCTAGAAGAGTTTCGGATGCAGCCTTAACCCCTTATACAACCCCCTACCATTGTCCACCGCCTCCAACTTTATTTAGTGTGGCTTCCCCTTTCCTCGTTTCTACATTTCTGTATGCCTATTCAACCCATTTAATTGAAAGGGAAGATACAACATTTGCAAACATCACAAAACGAAATGATCAAATTATCACAAAATACCTTACTGGATTGTTAGGGAATGACAGTCTAAAGCATCCTGTAAAATCGTGGCTCCTAGTGTGCTGACATATTCAAGAAAAATGGTATTTTTCCAATGCAGGTCGGCCGACCAGCGTTGGAGAAAACTTTTTTTTTTTTTTAAAACTGCTCCTAATTTTTCATAATTAGTTATTCCGCGTTTTCTTTGCAATTGATTACACAACTGTGAAGGGGTTCAAGCCTACTAGACTGATTCTATGACCTTACAATTCCCCAAAGTCTATAAATTCTCTGTTTCATCTTAAGTGGGGTCAGGGAATCAGACTACAAGAACATGAATGGTTTTCTTGGTTTTTCCAGCATCTACAAGCCCAAAACACGAAACAAGTCATTTTAACAATATTTGCTTTAACATATTAATCCTCCAAATCCATTGATTTCTGAAAATTGCAGCAAAAGCAAATGTTGTACATTCCCTTTAACCACCATTGACAGACTTCAAATGAACACATGGAAATTTGTAATGAAAACTGTTTATTGCAAATATTTACATTTTTTTTTCACTCAAGCTCAAACCTTGTCAACCTTAATTAGGTGACAATTACTAAATCATTTTGCAGAAAATGAACATGTACATTAATTATTATGATACAGTTACGGTAATGCTACAGTTTACAAGACAAGTGTTCAGTTGATAACTGCTTAAAACTTGCTGAGCTAGTGCATTTAAATTTTAGACAAAGTACTTCGGATATTATTTTTTTCATATCATTTTACAGAGTATTCATCAATTCTGAAATACACTGTGAATATGTGGAAAATGCTGAATATTTACAAACTAAATTAATTTTTGGACGGTCTTCGGATATTATTTTCATACACCAAATTTTACAGAATAATATTCATCAATTTTGTAATACATGTGTACACTGAATTTATGGAAAATGCTGAATATTTACAAAGGAAATTTATTATTGGACGGTCTTCGAATATCATTTTTCATACACGACATTTTTACAGAATTATATTTATCAATTTTGTAATACACTGTAAATAAGTGGAAAATGCTGAATATTTACGAACTTAATTTCTTTTATGGACGGAACATTACAATTATGATGGGTAATGAATGCAGTAAGTAGTCAAGTTATTAAGTGGGGAAAACATGTTGGCTGCAGTTTCCAGTATAAATAAGTTCTTTGAAATGCTACAACACTATTTTACAGCCCCTTCCCCCATATTCTGAGGGTTTTGCAAAAAAGTTCTCAATGATCTGATGATGATAATATAATTCCTGACCCTTAAAGGGTCACTATATCACAGAGGTAATTCACACCATTCCCAGCTTTGCATACATTGGTAAGTAGCTGAGGTTCATTGAGGTATACATTGTCGATAGTGAAGAGGTCCAGACCATTCTGGGAATGGCATGAATTGGAAGGTGGTACGTAGTAGTCAAAGTTCACATCCTTCCTAGCTTTCCATACATTGGTAAGTAGTTGAGGTTCACTGAGGTACAGTGTCGATAGCAAAGAGGTTCAGACCATTCTGGGAATATAAATTGGTAGGTGGTAATAGTTGAGGTTTACACCATTCCCAGCTTTGAACACATTAGTAAGAATGTAACATTCTCTGAGGTACACTTGGGAAAGTGGCCTGGTTGAGGTTCATACCATTCTAGGAAAATGGCCTACATTGGTAGGCAATAATAATTGAGGTTCAGACCATTGCTAGCTTTGCATACATTGGTACGTAGTAGCAATTCTCTGAGGTACACTTGGGAAAGCATTGAGGTTCATACCATTCAAGGAAAATGGCAAAACTTTGGTAGGCAATAATAATCGATGTTAAGACCATTCCTATTTTTGCATAAGTAGTACAAATTCTCTGAGATACACTTGGGAATGTAGTTGAGGTTCATACCATTCTATGAAATGGCAAACATTGGTAGGTGACAGTAGTTGAGGTTCAGACCATTCCTGGCTTGGCATACATTGGCAGGTGGTAGTAGTTGTAACTCAAGAAGCTGAGGAGTCGCGTCTCCAGAGATCGCTTGTTGCCGCTGGTCTCAAACTGCTCCTCCAGGTATTTACGCTCTCGCTTCTCAAGCTATGGGGATGAGATGGACGGGAGAAGAAAGAAGTGAAGACAAAAAAATACACCAAACCATGTTAACAGGTCTTATTTAAAACTGTGATCTTGAATCAAGGGCGTCAATCACTTCTCAAAAGTGGGGGGGGGGGGCATACCTTCATCAGAACTAATGCAAGCGCGAAGCCCAAATGGCGTGGGGTTCGAGGCCTACTTAATGGCCCCGAAAAATTTTGGATTCTCGAGATGCTCTGTTGTGCGATCCGAGGCAATTTCTGACCACTTTCACCAATTTTTTTTTAGCAAAAGACCGTCTTTTAAACATCATTTTCGCGTTTGGAGTATTTAATCAGCTAACCTGAGCCATAGAATCATATGTAGGCTACAAGTTTTATTCATGGACAAAAAATGTGGAAGGAAAGAGACAAACGATATGATATCCCCCACCATAAATTTTTATTCGGGGATGAAAAACGTGGGGGGGGGGGGGGGATATCAAATCGTCTGTCCCCCCCAACCACGTCCCCCACCAATTGACACCCATGTCTTCAAACATTGAGCAAAAGCAGGATCTGTATGAAGCAAACAAATGATTTCCTCATCAAGGGATTAACCTTCATTTTGAGGATGGTCAACTGGGGTTTTCATTGCACTGGAAGCAAGATAATTAATATAATTGCTGCTGAGTGGCAATCCAAAGGGTCACAATAATGGCTATGGCTTCCATAGACGTGTGTGTAAACTGGAAGCCATATCCAACTAATTTGGACGTGGCTAATTAATGCTCCTATTGCAATGTAGCATTCTCACCTCCAGGTCTTGATCAATAAGCTGTCTGACCTTCTCCTCCAAGGCAGTAACATCCACAGCCTACACAAGGAAAGGCAAACCAAAAATTTGAAATAAAAAATCAAGGACCAAAACAAATTACCAAGGACAAAGGTCACATTACAGGCAAAGTAGAATTAAAACTAAACTTCATCACACAATCATAACAATTCAACTGCAACACTGATCATCATACCTGCCAACATTTGAGAGCCTGAAATAGAGGCACTACTGTATGGCGGTCCAAGGATTTTTAGAATTACAAAATGCCCATAAACCTGAAATGTGTTCAGGTTTTCCATTTAGCCTTGTTTTCGTTTTGAAAATTACCCACAAATGGCATTCAAAACACTTTTTTATTGTCTGAGAAGTTAGTAAGAAGTTTGTAGTTAGTGAGAAGTAATTTGTAAAGTTGGTTACGGGTATCCCATCCCGTAATCAGGAACCGGTTCCTGACATCAGCAGTCGGGTACTGCGAGCCCTCATTTTTCCTTGTTATCTTTGGTGAATATATAACAGGTGAAAACTGCCCCCTCCCCCAATCTGTTTTTTACCAGAAATCAGAACATTCTGATTTTTTCCAATCGGAAAACTTCAAAATAGGGACAATTCTAATTAAATAGGGACAGTCGGCAGGTATGTGATCTGAGCCAAGTATTGTTTCATTGTATTTACTAGTCCATGTGGATCAATGTTTGAGCTTGCAAAGCCACAGTTTCGGAGGCTCTTAAATGAACTTGGATTTGTTTTCCATTTGTGATGCGATCAAGCTACATGAGTCGTTTGTCGACCCTGGTCAAGTTTTTTTTATTACAGATTTCAAAAGAGCACAATCTCAGCACTACTGCTGTGAAAACCGCATGCTGATACCATCTTTAGTTCAAAAATTTTGGAAGTCGCAACACCAAGAGATGTTTTCAAGCCACGTGATGAAGTCGCCCTATTTTGGGCCTGTATCTCCACATCAAAATTCCCGACAAACGACTCATTTAGCTTGATCGCATCACATTGCTTATTTTTATTTTTGTTAAAATATTTATCTGTATATTTATTCTTTTGTGGAGGACAGCCTCTATGATCTTACAGGTCTCTGCACCAGGAGTTCCCTGATCTCCTGCCGGAAGTCCGGGAAGCGGTCGTGGAAGATGGCCAGGCACCAGGTCTCGCGGAAGAAGCTGTACAGGTCTGGGATCAGACCCTCATCGAATCGGGACACCAGGTTGTTCAGGAAGCGCTCGTGGAGGTCGTACAGGCACAAGAGGTTGCTGGCGTCAATGCTCTGTGGGGTGAGAAGATATTAGGGGAGAGTGGATCAATGGAACATTCAACTGTGAGGTGGAAAAGTGTGAGAACATGGATAAATGGGACATCAACCTCGTTTCCCCATGGGTACGATCGCGCTGCGCCATGTTGTTTCCCATCATGCCTTGCGCGATCTTAACCCCTGGAATTGTGTAATTTAAATGTGTCAAAATATGGCACATTATAATTAGGGCTGCAGTTTATCCATTTTACGGGCCGACGCCATCTTTAAAAGTTGTGATTTTGAAGAATCAATCCTTTCAAACATAACGTTTGGACGTTGCGTTATTTAGCAAAGAATTGTATTAAATGTACGTACCCCTTTCGTGCCTTTACAACCACAGATACAGGGGTTTTTTTTAGCGAAAAACACGGCTGCCATAATCCATATCGTACAGGCATCGCAACTTTTGAATCACAAATGTTTTTTCGTACGTGACGTTACGTGGAAAGCACGCGAGCGCATTATGGGCGCGCCCGGCGTGCAATCTTCGAAATTCGGGCGCAGTACGCTGTGAATAGCCAATCAGCGTCATTTACGTCATCATCACGGCCAGAGGTTAGTGTATAAGGAACACGCACGCGTCCCTGGAGTCGAGGCTGATGGGACATGCCAAATTGCAGTGGAAAGGAGGGAAGGAAGAATATGTTTAAATTAAGAAGATGGGGAAGAAGACCGGCCGGAACATGTATAAATGGGATATGCAGCCCTGAGGTAGGATACATGAGACTAGTCGGAGTAACTAAAACTCTACGAATCAAAGTGCCCTGTGATTGGTCTGTCTGATGCTTGCCAGGAAATAGTCTAGCCAGAGCCTTGCACAAGTCTATTTTTCCTGAATTACAAATGGAAGCCTCAAACAAGGACATGTGACAAGGATGTTTCCCGAATTGAAGGTGAAATTTGCTATTTTCTTCTCAAAGGTATGTGAACCTAACCACCACCATTTGTATTTCCGATTCCCACTGAAGCCTACAGGGTCGCATAAGGCAGTTTGAAGACTGTTGGGGGGGGTGAAATCTGAAGATTTTGATTGGGGGTACGAGTGAAAATGGTCAAGAAAATTTATTAGTAACGCAATACGGCTATGTACCTAGGACACTCCGATCGCCCGACCATGTCCAAATGTTAAAAAAGGTGATTCGTAGAGTCCTAGTTACTCGGACTAACATGAGACATGCTACAGTAAAGTTGGAATTGCAGAATTGCAAGGAGCATGTGTCAATGGGAAATGCAAAGGTGAAATGGTGGATCCAAAACCAACTGACCTTTTTTTTGGGGGGGGGGGTGTAATTGTATTGGGGGGGGGTGGTTTCTATTTGAGGAGAGGGAGGGGTCAAGGAGGAAGAGGCACTCCCAGCATTTGTTGTAAAAGAGGGTAGCGCTTGACTGGTCAGCATTTTAGCCATTTCCAATTTCAAAAAAATATTTAAAAAGGGGCTGGACCTTGTATGATGCTAGGGGGCAATCTGATAATCCTGTTCTTTTTGCCTTTTCTTCCTTTTTACCAATATTTCACAGGTCTATAAAGGAAAAAAATTATCTTTCTTCTCTGGTTTATTCAATAAAACATGGATGAATCAATGCAGGTATAAGGTGCCCTTAAAAACCTTGCACCAAGTACATACCTTCTGAGCCAGGCAGGTCACTGTCTGTATCTTGTTGTACTGGTTGATGTGAAGGCGGAAGTAATCCTGCGTGGATCCCTCCTTGTCACCTGTTGCCAGCACACGTCCCTACGATAGGACAAAACCCGCACATTCAGTTGGGACCATGTTCCTAAACATTATGCGTTCCATATCATGTGCATGAGAAGTATGCACACGCACAGACACACAAACGCGTTCACACCGTCGATCGTGGACGTCCTATTGTCCCTCTTTTGTTTGTACTCTAACTTTTTAGGAAGACTTCCATATGTTTTGTACACGACCCTAATCGCAGACGTATGCTGGGAATCGTGGACGATATTGTTCTCTTTTGTTCTTTGGTATTTTTCGTCCACGGTTTGAGAAGAGGAATACGTACACAAGCGCGCATTCACACCGTCGATCTTGGACGTCCTATGGTCCCTCTTTTGTTTGTACTTTAACTTTTTAGGAAGACTCTTATAGGTTTTGTACACGACCCCAATTGCGGACGTATGCTGGGAATCGTGGACAATATTGTTCTCTTTTGTTCTCTGGAATTTTTCGTCCACGGTTTGAATCGATGAACACACTCAAGCATTGTACCATGTCTTTGTGAACAAGTACCCCCTCAACGGTAAGAAAGGGAGAGTTGGGGGAGACCACTGGGAGAGACATTCGAACACAATACCGTTGGTGACTGACGCTCACATGAAGACGCTATGGCTTTGTGCACATTCATAATAAAACAAGTTGTGCGTACTTCACGCACGCAAACCAGTACGCACTTCATTGTGTACGTGTTCATCTTTTCAAACCGTGGACGAAAAATTCCAGAGAACAACAGAGAACAATATTGTCCACGATTCCCAGCATACGTCTGTGATTGGGGTCATGCACAAAACCTATGGGAGTCTTCCTAAAAAGTTAGAGTACAAACAAAAGAGGGACAATAGGACGTCCACGATCGACGGTGAACGCACGTTTGTGTGCACAGTCCTTGTCAAATCCATCACAAATCAATCAACAGTCCACTAATAAGTCAATCCCAGAGTAACAGCAGTCAATAATGAAAAAGGAAAGCCTCAGTCAAAAGCTCATTTGAAGCCAGGTGTTTGACTTGAGAACAGATGACTCGTGATTGGCTAGTGGTTGACTTGACCACATCTAGTTACTCTAACTAGTTGTAAAACTCACATAACGCCAGTTCTACGTTCCCTCCATTGGCTGCCAGTTTTCAAATTGCTTTTGCTTGTTTTTCATTGCTTACATGGTTCTGCCCCTGGATATAATTCTGATTTGCTCATTTCTTACAACCCTGCTAGGTATCCTCAGGTCTGCAAATTCGTCCCTGCTTGTTGTGCCTAAAACTATTAAATCTTGGGGGGACTGTTCATTTTCTCATGCTGGACCTATGTTATGGAACAAACTTCCTTAATTTTTCATTTCATCAATCGTCCAGTTTGATTTCACTCATGTTCATATTCATGTATTTTCATTTGTGCGTACTTTTGTTCCCTACTGTTCTTGCTGTTCATGTTTATTTGTTGTTTTTTTCTGTGCCTTGAGCATCTAACCAAGATGGATTTGGCACATTATAAAAGCTCTTTATTATCTCTGGTATTGTGAATACATATTGGTAGTGTGAAGCTTAACTCTATGTGTACAGTAAACCCTCATATCAGCTCACAACGGTTCCCGGTAAAAACTAACATCATTGTGCATTGTTTGAAGTCCTTTACATTAAGGCAATCAAGTCTGTCTTCCACATTCTTACATAATCCAGCTGGGCCATGTCTGCCTCCAACGGCGTGTCTAAGCTGGGCTTGCCAAAGTGCAGATAGTTCAAGCCGCCCGGTAGGCATGCCCCTTGCACCTTAGCCTCAGTGTATATCGGGATGAGGGGTACCGACTCCACGGGCGGGGTCACGTCAGTCTCTAGGGTAGGGTCAAACAGTCTGAGCATGGTGGATGCCAGGGCACTGCCAACCTCCTTGGAATTGAAGTTGGCGTGGGACCTGTTCAATTGGAATGAATTGAAGGAGTTGTAGTTAGGTCCATCACAAGTCAAATCTTTCCTCTGTCACAAGTCAAAGGGCATGTGTGGTCTAGCTGTGGAGCACAGAATTCATGATCATGAGGTTGTGGGTTCGAGTCCCACCGTGGCCATGCATGTTGTGCCCTTGAGAAAGGCGCTTTACCTCAATTACTCCTCTCAACCCAGGTGTTAAATGGGTACCAGCATTATTCAATGCTGGGAAGGTAACAGACTCGCTGTGGAGGTGTGGCGATCCCCCCACAGCAGCAATATGAGTCTGGCCCAATTGCCAATGAAAGAGAGATGGGCTTTTACCGTGTCTTGTATGCTATATAAGACTTACCATTGGTCAGCATGATATTTACGCTGGAACTTTGTCAGTGGTCCGGCACCTCTGATGGACAGGTCGTTGGTGTGGAAGTTAGCGTCAATGACCAGCTTGCCATCAAACACCAGACAGCTGTCATTAATGGCTAGAGAAAAAAATTGATAAAACATTATAACACTATGACTGAAACTGTTTTTGAAGCAGAAGGAGGCAGAGCACTTTAGCTTCATGGCTTGGTTTCAGTACTACAGTTTCACGAAATGCTGTTGAAATTACCTAAATCAAAGTACTAGTGTTTCAAGTACTAAACTTCTGAATAAAGATACCTCTGAAAGCATCAGAATCCACGGCTTTGTTGTTGAAGCAGAAGAAGGCCAAGCACTCCAGCTTGATGAGCTTGGAGTTAGTACTACAGTTTCAAGAAATGCTGTTTAAAGTACCTAACTTAAGAGTTTCAAGTACTAAAGTTCTAAATAAAGGTACCTCTGAAAGCATCAGAATCCACGGCTTTGTTGTTGAAGCAGAAGAAGGCCGAGCACTCTAGCTTGATAGGCTTGGAGTTAGTACTACAGTTTCAAGAAATGCTGTTTGAAGTACCTAACTAAGGGTTTCTAGTACTAAAGTTCTGAATAAAGATACCTCTGAAAGCATCAGAATCCACGGCTTTGTTGTTGAAGCAGAAGAAGGCCGAGCACTCCAGCTTGATGGGTTTGGTGTCCGAGGTGAAGGAGGTGCAGTAGACTTCATCTCCTCCCTTGCCATCGTTCCACTGAGCAAGGTAGTAACCTGGACGATAACAGGAATAACATGTGAAGTGACTTGTGACTGAAAGACCTGTTTGGACTTGAAACAGACCAGCAAGTTTTTGTGAGGACAGTAACACACTTTTAAAACACAGGAAATGATAATAATAATAATATTAATTACCCTGGATTGGACATTTGAGAGACATCCCCATAGACTTGTGCATAACTTTTTCAAACTTAAATGTGCCTAACCCAATATTCCCTTGTCCTTTTTCCACGAATTTCGGTATGTTTACTAATTAGACCACGAGCAACAAATATAATCTAATTGCGACAATAAAATTTTGCCTCTAAAGGGGGGCTGTGACATTAGGGAGACGTGAAAGACGTGAAAATGTCTCCCTAATGACCGATGTCTCCCATCGTGCAAAGAAATTACGATAACGTGTCTCCTAAATGGTACCATTACACGTATAATGACTCTTATTAAAGCGCTTTACACAAAATGTCTCAAAGCGCTTCACAAATGCAATGCTTCACAAATGCAAATGCAATGCTTCTGTTTTCGCAAATCTCAATCTTACTGCTGTATCTCAATCTCTATCTTACTACTTTTAAAGTTTTTTCAATCTAAAAAAAACCCAGTAGTTTAACTCACTTATAATCAAATTCAACAAACTGTAGGAACGCACATAGAATAACTGTTTTGCTAAAAATTGTTGTCACAACTAACTGACTCTGTCAAGCTTTATTTGTATTTCAATGGATTTTTCTAAGACACTTTTGCAATCATCAAAGACTTCACTTTAATATGACATGGTACCAGAGAAATGCAAAATGCATTAGGGTCAAGCTCCTCATCTATTTCTCAATAGACCTTTATCATGCTGCCACCATTTTAGTCATGTTCCCTGTACCCAATAACAGTACTGAATGATAAAGTTTTTGTAAAAAACATGAACCAGGCTATTTTTCCTTCCAGCCTCGCTTTGGTTACGTTGATTTGAATGGAAAAAAATCACAATGTCCGCAACATGAAAATAGTCTATAGCCTTATAGCCTCATTTCACAAACAGTCAAGACAATTTTGACACCTACCATCGTACATCTGCACACCCTGTGCCTCTATTGCTTCGTGTACAGTCTTCTCAACTTGGGGGTTGTTGAAGCACGTGATGCTGTACTTGAGAGGTGGCTGCACGAAGGTGATGCGAGAGCCTGGCAGGCCGACTGCAAGCAGCGATTGGACCGCAGAGTATGCATCCAAGCTGCGTCCATATACAATGGCTTTCCCTGTATAAGAACGCACTGGTTAGTTACAGTTCATAGCTACTTAGGCTTAGTCCTGAGTCCTGAGCATTTGTGCTCTCTACAAATTTCTAGGAATTCTTTATCAAAGAAATTGCCCATCTGTGTTACCAACAAATGCATTCCCTATGCCCATTATACCAAAACAACACAGAACCACTCAATACACTGCATTCCCAGTATATACTATATTCCGATCAGAAGCTTTCCATTTTCCCTTTATGAACTGCAAAATGTGCACAGAATTGCACAGAGTGTTTTGGGATGTATTTTCTACATAATAGAATTTAGTGCTTCACTCATGTTTTAATGTTTGCTGAAGACAGAGTTGCTTATAAGCAATAAAGTCCACGAAAGGTTTTGGATATATACAAAAGTAAACCATACTTTATATTTCATGATCTTTCACAATTGGAATTAGCCTTAAGTCAAGTCCCACGTGCCTATACCCGGACCATCCGGACACGTAACGCACCCCGGATGCTGGCACGTAAAAAGACTAGCACGAGCGGAACTAATCACTTATTCATTTATTCAAGTAATATAAATCAAGCAATATAAACCAATCATCTAACGGTGGTTTGCGGTCACCAGCAACAGCACCTGCGCCATGGCGCGTGTGCTGTCTGGCGCCAGACAGGCTGATTTACAGTAATTCTGCATTTTCATTGGTCAATTCACAATGGGTAATGCATTATGCATGTCTATCAAATCGGTAGATAAATGTAAAGAAAAACATAAGCGTTCTCCACGAGATGGTAAAGGCCCTTGCGGCTTCGCCGCTCGTGCTAGTCTTTTACGTGTCAGCATCCGGGGTGCGTCACGTGTCTGGGTAAGCGCGTGGGACTCGACTAAAGGCTAAATTGGAATGTGCTCTGTGCCTGATCACAAGAGCCAAGCAAGAGGAATTTAGGATGTACAAGCTCAAATTGAAGTGTGCATGCATGTTAAACCCCATGTGCAGTAAAGTGCAATCACGTAAGATTGATATTTACACATACGGTTCCAGATATCTAGAGGATAGCTTTGTGCACAACCCAATCAGTCCACAGATCAGCACACAAACAGACACCCCTACCGCGTACCTTCAATGTTGAGAAAGTGTTTGTTGAGCCACTTGAGGACACAGGCAGCATTGTATTCATCGTTGACTATGAAGACATTCTTGGGCACTCTTCCCTTGTAGCGAGCGTCGGGCTTCTGTGGCAGGGAGGCATTGGTGACAAGCTCGGAGATGTCAGCCCCAGTTGGGCAACTAGTCTGGTACTGCTGCCCAGTGCACAGGATCAGGTGGTCGTATGGTACCTTGGCTCCTCCCGCTACTTTCACATACTTGCTACCTCTGCGCACCGACAGTAAAATAAAGATACATTTTTGAATTGAACTTTTTTTTTAATCAAGCAATACTGAATGCATATTACTTTTGACCTGGTAAGCCTCATTGGAACTTTTTAACGACAAAACAAATTTAACTCCCATCTCAACTGCCAATTTTAAACCTAAACACAATTTCCCATTACACAATTCTTCAAAACCACATTACAAATAGCAGTTATTCAACAAAACACATAATCATTGAGCACCAATAATTTTCTTAAACCTTCTTCTCAAACCTGACTTTGGTGCTATATTTGATTCCAGAATAATGTGAAGCAAATGAACGAAATGACACCGACATTTTTCCTTGCATCATTAAAGTAACGTCAAAATGATTGGGAGCGCAATTTGGGTGAAGTAATATTCATGTATACATTTTGTGCACACGCATGACCTGAATGCGACTCAGGAAATTAGATCAAAAGGCAGAAATGGCTCTCGAACATCCATGAAATTAGGGAAGCCCAGCTAACATGAAGATCAATTTTGCAGAATGACCTTAAAAGTTGATAAGCATTTTACGTTTGATTCAAGTGTCACTCTGCATTGCAACTTGTGAAATTTGGATGAAAAAAAAAACAGGTTTTACTCTGGAAGCACCACTTGAATATGAGAAGTGGTGAGAGGTCAGTTGTTACGGGAATGGCGATTCTGCCAATGAAGGATGTTACTGGAGAGAAGCCTGAGCCCTTATTGGTGCACACCACCATAAACCTTAAAATTAGTGCGCACGAGCTCATTAATATTTTGTGACCCCACAGTTACTTTTGAATAAGAGGACCTTGTGGCTTATAATTGGAATAGATTGTAGAACTATCTATGTCAATCAAATATTTGTGACTTGTGGCTTCCAACTCGGGCGATTTTTTTTTTTAAAAAGCCGGACTTGTGGGTCTATATCGCATAGAGGCGGGGGGTTACATTTAGACCTGGGCCCAGGGATTAACAACCTTTTTAGGGGTGGTTTTGGGGGAGGGGAATATAAAAAAAAAATTGACCCGGTTACCACTAATAAAATTGAAAAGAAAAGTGTTCAAGGGGTCGCAATCTTTAATTTCCAGCAAAAAAAACCTCGCCACCTTGCTCCTGAGCGTCACCAGGTGGCGCTGTCTCTGTCCGATTTTGTGTTGTTTTCTATGAGCGCTTATTTGGTGCAATGAAACCTTACCTGTTGATGGCTACCATCTTAGCAGCAACCACATTGATCCAGGAACGCAGGGATATCTGAGCCAGCCGGTCTTGTGAGTAGCAGCGGCTGGTGGATAGGAAGTTGGCCCGGAGTGGGTCGGGGGCAAGCTCTCCTGGTAGCCCGTTGGGTGAGATCAGGACCAGGTTGTTGAAGCGTAGGTGTGGGCTGCAGGTACAAATGTCCCAGTATCCGAAAAAGTTTATTATTCCGATCTTTCCTAAGACGCTGTGTGGACATCTAGAAAATGGTATCTCTAACCCACCTGCACAACTCTCACAGAAATGAATAACCCACATCTTTGTATGCATGTATTTTGAACAATCAAGTGAAATACAACAAAGGACTGGCTATTCCAACTATAAAAGCGATTGACGATAGTATGCAATATGTATTTGTGCCTGGCAACTAAAACTGTATGGAAAAAAACCCTAAAAACTGCTCAATCGTTGTTATCTAGTGCAAAGGAATACGATTTGACAATGTCTACAAATGGATGACTTTTGAAAGTGGACATTTTGCCTCCAACTCTAGGTTATCTTCATTTCGAATTGCTTGAAGACCCTCTGATCAGCTATGACAAGAAGGAAGCTGCATATTTAGGTCATTCAAAAGTTACATCTACTTAAACACACTTCTTTATAAAATCATGTGTGTTGTACCCTGTTATTATTTAGATTTTGTGGGCTAAACATCACATTGTCAGTCCATCCATGACCGAAGATAAAGCAAGTTGCTATTACTTTTCTCTTTGAAATACTATGCACAGTGCTAGCCCTATCATCAGCCCTGAATCCTTTGTTGTCCCTAACATTTGCGCACTATGTTGGGAGTTATGTAAATCGTCAGAATAATGCAAATTTCTTGACCAACATGTAACAAGATAGTTTATTATCCGCTCTTTATGTCAAATGTGGTGATTTCAGTGAAATCAAACTTGAAGAAGCTTCAAACTTGAAAGATGCAATAAAGAGAAGATTTTCTACAGTTCAACCAAAAGGGACTTAAAATGGAATACAAGGCGATATTTTTCTCGATGAAACTCACCAGAATGTGAGGGTCTCCAGGAAAGCAACACCAACGTCTGAAGCCCCAACAACCACGATCCGAGCATTGATGGTGACCTTGGGCTCAAGGGTTAACTTGCGATTCATGTGGCTGAGAGCGTACTTTTCCTGAAAATGTCCATTTAAAAGTATCTCTGAGCACAAATTAACAAAACTGACAGAATTCTGAATTCGTTGACAGAATTCTGAATGCAAAAGATTCTGGGCTGTATATATTTACATGATATGCAAATAAGAATGTTAAAAATACACCACTACAAAAATAAAATGCAAATGAAGCAACCTTGTTAAATGTGAAACTTTTAACAATCTAAAATTTGGAAAATTCCACTTTTTTTTAATAAGGGCCTCAAAGATACTTGCCATTAGAAAATAAAACTTTTGCTCCAAAAAAAAAAGACTTGCCAAAAAAATTCACAAGCTTGCTCAGTTGGCACTTGAGTCCACAACTGACTAAACTACATACTGAAATGTTATCTCAAAAAATTCATTTTTTTTTCAAAAAGGTCTTGTTACATAGTTTGAAACATAGTTTTGTGGGGAGTGTGGCCTAGTGGTTAGGGTTCGTGACTCATGATCAGAGGGTCAGGGGTTCAAATCCAGCTGCTGGTCATATGTTGTGTCCTTGGGCAAGCCACTTAACCCCCACTTGCCTCTCTCCACCCAGGAGTACAAATGGGTACTGGCATAAGCTGGGGAGTAACCTGCGATGGACCAGCATCCCATTCAGGGGGAGTAGAAATATTCTCAGTCGTTTCATGCAACTGAAACCGGAGATAAACGCTGGCCTGATGGGCCACATTGGCTCATGACAGACTTTACTTTTACATTGTTTGAAACAAGTAATTTACCTGTTCTTTGAGGACTCTCTCTGAGGGTGCGTTACCCCCTAGCTGCTCCACCGGATACTCAATCTGCCGTCTGGCTCTCACTGGTACCATGTAGTTCAAGCTGGTGACCAACGAATGCTTGCTTCGTATCTGCCACACACAAACATTTCATCACGTTTATAAAGCACCCAACATGGCACATAGTGTAATTTTGCTCTGAACCAAGTTACAAATAACAGACAGAGCAAGATAGGGTTTCTTGTATCCTGTGACATTTTATTTTAGAAGAAAAGACCTTGATTTAGTGATGTAGTATAAAGTTTCCTTATAAGTCTCCTGATGACGAACAGAGCACAATGTTCGTAACTTTGAGTTAAAACAACTGGTTCTTCTCAGAACCACACAACTCAACAGAGATATTATTCACACGGTGTTACCGCAAACTTTCTATTCTTTGTTCATATCCACCATGCAAACCTGTAAGTCTCATTCAATAAAACTTTGCACTTTGCTGTTCAAAATTTTGTCAGAAAAAAAAATCTCTTCAAAATCCTACAAAGTACTATGAATTATGACGGTACACTGAGGATACAATCAAGGGTTTTAAGTGTAAGGCATTATTTTGATTAAATACTAGGATGGTTAATTCTTTTCACTCACTAACATGGACCCTTGATTTTTTAATGTCAGGATGGAAAGAACCCCACAATGCCCAGATTGTAAGACAGGGTGCTACTAAAAGGGGACGAGCCTGTGTTCACAGGAACTGAGTGCCCATCTCTCTTTCAAAGCAATTGGGCCAGACTCAATATAATGCTGCTGCTGTGGGGGATCCCCACACCTCCTCCACAGCGAGTCTGTTACCTTCCCAGCATTGAATAATGCCGGTACCCATTTAACACCTGGGTTGCGAGGAGTAATTGAGGAAAAGCGCCTTACTCAAGGTGCTAATATAAGCAGACAACCTTGCTAAACACGTTTTTATCATTAAATTACTAGAGCGCTAACTTCGTGTACAAAGTAATGCCTGCTGGGCGCATCCATGTTTGTGCACAAACCTATGGAGACCTAGAAATTTTGTACAGCTTTTACCGGTGCGTTATCGAAGCCAATACGCCCAAAACCGAAACGCACGATCATCAAATGAGCTTGTCATTTTGCTCTACGCAAACAGCGCAACGTGTGCGCGTATTCACTGCAGGTGCTTTTTGCCGTCACATTTTTTGAACCGTCAATGACGCGCTTAAGTTGTTTGCGTATCTTCTACTTGCGCATTGCATTTAGAATACACTTTCAAAATTCAATCCATCTAATCTCATTATGTTCTACAAACACGCACATGAATTCAAAATGTCTGCGCCCAGGACGGCTTCAAAGCGTCTCCGCGCGCAGAATGAGGAGTTAGCGCTCTAGTAATTTAATGTAGCTCTATGGTTTTTATCCACTCTGCTGGGAACCAGGTATCACTGGCAATGAAGATATGACATTCTTTTGGTTGGTAACCCTGCTATCTTGCTAAGCAAGACGCTCACCTCCTGGGGCGCATACACTGGGTAGACGGGATAGTAGAGACAGGTGTAGTGAGCCTGCCGCAGGACCTCCTTCATCAAGAGCTTGGTCTGGTGCTGGAAGATGGGGTTGAGGGCCAGGTGATGGAGGTGACCGTGCTCGTCCCGTCGGTGGTGGTTGAAGTAGATGAAGTCCTCGATGTTGTAGTGGGAGCGGATGTACTCGATGTCCTCCTCCTGGCGTGTGATGGCAAGGCCAACAATCTGGTCCAGGCAGGTGGCCACGAAGGCTTGGATCGGGGTACCGTCCTTATGAGATCAAACATTATACAAATGTTGAAAAAAATGGTATGGTATACAGTGGAACGTTGCTATAACGATCACCGCGGGATCCACACAAATTGTTTGTAATAGTGATCGTTCGGTATAGCGATTTTAAGGTGGCGATGCTCCGGTACTCACTTTTCAATAAACAGTGCCCTTCAGAAATTCACCCTGCATGCATTACTACCTACGACAATAGGTGGCTTTCCCCTTCTATTCCTTGGGAAAATGATAGCCACTTGTCACTTTCTGTTTGTATTTTTCAACAACAATGTTCAGTACGTTTTGTACACAAAAATCGGGAGCCAAAGACGATGTTCGGTATAGCCGAATGTTCGGTATAGCGGTGTTCAGTATAGCGACGTTCCTCTGTAATTGATAAAAACATACTTAATCATTCAATTATTTTACCATAATAAATCAGATCAGTTATCGCATAGTTCTCCCATTCCTTCAGGAAAAAAATTGCACTTGCATGATGGAATTACTGAGAAAAAAAGGGTGTTCTGAAAGGCAGTCAAATCTGCTTCAATTCTGTTATGCTGCATACTCTGTAGTTCCTTCCTTTAGGAATATCTTGGAACAATTTTAACGTGTTTCCCCAATTACAAGAAAAACTGTATCTCAAAAAGTGTAAACCTTTCTTTAGACCACCCTGTACATCAAGCTTGATCAAAATGTCATGAAGATTTGGTCAAGATTTGGTCAAGATTTGGTCAAGATTTGGTCAAGATTTGGTCAAGATTTGGTCAAGATTTGGTCAAGATTTAGTCAAGATTTGGTCAAGATTTGGTCAAGATTTGGTCAAGATTTGGTCAAGATTTGATCAAGATTTGGTCAAGATTTGATCAAGATTTGGTCAAGATTTGATCAAGATTTGGTCAAGATTTGGTCAAGATTTGATCAAGATTTGGTCAAGATTTGGTCAAGATTTGATCAAGATTTGGTCAAGATTTGGTCAAGATTTGATCAAGATTTGGTCAAGATTTGGTCAAGATTTGATCAAGATTTGGTCAAGATTTGGTCAAGATTTGATCAAGATTTGATCAAGATTTGGTCAAGATTTGGTCAAGATTTGATCAAGATTTGGTCAAGATTTGATCAAGATTTGGTCAAGATTTGGTCAAGAGTTGGTCAAGAGTTGGTCAAGAGTTGGTCAAGAGTTGGTCAAGAGTTGGTCAAGAGTTGATCAAGATTTGGTCAAGAGTTGGTCAAGAGTTGATCAATAGTTGCCAATCCAGATCTGCTTACAGGATCTCTCCTAGCCTTGTTGTACTGCCTGAGGTCGGCCATCAAGCCGTCCTTGTTGTCAATGTGCTGGGTCAGCTCCTCCACCCCTTGCTCATCGCTGGTGCAGGCCGGCCGGACCTGGAAGGACTGCAGCAAGCCTGAGCGATTGAAGACGTACAGCTCCTGGGGCAGGATACTGGGGCACTTTGGGGTCACGCGCTGGGGACAAAAATATCAGTTTTTTATGATCAGTTCTGGATGTTCATTTATTGGCAAAGCTCCATATCTTTCAGATTTTACCCAGCCTTTACATGCCAAGTAAATGTTCAGTGGTTACTTTCGTCGCCTTTCACTGCTATAGCCCTGGTTCAATTCCTACCAAGACCATATGTGGACTGGGTTTTCAGTTCCTACCTGATTCTGTGGGTGTTACCGAGAATATTCTTCTGGGATTTTCCTCCCACCTCTAGAACTATATTTCCTTCTCATTGTCTTCTCTCTACAGGTTTCTTCAGGCTTTTTGAGCTACAGTGCCTAGGGCTCTTTTGATGAATCCTTGGTTTCATGACCAGTAGGAAAAATAATAAAAGTTAAGTACCTCTTTTGTTTCTCAAGATTTTCTTGGGAAAAATTCATTGGCAAAGCAGCCTTTGAAATGTATCATAAAACACTGGAGCTTCATTGGTTTTGACTTTTTTTAAGATCTGACTGTTTGATGCAAAACAAGATGCAACCCAATAATGAAATTTAGTTTCTGCAAAATGATGAAACTTTAACTAGAATAAGTTGTTCTGACAATGTGAATATTACACAAACAAAATGACATCCCTTTTTAGCCCTGGACATTTTATGATAAATTTCATACCTATAATTGATCATTGTTGCAAACATCAATCATCAGAAGGGACCTTTTCTAATGCTTTTCCAAAGAGATCATGCAAGATGGCCTCAAATTTTGGCTACATTTAGATCTGCGCCCAGAGATTGGCAACCATTTTAGGGGTGGTTCGGGGGAGAGGGGAATATAAAAATAATTTGGTAAAGTTGAAAAACAAAGTGTCCTGGAGGTCGTAATCTTTAATTTCCAGTGAAAAACAAATCACCACCTTTCTCCAAGTGCCTCCAGGTGGCGCTCTTTCTGTCCGAGTTTGCGTTGTTTCCAATGAATGCATAATAATTAGTGCAGTTCAACCTTTGATAAAAAACACCCAAGGTCTCTTTGCGAACGTTCAGGGCAAATGCTTCCAGGAGTAAAAGGCACTTTCTGTTTTCTACGAATAAAGCGGCACTTACGACAAAACTCTGGAGAAGAGGGAACTCAGGCACCATGTGGGGCATGGTGAGTATGCAAAACTCCTTGTCAGGAAACAGGGAGAAAGCCATCGGCAGAAAATCCAGGGATCTACGCAAACAAACCAAATAGTACTCATGAATTATTGTTTCGTTTTTTCTTTGTGGAGGCAATAAAGCGACTTGGGCCACAGGCTTGAGATTATTTTTTTCTATCGATTAGTTGTTTCCTTTTCGATTACGGTTTTGATTAATCAAACGGCGATTTGTTGGTGTACGGTAATTTTCACATAAACCACGTAAAAAAAGCAATACATATCATCCACTTGTCAAGTTGTATCATGCTGCCGAGAACGCATGTTTCATTTAACTACCTTACAAGTACCTTTCAACCAAGTAGGCCACTCTTTGTGTTTGTCTCACTTTTCTTTTGCTTTTTGGAAAGAGTTTTGTGCATGGAATGTATGAGATTTACGGCATGAAAACTTTTGGCTGTTCCAGCACCTTCTGAAAGGAAGCCAATATTGTCGCAAATTGGTTTCGAATAATCAAATGGAGAAATGTTAACTGAGTAATCAACGCATCAATCAAGTAATCGAGTAACCAAATAATAATGATAATAATAATAACAGTGGATATTTATAAAGCGCATGTATCCACCAGGACTGGTGCTCAAGGCGCTACATCATTATTACCCCTGCTCATTGGGCACATGAAACATTCCAAATACCATCTCAGCTCCCTGGGGAGTATACAGCTCGATGCTGCCTGTTAGGCGCAAGGAAGCTAATTCAACCACAATAACCATCTCTGCCCTCACAGGTACCCATTTACTCCTGGGTGGCAAGAAGCAATGAGTAACAAAGTGCCTTGCCCAAGGGCACACGCACCATGACCCAGCCAGGACTCGAACCCACAACCTGCAGCTTTACCCACAGACCACAGCACTCCACATACGAACGGTCTTAAAAGTGACAAGCAAATTAATGGTTGGAAAAACAAGTCCCATGGTCTTTGATAAAAGTTACTCTTATACAGAGCAGACAGATATTTAACAATTTCTCAACCTCACTATTTTACTCACCTCATCTCATATTTTTCATCAATGCAGAACAGTTGGACGATGAAACAGTTTGACTCCCCGTAATACACGGGGTCAAATCTAGGGGTGGGGACGGTGGGCTCTGGGGTGGGGCTCAGCTCTGGCCGGAACGAGGCGACATCAGCATTCTCTTGGGCCGAATGCACTGACGTAGATTTCTGCCGGACAGAAAAAGTATCAAACAGAGAAATGATAATGAAAGTAGAAATCACAGTTCCAAAGGAGGGCGACACAATGAACATTTCAAACTCAGAAAACTGTTTCTTTTTATTTTTTCAGTCTAAGGGGCAAGTTCATAATCCATGCAAAAGCGAAGGTTGAGGCCAATTGTTTGACCTCAACAACCGACGTTAGCCGGTAGCTCAAGGATTTTGTTTTGCACTGAAATTTGTTTATGATTCGGCCTTAAATATTAATCAGTTTTAAGAAAATTCTTGGCAAATTTTATCAATCAATCTCGTTCAAATGACGTCATTTCCTACAGACCATCCACGTGCATCGGCATTTTGAGCCTCAACTTGCATAACGTGCAACGGCTGCGTTGTATTTCGAACACATTTTGAACAACAAGCACCCGTGTTTGGAACATTTTCAACACTGCGCAATAGGGCTGTGCCGAATATTCGGATATTCGGTTATTCGATCGATAAACGAATATTCGAATATTTATTTTCGAATAAGAATATTCGGTGGTGATATGCAATGAAATAAAAAGGTGGAAAAAACTTTTTTTTTAACAACAAAAGTGTATTCTCAAAGTTAAGTTTCAAGTTGCTGCCAAAAAACCCCATAAAAGTAGCTTGTATATGCCAAGCAATAATGCCATACATATATTACTTCTGCTTTGGGAGTGCTTGCAGTAAAGCCAACCCATTTTTTTAACACCGGACTGCAACACCAATCGCTGATGCTTCCGACAAGATAAACAAGATTTTGTCTTTCATGTCTTCACAAAACACTTCCTGACACCTTTTCATATCAAACTTCTAGCATGAGTAGTAACGTTTCCGTTGTCCGTATTTTTGTTTGTTGTTGTCCTACTTACAATCCCTACTTTCAAAAGAAAACCGCCGCTGTTTTTCCCCGATGCGATCCTGGCAAGTTTCCCCGCGCGTTGGTGTTACATGTACATGTGTGCAGCATAGGAAAATGCAGCGTGGCATTGGAGAGGAGCACGTGTTAATTTGCCCACGTGCGCATTGGGAGGGGCTTACTGGATCGGCTATTGACCTCTGCAATCTCATGCAAAGAACTTGATTTCTTTTTTCTGTGTGGGCCTTTGTATTTTCCGTTTTCATGTACTTATTTTGAGGACGTACTGCTCGCACAGGGTCTCACAAGAAGCGGTACATTACACTGATACAGCGAAGCCAATTCCCCCCAAAGTTTTCCATCGCCTGTTCAATCGTGTCGAATGCACGTGATTATAGGGAATCGCCTTGCACGCAGTATGCTGCTCACAGCACGTGGCGGTGTTGTAGAAAACTTGTCATGAACCCCAACATTACATTAAAACGTTTTGAAAACCTTGGTTCATTTACGGACTCTGGGATTTTTCTAAAAGAATTTCTTGTTTACTTTTAGGGGTAAATTTATTATGGCTGTTAGATGTTCGCCTCAATGCCTCCGTAATTATATACATGTACATGTACAAAATAATCTAGTTCTCTCAACTGATCAGAGCACCCTTTTATCGAACACATTTTCGTTCGCTGTCCGTCAGCTTTGTTCGCTGGGTTAGTCTGCTAATTGCACCCAATATTTGCACAAATAAAACATACATAAACACTTCAAAAACTAGTTCAGCAATTATACTTTCAGTAATAATAGCGGGAACCTCTGGCTTATGTACTCCAAGTCGAGCAAAACGCAAGAAAAAGGGCAGACAACAGAGAGGATTTCAAACTCAAAAGAGCTCTCATTTATTTCGCCAGACAGACTTCGCGGTCAACTCACCGCACCGTACCCCTGATTCTCAGCATAGAAAACCACAGCTCGACAAAATGTATCAAAATGTTGCAAGTTGGAATATCCAAACCTTTTAGTGGCCTATTTGTTAGAAAGTTATCTCCAGAGCACGCACTTAGCCAGACAAAAGAACCGGGTCAGCGCACCTGTGCCCTAATTAGCCCGCCAACAATGCGCCCGCCGGAGCTCGGCTGGCGATTTTAAAAATTTTTTTGCTGAAATGTCACCCTTCGTGTTTTGGGTACACAGCTTATAATACATCCCCTGTGGGCACTGGGCAAACAAGGAAATACTGCTTTGCACGTGTCAAGCTGGGGCGTGTGTATGCCGCGCCCACGCCCATTATTTGCATAAACTTAAATATGCATTTACAATTCAAAGACCCATATTTCATTGAATAAAGACATTAAATATCATAGGTTTTTTTCTTGGAGTTTTTGGTTGTTGAGAATAAGTTTATTTAAAATGATATAAAATCATTTCCTCAATTCTTGGTGACAAAAGTGCGAGTTATTATTATAAAAGTGATTTTTTTATCCTCAATACTGTGACTAGGAAGTACACCGTTTTGTAGACTTCAAGAAGCTTCCAGTAATAGATATGCCCGGTTCCTGTTTGTGAGTTAAGGGTCGGAGAGTCACAATAGCTGACGCCACCCGCCGTGTTTGGGGTTCACGGCTTAATACGTCCCCCATGCAAACAAGGAATCCTTCACTCTAGCTTCTCTGGTTATTGTTAATCTTTAAATTACTGACGACTGAAGAACAACTGATTGTTTTCAAATACCTGACCTACCTGTGAAGAAATCTTGCATGGCATGCTGACATGCGCACGTACGTTGACTACATGTACATGTATGGCATATTTTTGCTTTTGAGGGAATTTGGAATGGCCAAATAACCGAATATTCGAATATTCGATCGATTGGAAGGTCGAATATTCGAATATTCAATTATTCGAATTGACTCAGCCCTACTGCGCAATGCGTGCTTGATTGCGTAAAATACGCAGTTGCAGTTCTTCTACAAAGATGGCCGTCATTGAACGAGCCCTACACAGAGACTTAGAAGCTCAAATTAACATGAGACAGTGTTTACAATTCTGTCTGCACAATTTTGATGTTGGGGTATTCTCACGCTGCATTTATGATAAACAGGAAAAGACATAGCGAAGATGTAGAATACAGACTGATTTTACCTTTGATCCTGTAGATTTGATAGATTCTGCATCATCCTGGTCACTCATTAATGAGGCAACACTGTAGAAGAAAAACACACAAGGAAGCTACAACACATTTCTTATTTATTATAATAAAGAATTATGGAATATTCATTAAGGTAAGACATTCATTTCTTAGATCTGTCCAAAGTTATGAAAATTTGCTTGATACTGCTCGAAGTAAAATTGCTCAAAATCTTAAGAAGGGTGCATAACACCTTACTCATGGAAGTTTCCATTCAGTGGATACTATAAGTCTCGTTCAAATGACGTCATTTCCTACAGACCATCCACGTGCTCGGCATTTTGAGCATGACCTTGCATAACGCGCATCGGCTGCGTCGTCTTTTGAACACATTTCGAGCACCAAGCGCGCGTGTTTGAAACATTTTCAACACTGCGCAATGCTTGTTTGACTGCGTAAAATACGCAGCTGCAGTTCCCAACAGTAATGGCTGTCATTGAGCAAGCCCTATACAGATACAGTTGTTATCTACATGTATAACGATACAGAGTGGTTATCTATTAGGCCCAACAAAAAAATAGTTGGTCTCTGGTCAGACCGAAGCTCCAGAATTGATACGGCGACGCGTTTTTTTTTGTTTTTTTGGGTGGCTTTTTTTTTTCAAGCTTGAATTGTACAGAAAAGGCGAGTACTATTTTGCTTTTTGTGTCCTCATTATACATTGGTGTCCTCAATAATTTGCCTTGGTACTCTTTATCATTTTCCTTGGTGCAATTTCCCCATTCCTTGGTGCTCCTTGGAACAAAAATTTGAGGAGGTGCGGCAATAGAGGGCGCTGTTGTAGCTTTCGTGTTAATTTAAAGAAAAAAAAAGGTTGACGCGCATGATTAAAATCGACGCGCGCGCTGACCAGAGACCGCGTATTTTTTTTTTTTTTTGGCCTTACTATACAAATATAGTTGTTATCTGCATATGAAAACTGCAGGTACAGTAATGCGTTTGAATGAAGGTGGTGCATTTGAATTGGGTTTTGATGGAGACTGAAACCTAGAGTTTTTACAAAAATCAGTCATAAAAATACCTTGCCATGTGCGCATCACTCAACTTTGTGTGAACCTTCACATCAGTTGACTCAGCCCCGCTGGCTGAAAACCAAAAAAGATACAACAATTTTTATTAAAATACGACTATTCCAACTAAATATAAACAATTCGGACAGCTGATTACAAGCCTTTTTGAAATGTATATTATGGAAAGATACCTTAAATTGTCTTTAAATAATATTTTGATTTATTGGTTATTTTACACTATGAAAATAACGATGACTACACTCCTTGATTGTTTCAGCGAAAAACTTAAGCAGTGCGTCCTATAATTTTTTTGTAACAGAAATATTTAATCATGTAGAGCCGCAGTCTCGAAATTCAGGACCATGAGGTAAGAGCACAAAGCCAAAGCTTTAGACAAGTCCAAAGTTTAGAAAACACCCAAGTCTTGTTACACACAAAGTAACGCTAATACAAATATTCTGCTACACATTTATCTATTAATAAGATGGGATTTTTGCATCGGGGTGATGTAAATCAAAGTAGGTTTTGCCCTTCACCGACGTATAAACACTGCATACGCAGTGTGTTACCTCCAGAGTGAAAGTTGGGGAAAAAAACACTTGAGTGGGACTCGAACCCATGACCTCCTGCTTTCTGAATGAAATGAAAGAAGTTTTCTGAATGAAATGAGAGAAAATAAAGGAGGGACTTGGAGATACTGACCACTTGTTCCTGGCTTGGGTGGTTGTGCTGGCGTGCTCTGGGGAGGTAAGGTGCTGGCAGCTGGTGTTGTCTTGCTGCCACTGGCTGGTCTCGTTGCAGTGGATGGGGTCGGTACGACAGTCCCGTCACCTGGGGCAAACAGAAAACCCACATACAAAGTCCTTTGGTACTCATACAAGCAAGACATTATGTCTATTTATTAATTATTTCCTTTGGAGTTTCTAACAATAAAACTTTTTAAACGATAGATATACCCATGCATGCATTCAAAATACGGTTATTTTTGCACCCAAAATACTGCAATTCCAATTGCCCAGGGAGTGGTTATTAATCTCATGTCAAATCAAATGTCAGTTCATGTATCAAGTTTACAAGTAACAGGGTACGGAAAGTAACACCAGAGTGCCACATTTCATTTTTCAATTTTGTTTAACCCATTAGCACTTGTACCACATTGTATTACATTGTGTTTATTTACTGAAGAATCAATAAAACCATAGAATGCTTTTCGGGCGCTACAGTGACTATAAGGTTAACCTATCTTAATGTAATACTGAAATATTCTGAACTTGAGCGCATTACCACACAGCGTTTAACCGCTGTCAGACTCTATTGCGTCATTTTATATGGGGAGTCAGGTTGGCGTAGCGGTACTTTCCTCGCCTTCCACCGCTGTGACCCGTTTTCGAATCCCGCCTGGGCCAATATGTGGATTGGGTTTTCACTCCCTGCCTGATTCCGTTGGTTTTTCTAAGAATATTCTTCTGGGATTTTCCTCCCTCCTCTGAAACCATAATTTTTTCTCAATGTCTTCTCTCTATAGGGTTTTCAGGATTGCGAGCTACAGTGCCTGGGGCGCAGCGGCTTTTGAGGAATCCTTGGTTTCATTACCTGAAATAATTAATAATAATAATAATCATCACTTGAACATTGTTAGGCTGAGTCTGGAATGGGCATGGCCTATTGCCTATAGAAGTTTATATTTAGTTCAGCGTGTCCAATTTTAAACAACAAACGTTGAAGCCTTAGCAACAAACAGCCACTTGTAACTACTTTTATTGCTCGTACCTTTATTGGAGATAGAACTAGATCTAGAGATTGGTTTGTCCCCTCCGATCTGACTTCCTTCCTGATCCTCCATCACCACCGGCTGCTCCTCTGATGTCAAAACAAAATACATGCATTATCAGTGTTGGAGGTCTCGAGGCCGGCCTCGGCCTCGAGGCCGGCCTCGAGGCCGATTTTCATGGCCTTGGCCTCGGCCTTGGCCTCGGAGGTGCAAGGCCTCGGCCTTGGCCTCGGCCTCGGAGCCTTCCGGCCTCGGCGAATCGGTCGAGGCCGGCTCGAGGCCGCCCATTTTGATGTGTTTTCTATTCTAATTAATTTTAATTTTTTACCGTATCAAACCCTCGATATTCTGCCGCAGTGGGTTCCGTGAAACGAACGCATATACAATGTACGCACGAATGAACTGGAAATGGTTGCATTGAACGTACTCACGTACGTAGCATCTTCGCCTAGCCTGCGCTTCAGCTTTCTCCGTGCGTGCAAACGTTATAACTGTTACCGCGTGCCAGACTACATAAGTCTGGCACCAATCCCATCTGCGTACAATAACATGTGGTAGTAGACTAGTCTGGTTTGCAGTATTGTACAACATTTTCTCGTTTCGCCTCTGTACCCCGACCTTTAAAAATGATTTGCGGCAAGGAGTGACAAGCTTAATTATTTTTTTTTATAGGCCACTGTTTCAGTAAAAGTCTGAACTTTCTGGGTACGATCGAGTGTACTAGTCCGTACCATTTTTTTTCATAAAGATATGATAAAAACAGTTACGATTTATCAAGTAGATTTTATTTTTACACGGTGATTTAAATGAAAGTTCCGGCTCACACGGTAATGTTTGGCGCAAATGGTCGATATGGAAGCGCGATTTCAGAATTCGTTTTTCCATCCAAATGAATGCTAAGTTCTGAATGAATGTTTTAATAATAGGAATCAGTATTCCTCGTGGTACCAGGATACTTTTTTGTATTTTTAGAGCCATGTTGATACTTATTACATGTATAAGCACGGTTTGAAATTGACTAATTTTGCGTGGTTACAGATATATGGCCAAAACCTCTGGACTCCCTACCTCTTGCCATGATCTTAAAATTCTTCGAAGCCATTGGATTCAAATCGAATGATCCGAGAATTCATGGTCATTTTGATGAACTGAGTGATATCATGCACGCATGTTCCGTGTTGTTTGGAGCGGGATTGGCCATTGCCAGACTTTGTCTGGTACTGCGGTATTAACAGTGATAATGCGTGGACACTTATCCCGTTGTGTGGAGCGGGATTGGAACTATGCTTTGCCCGTGCGTAATGGCGGGCCGTCTGGCATTGTCTGGTCGCAGGCGCGGTGTTTGCTCGGCGCGCGCCTGGACAGTGCGAAGGTCGGGGGGGGGGGGCGAAACTTTTTGGGTATGAGTGGTAAAAACCTGATTCAAAAATCAAGTTGTTGTTTATTTTAATGGGGATTCCTTTGATATTAAGCATTTTGATGTAAATCTTACAGAATAAAAACTCAAAATTTGGCCATTTAAATTGTTGTATCTCCAAAGGGCAAACACCTATGAGCCTGACTCAAACGCCATTGATTTTGTTGTGTAATTTGCTTTCAGTGATACAAAACTTGAGATTTCTAACCTAAACAAATAAAATTCGCCAGACTCCCTACAAGAGGAAACCCATTGCAAGCTGTAAATTTGTAAGCCAGGCACTCCAAAACTCAGTGAATTCAAATAAAAAGATGTTAAAACTCCAACATAATCTTGGCCTTGTTTTAGTGATTTATATTTTATTACATGTTTTGACAGCCGGCCTCGGCCTCGGCCTTGGCCTCGGAGGTGGTGGCCTCGGCCTTGGCCTTACGGTTGTGGCCTCGGCCTCGGCCTTGGCCTTGGAGGTTGTGGCCTCGGCCTTGGCCTCGGCCTCGGAGGTTGTGGCCTCGACTACAACACTGTGCATTATCATGAAATGGGATTCAAACCCGCTACATCCATACTGATGCTCCTGCCCCATTTTGGTGGTTCCCCATTTAGTTAGCAAAAACACTCGAATGGCAACAAAATGTATCTGTGAAACTAAACATGCACCCTGACACTAAAAGAGAAGTATGTAAGTTGTCCAATGTATCGTACAGAACAATTTTTTTGATATTTTTGACAAGATCCGGCAAAATAGTTCTTCATTTCATTTTGATATATTGCTCAGTTTGACACCCTGACTAATATGGGCATTATGTGGGTGAAAACTTGACAGGTTTTTATTGTTTTCCAACATTGAGAACCAGTTGATACCAAATGTAAGAGTGACTGTTGAAACTCTGCTACTTCGCATTAACTTGGCCAAAGTTTAAAAGTAACATAACATCTGAGCCCAATTTCATGGCGCTGCTAAGCACACAATTTCCTGCTAACAGAACCTCCATCCATTGCATGGAGACCGTACGCAGTAAGCACAGCAAGAAGCATGCATGCCTCAGAGGAAAAAGTTGCTTAAATTAGTGACATAACAATAGAAATCTCCATGCGTGCGCAGCCATTAGCACATGCACACAATGAAATAGTACTTCAGTTTAGCACAATTTTCTGCTATAAAGTAAGCACAACTTTTCTGCTAACTGTTAAGCAGCGCCATGAAATTGGGCCCCGGTCACTAACCTTGAGGGGGAGGGGTAGGGGGCACAAGAACGTCGTCAGGGTGGGGCTTGCGAAGACCGTGGAAGGGGCCCAACTCAAAACAGCTGCTGAGCAGATTGAGGTTGACTTTCCTGGAAATGCTCATGAATCCCTCGGCAGTGCCTTCACTCTGCGCCACAACAACAACAACAAAGGTAAGAAGAACGGAAGATTACAAGCAAAAGCTCGGATGTACATGAACCAAATCTTGATTTCCAGGAAGGCAGGCAAGCTTTAATTGAATGTGAAATTTCTAAAACTGTTGTATCTTTCACCTGAATTTGCGACCTCAAACGACCTTTGCGACCTTACAGGTTTACAGTGTAAACTGCACCTTTTGCAAGCGTCACCTGTCGCGCGTAAAAAGTCACATCAAAGTCACATCAGTTGTGGCTTTCCACGTAGCCTGAATTTCATTATAAAGATTCCCCACAATTGGCATTCAAAACCTTTCCCATAATTTGGAACTGGTTCCTGATATCGGTAGTCGGGTACTCAAATGTCTCTCTTTCACGAAAGTGTATTAATTCTTTTCATAAATAGAATCTTTGGGGTTTGGTTTAACTCACCTCCACAATGATGGCATGGTTGTCTACATTCTGGGATTCAATCAACTCGGCCAGAAAGAAATCACCATATGTAGTCTTCAACATGTCACTCTGACGATTGAAGATGGGAGTCAGGTCATCATGATCCTCAACTCTAAAATAGGTAAAGGCAAGATTAATGAAATCAATTTTCCTGACAACTAATATACTTCAGTCTACCAATTATTTAAAAAGGGGACACAATCACTGCTATACTATCAGGCAGAAAAGGTGTATGTATATGTGTGTTCGCCAGAAAAGTAGGCAACCGGCGGCATGTAAAAAGAACAACTTTTCTCCCCAAAAATTGTCTGGTCTAGAGAGGAAGGTAATGCACAAGACAAACATTTAAGGAAAAAAACAGCATCACATAGTATCATTTGTGCCTCATAAGTTCATTCATATCTGCATACAATCTCATAAGGCACCATTAGACCAATTTCATGGCGCTGCTTAACGTTAGCGAAAAATCCCTGCTTACCATAGTACAAAAATTCTGATCTAACGGTATAAAGTGTATTTCACTGGCGAGCGAGAAATTTTGGCTTACTATAAGGACTGTGCTGACAGCATTAGCGCAGATTTTTTTTTGCTAGTGCTGTAAGCACAGAACGGTGATCGTAAGTACGGAATTCTGTGGTTAGCAGAGCTTTGAAATTGGGCCCAGGGGCTAGTGCTGTAAGCACAGAACGGTGATCGTAAGTACGGAATTCTGTGGTTAGCAGAGCTTTGAAATTGGGCCCAGGGGCCAATTTCACGGCGCTGCTAAGCACAAAAATTTGCTTAGCACAAAAAAAGGCTGGCTTATAAAAGCAGGTTACCAACCAAAACTCCACGTGATATTTATTGCTCGTGATTAGTATTCAGCTGTTGTGTGCTTAGCATGAAAATCACATGGAGTTTTGGCTGGTAAACTGCTTTTATAAGCCAGACTTTTTTTGTGGTAAGCAAATTTTTGTGCTTAGCAGTGCCGTGAAATTGGGCCCAGTCACATTAACCCACCATCTACCTCCAATCTCCACACGACTCACCTGGCTTTTCTCACAAACAGCACCGGACAATGGTCGTGCCTGTGACAAACAAAGACCGAGTGACTCTCCAGGGGCTTGGCCCCAAACTTCTTGTCCAGCGGCTTGAAGATATCGGCCAGGGCGGGCTCCGGGTAGATCCCACTGGGCACCACGAGGTACAGGAAGTGGACGTCTGGTACCGCATTGAAGACGGTGCTGCAACAGTTTGCCAAATGTAATAATAATAATAACTGTATTTATGTAGCGCCTTTTGCCAGAGGATACAAAGCGCTGGGGAAGAATGCAACCAAAGGCAGGTAAATGAAGTATATGAGACCCATTATGTAGCATCTTTTTGCTAGGTGCTGCGGCGCATAATTGCTGCCTCTGCCAGAAACACCAGGGCAAACCCCTTCAATTAGCGGCAAGTATTACTGGGTTCTTTAACGTGCATTACACAACATACGAGACCTACGGCTTTACGTCCCATCCGAAGGACGAAGCAATAATGGTAAAGTGCCTTGCTCAAGAGCACAAGCACCATGTTCACACGGTCAGGATTCGAACCCATGTACCACAGCACACGGGTCGAACACCGTAACCATTGGACCACAGCGCCCCATACACCGTCGTGATTATTGAGGGAAAAAATAGTTCTACTCAAAAAAAAATCTACATCTCAATGGACAACTTCACACTGGTCTTTTGGCTGACACTGAGCAATTATTGATTGCCTAAGTACTTTTATACAGAAAAGATGCTGATTAAGATTTGAAGGTTTGCATGGTAAAGACAGCAATAAGAATAAGGTTTAAGATAGCAACATGTGACAAATCTCTTTTGTGAGTTTGTGACGTTCTGAAAAGAACCGAAGGAAACTCAACGTTTCAGACAGTACACTCTGCCCATCGTCAGGAGGCTAAAAAGATGAAAGATGATTTTTCCAGTCATTTTTCTTAATTTATTTCTAGTCAGATCATTTTGTCCTCTTGTTTATTTTTGTCTTTGACTTAATTAATTAATTATTTGATTATTCAATGTCTTTGGTTTTGTCTTGTACAGGCACTCCGCTACAAGCCTTGGCTTATTAGTATTGTGCCTCCACAATATTGTATTTTGCTTTCTGTTATGTTATTGTTTCAGTATGGAAATAAATGTAATATTGCATTGAATTGAATTGAACTGAATTGAAATTGAATGTGAGTTAGAATCCACACGTTTTTCTTCTCCTAACAGTTTATAAATTCAGAAACTTTTCTACAATATAAAGTGCAACAGCAAAAAATAAAAATCATTCTTTATTACCGAATGATTTCCCTGGCACTTCCATGTGAAAACTCTTGTTTGGCTGCAAAGTAGTGCATGAACAACGTGTTCAAGGGCTGTAAATGAAAAAGCCAAAGTTACATTAAAATAACACTGTGGACAATTGAAAAGCATTATAAGTTGGCTAGTGCATTTGATCAGTTTACTTTCCATTCCTCATTTAGTAGTTTCTATAAAATATCTTTTAAAAACTCTTCAAAGGGAATGTTTCTGATAAACGTGAATGACATATTTAAAAGATTTACATTAAGTTCTATGCATAAAGACACTGCTCTGCATGAACAAGGTTGTAGCTAGTTTTACAATTTCAACAGCATACAAACTATTATTCCTATTGGTCGAGAGCCTGTCACATGACCGGTCTTGCCGGCCGTCTGACCGGTCTTAAACACTTTTCCAGTGTCACATGAAATTTGGACTCCTACAATGTATGAAATCTGGTGCCTTTTATCATTTTATTGGTTGAATGTTCACAATCCTCGTGTATGCATGCGCAATTCTACCAGTGAGTCAAAATTGCATAGTCCTAAATTCACACTACACCGGCACAGCTGCGTTGTGTGCCACATCGCGAAGTACGCGCAAGCCAATCTCCACATAATGAGCTGTTTACGACACTCCTGAGACTGGACATTGCATAATATAGCTAGAGGGGTGTCCCGGAAACATGAGGTAATAATGTTGAACAAATTCATTGGAAATTTTTTGACTTGTTTTGACTTTTGGACCGAAAAGTTTTGATTATTTGACCGAAAAGGTATTTATGAATGGGAATAAATACATACTTGGCCGGTATTAAACACTTTGTTTAAGACCGGTTGGAGTCTGGATACTGGGTAATTATCAGAATCCAAACTCCAACCGGTCTTAAACAGAGTGCTTAAAACCAGCAAAGCACACATTTATTCCCTTATTTTTACTACCAAAATTCTCTCTTCCCAAAAATAACTGGCTTCATAGTAGTAGTACACAAAAGTTTAACATGACCACAATGAACTTGACCACCAAGCCACAGGTCAGTTGTTTCACATCCACATTTGTTCCCTGACTGTGTCTTTGATCAGACAATGAAGACTCTTTCCTATGAGATCATGGCCCATTTTCAAAGTACATGTATCATGTGATTTGTATTACTTTTGCCAGTTTACGCTTCCTTGATTTTTTTTTTCAGCACAAAAATTGCAAAGCCGTATCTTCTGGTTAGCTGTTCAATGAAACTGAGCTGAGGCTGCGGGGTTAATTGTAGAGTCAATACTCACAGTGCACTTTTGGCAGTCAAAGTATGCATTGAGCCACTCCTGCCACTTGGCCGGGTCAACGTCGGGCACATTGGGGTAATCAAAGAAGGCAGAATGCGCCAAGATCTGCTCCTTGTCATTATTCAGAGTCACTGCCAACACAGCCTTCTCACTGTCCAAAAATAAAAGTTCAAGTTTATGGTTTAAATGAGACAATATGAGCAACTCGCAATACTTTCTCTAAACACTTAGACTTTGTCCTGGAAATGCCACATTTCTAGCCTCATGGTCACCATCCTGTATAAAGTATGCTGCATTTATTTATCTGTCTGAAGTTGCTTTCATACAGTAGTCGTACAACGACAAATGCAATTGGAAGTCTTGTAAATACACTCAGATCAAAATAACTTTAAAAGTGCAAAAGTCTTGAGCAAAAGGACTTCAGTTTTGTGCGATGATGTAAACTTTTTTAAACAAAAACAGCCTGCAGTATTAAACTGTTGCTGACACACTGCATTATTAATTGTTCCTATCACTTAAATCCTCTCTTTACTCCTTTCTCCCAAAGGTACTCACATACATTTGAAAATTGTCGACTGCTCTGATGTGGGATATGCAGTTTTTAACATCCGAGGGGCGCATAGCACTCTCGGAGCCCAGAGGGGTTAAAAACAGCGTATCCCACATCACAGCTGTCAACAACTGTTTTGCTATATCGCCAATAAGTCAAAATGGTAAATGATTGTAACTTAATATGCAAGAAATAAATTAAAATCAGTGGGATGTAACTGCAGGCTTTCCTGTCGGACACGAGACTGCGCGTTTGTGCATTGCATGCAGATCTCGGTCATGAGCGCGCCTGCAGATTCTACACGCAGGCCTGCAATGTGCCGTGTATACGAGGTAAACCAGTGTACAATGCGTTTTTATAGATTGGACGCATGGCCGTTCTTGACCAATGTAATTACAGTATCCAAGCGCACGATATAACAAATCAATTTTGAAACTTCTATAAGTTGATGTAATCTTTATTTCCTTTCTTTCACGACAGCATCCAAAGGGTCAATCAAATAAATCTTGGCCTAATTTCACGGCGCTGCTAAGCACATGATTTTTTTGCTAATAGAGCCTCCGTCTATTTCATGGAGACCGTAAGCATAAGCACAGCAAAAGGCATGCTTACTTCGGAGGAAAAATTTGCTTAACTTAGTGACGTAACAATGGAAATCTCCATGCACGTGCGACCGTTAGCACACACACGCCGTGAAATAGTGCTTAAGGTTAGCAAATTTTTCTGCTATGCTAAACACAACTTTTGTGCTAACTGTTAAGCAGCGCCGTGAAATGGGCCCTTGTCATTTGTCTTACATCAGGTTGACAACATTGACCAGTCCGAACTGGGGCTCGGTAGCAGGTCCGACCAGCTTCAGGATGCTGTGAGCATCCAGTGACTCTGTGCGTCGAGCATTGATGACCTCAGCTGGACCGTTAGCTGACATCAACACCGCGGTCATCCTGCACGGTTACTTGGGCCTAGACAAGGGGAACATAAAACAAAAACAAAATTTATGGATACGTTCACAGAACTTTGCTCCACTTTACTTTCAGGGTCCAAAATGAGATGCACAGTTGGTTGATATTTTCGTTATTCTTCAATGTACAGCCTGTCTCCAAAAGAATTTGGTACAATCGAAAACGATTTTTTTTTTCAATATTAAATCTCAACATAAGTAAGTCGTTTTGAGCATCACATTAAAGAAAAAAGACCAGGCTTTCCAATACTTTTTGTTTCATCTCATTTGCTTTTGTCCATCCAGAGATAACTCCAGTTTACTGCGGAACACAAACATCGAGTTTGTTTCTTTTGCCAAGTTGCAATCTTTTGTGAGCTTCAAGACAGCAAGGCACAGTACTCGAAACAACTCTGCCCATGCATAAAAGTGGCACAAAATCGATTTTGGTGTACCGCACTAAATTGATTATATCTCTGAATTGACAAAAGCAAATAAGATCAAACAAACACTATTGGAAAGCCCCGTCTTTGTTCTTTAATATTACATGTATGCCAAGTAAGAATGACTTATTTTGAAATTTCATATTTAACCAATTTTTTTTCTGATTGTACCATTTTTTTTAGACAGGCTGTACTTTTTAATTGCATGGAAATTTGCAACTTACATTTTCAATTACCACAACTGACTTGTGCACACCTACACATAGACAGTAATGCACTCACCAAAATAGCTGGCAATTATGAAAAGCAATACTAGGAAATTTGCTGAAAATGAGCAGGTTTTTGATTTTGAGGGACACCATGACTAAAAACAAACAAACGTACTTAGCTATTGTTATGGTGGCAATAATGCAATTTTCAACTGCTGTAGTTATGGCATTGCAAAAAAAAAACTATCATCAACGTCATCTATATGTTGGGCGCGATAGATGGATCAGTGCTATTACTCAATCATGCAGAAATGGGATTTAGCGCCAATCTGGCAATCCTGTGGGACACATCTCAGACTTGACTTTTCAAAACAATCCTCCAGACTAGAGCAATAAAATAGAAAGAAGAGGTGATCGCCTGATTGCTGTGCAATCAACCGATGGCAGCAAGATCGACCAATAGCACAGTGTGATAGACTGATTGCACGGATCCTCTGATCGCACCCAATGTCATGATATATGATGTAGGGCCTAACTGCAAATCCAACGTGAGCGCTTGGGCAGCTCGACTGAGTAAACATGGGAGCGAATCCACAATGTCATAGTTTTCTTTTATAGTACTTTTACATTTTTAACATTTCTGTAATGGACCGTTTCTGTAATGTACCACGGATACATAGTCCGGGATTTCGGGATTCTTACGACCCGGTGATTGTAACGTAGTTGTGACTCCAGCTCTAATGCGATAGGCATTAGACTAGAGTTTGAGACTGGACAAGCTAGACATTGCTTTAGTTTAAACGCAGAGGCTATTGTTACGGCAACCGTAACGCATTTCCCATTTTCTATCGTTACGGTAGACTGCAACTTTTATAAAAACATGACAAGAAAATATAAAATAGAAGGAAAAAAGTGAATTTGAATGTTATGAAATTCGGACTTTATTTCCCTTTTAAAAAAAATCCTCCAAAGCCTCAGGTCATGCAGGTTACAAAAGGAAAAAAATTCGAGTGCAAAACCGAGATTCAAACCCGCAACCTCGCGGTGCAAAATCCTACCCTCTATTGACTGAGCTGTCGCACTGCTCGCTAAAACGTGTGGAAACAAATAATTATATACCTGCGACTGCGTGCGTATTAAAAAAGTATCGTAGAGGGCGCTAAACAACGACTGCCGTAACGATAGCCACTTCGTAGTTTAAATCATGTAAATTAAAGATTGCGGTTGCAGAATTCATTTAAACATAACAATAACACTAAAAAAAAATCTAAATGAGGGGTGTTACTGTCTAACGTTACATATGCTAGCCGCTACACTTCAACCCCCCCCCCCCTCCCGCCCCCTCCGCCGGGCCCGGGCCAAAAAGCAACACAGACTCACACTCACAGTCACACAAAAAAAAAACACAGCAACTGCAAAAATGTGCAAGTCTGAACAATGTATCGATACATTGACCTCATCTTTAAACCATAACATAAGGTAGAAATGTTAATTAAGTCACACACTTTTCTCACCCGATTCTGAGATTTATGGGTTTTAAATGAAGTGCAATATTCCTTTTTCGTGCGAAGAGAGCGTAGCCTCCTTGGCAACAAATGACCTCGAACTTGTAATATTAAATTAACTTAGATATTTTTGGCTATTCTTAAATATTTAAATAATTTACTCAAACAAATAAATTATAAATAAGTGTTATAAATATTTATGTAGCGAAATACTTTTACGTAAAAAATTGTTTTTGCCTAAACAATTAAAATTTTTAAATAATCCCCTACAACAGAAAGCGCCCTCAAGAGTTCATATTTATTGAGAAGTACGTTTGTTTTCCGACAAGAAATTACATGCGCTGTGCTTAGTATTTCGTCCTGGATTCTGATCATGGCGTCTTCGACAGCAAAACATAAAGTGCCAAAGGTGGCAAAGGTAAAATGTTGCAATTTTCCCGCAGATATGGTTGTACGTTTGTTATCTAGCTGAATTAGTAAGGTTTTAGTTCAGTGAGTTCTTGAAAACGCATATGAATAGGGAAAAGTTCCCTATTTCCGACACTCTTCACCAATGACTATCATCAGACATGTCAGATTATTCATTTCAAATAACTTGTTGAAGTAAAAATAAAATCGGAACTTGTATTTTTTTACATTATTTCCTATTTTTCAACTGATGATATTTTGAAGGATTTCCTGTGCACTAGACCATTGTACTTTTGTAGACCTGTGAACGTGGCTATTTTATTTACCTAGCCATGCTAGCGTTAGCCACCCTTTGATCTACATGTATGCTACAGTCATGACAGTAAAAGTATACTATTTTGATCGGAAACTGTGGTTACAGTGACCAACTGACCGTTCTAGCCAAATGTCGGCTAAATTTGACAGAATATTTGCATACAAAAATGAGTTGCACAGAAAATGTAGATTGTTTTTTGCTAAAGGAAAAAGAAAAAGATTAGAGAAATAGGGCCTACATTGTATATATAAATATAGCACATGATTGTCATGATTGTACCATGCACAATTGCACATACATGTATTTTGGTTTTGAAAAAGATTCATTTTTGTTAAGATCCCTTAAACAAACTCTTGCACAATTACAATGGAACAGCAATACTGGGTGATTTGGCAGATTTGTAACATTTGATTTTGATGTGGATTTATTTAGCAGAATCTTAACATTGTATTACAGTCATCTGGTGTAAGATGAGTAGTCGTGTACCCACTGGTGGGACTCCCTACATTTTGCGCATGTGGAACTCTTAACTAGATTTTTAACACTTTTATAGTTTATTCTTATTCTATTTGGTTTTGTTCATCTAGGTCAAGAACCGTATGCCAGCAGAGGTTCAGATCACAGCAGAACAGATTTTGAGAGAGGCCAAAGAGAGAGAATTGGAGCTGGTTCCCCCGGTGAGTCACTTGAAAGAGATCTATCATTTATTCACAACTAAAAGAACCAATCAACCTCAGGTTAACCCTCCTGCTATGTAAGCATTCACAGACAGTCAAAATTCACTATCGCTTCCCCTGCTATACTTTTAACAAAGGCTAGTCACCAGCAGTCAGATCATATGTCAAGCAAGCACTGTGACTATTCAAAGTGGGTCAACAGACAAAACAGACAAGTTGTGGTCACAGCTGTTTTATCACTCTCCCGGAGTCAAAGCATAGCTGTATCAAGTTACTTATCAGTCCCAGTCAGTCAATCCTGCTTTATGTAGGCTGGGAATTCTTAACTGTTGTAAACAGTAACTTGATTGATTTTGACTGCAACAGAATGTATGTTTGCATAGGAGGGTTGTTAATAATAATAATAATAATAATATCGGAGTCTTATATAGCGCACGTATCTACCAACTATTAGGTACTCAAGGCGCTGGAGATATGTCTATTATTAAAGAAAGGTAAATAAAGTTTATGAGAAATATGAGACCCAATATGAGACTCCCTAGTATAAATTACTAGGAACCGTACCCATCCTGGCAAATTCCAACACCCATATGGGAAATCATACGTACACACTGTTGGACTTAGTTACTAGAGGTATGCCAAACCCAATGCAAAAAAACATCAGTTTTAGGGGGACTGCACCCATTCTAACAGACTTCAACAACACCTGCTGTTGGGCTTTGATGGGTTGAGTTCGGTTAGGGTTAATGAGTGTTTAGGTTGGGGGATGATAGCTATTCCTAACAGTCCTGAGTCCTCCAATTTTAATATGATTTTGCACACCCCCTAGGGAGTTACGATTGTCACCCAAGCCAGGTGTTGTTTTTCCTTTATCAATATTTATTAATGTTGATATGTTCTTCTTTTTTAATTCCCCTACCTCAAACTACCCTCCGAAAAATAGCCCCCAAAGCAGAAGATCACTGATCCAGATGAACTCCAAGAGTACCGGCTCAGGAAGAGGAAAGAGTTTGAGGATAACATCCGTAAGAATCGCTCCAGCGTCACCAACTGGATCAAGTATGCCAGCTGGGAGGAAAGCCAGAGGGAGATTGACAGGTACGGGGAGTAGATCATTTTCTCAAGACCAGTTGAAACTGGTGATTGGGCCAAAAAAAATACTTGGTCTCTGGTCAGCGCGCGCGTCGATTTTAATCATGCGCATCAACCTTTTTTTTTTCTTCAAATTAACACGGAAGCTACAACAGCGCCCTCCATTGCCGCACCTCCTCAAATTTTTTGTACCAAGGAGCACCAATGCATGGGGAAATTGCACCAAGGCAAATGATAAAGGGCACCAAGGCAAATTATGGAAGACACCAATGTATAATGAGGACACAAAAAAGCATAATAGTATCCACCTTATCTGTACAATTCAAGCTAGAAAAAAAACAAAAAAACACCAAAAAAAAAATAAAACGGTCTGACCAGAGACAGACTATTTTTTTGGGGGGGGCCTTACGCAGAAACAAGTGCCTCCAATATTGATTTCAGAACTGGTCTGATACTATGACTGTTATTGGTGTTTCTTTTCACATTTTCAATCATCATGAATTTCAGAATAGTGTGTGAATTCCCATTTGGGCAATATACACGCAAGTGTTCATTTTTGTTAACTAATATTCACCCTTATTAATTATTGCAAATTTTGTTTCCCATTTGAATGAAAATGTTCTCGCACTATGCGATGTGGCACAGAACGCAGTTGTGCCGATGTACATGTAGTGTGAATTTAGGACTATGAAATATATAGACTCACTGGTAGTATTGTGCATGCCTGTGTGAGGATTGTGAACGTTCAACCAATAAAACGGTACTGGGACTGGATTTCATAGGAGTCCAAATTTCATGTTACACTGGAAAATCGTTTAAGACCAGCCAGCCGGTCTTTATCAACCGTTTAAAACTGGCCACGTGACAGGCTTTCGACCAATAGGAATGGTTAAACTGTCTTAGGTATTTATGAATATAATATAACAATGTGACAATATTGTGTCAAGCTGTATAAATAAACACTGACATAGATATTTGACACCTTGTATAAGGATATATTCTTACAATACTCTCCTCATTGATAGGTGTCAGAATTCAACCAGGTACGACCAAATTCTTTTGTTCAACTCAAAGAACTTTAAACATCCATGTTTTTTTTTAAATTTATGCAGAGCGCGGTCAGTACATGAAAGAGCGCTTGATGTGGATCACAGGAACATAACACTGTGGCTGAAGTATGCTGAAATGGAAATGAAGTGAGTAGCAACCTGTATATTTTTATTTTTTATTTTTTTATTTTTTTTTGGATTGAGTTTTAAAAAGAAAAGATATTGGCATCAGAATCTGCCTTTGATTAATTGTTTATAAATACATTTATCTCTTTATTTATGCCAATGTGTTAAAAAAGCGAGTTTGATGATCACATGAACCCTAACTCCCTAGGCATTTATGCTAAGATATGACCTCAATCCTGCAAAATCCTCCAACTTCCTCCATGTCAAAATTGCATACAGCCTCAATCCTCCAAAATCATCTGTTATTTTTTTAATGTGGTCCTTGGAGGGGTGACCACTGCCTCATTCCTGCATCCTGGGGCAGTGCCGAGGATTTCAACTATAATCTAGTCTTAAATTTATGCACTACTGAGCATTTATAAACAACACAAGGTCCGGCCCAAGACCTTGACACAGTGCATCCTCTGAAATCAGCCACACACTTTTACCATATAGCCTCAATCCTGCAAAATCCTCCATTTTGCAAAGAGGATTTGGGAGGTTTTGGGACAGTTAAGGCTAAAAGGTTGTTTGGATATTAGAAATTAGCACACAAGCCTTACAATGCACTGAGACAGACACCTGTATTTCCCAGAAAAGAATTCCTAATTCATGAGAAAAAAAATTAACTGAAGGTCACTCAGTTGTTTTTTTAAAGTGAGGGATATGAAAGTGTTCCTTATCCCATCTCCCAACTTGGCTTCATTTTTTTACCTGAATTTGACTTCGGCAGATCAGTCATGAGGTACATGTAGTAGCAATGAGAATTAACAATAAGGGAAACCTCAGTATGGTTGTCTGTACATTTTTTGGGTTGAAGAAAGATGTAGGGGAACAAAACCTTGATATAACAGAAGAGGGTAAGCTGTATTCATAAATGACAGCCCTGGTTAGCCTGTTGCTTTAATTAATACACTACCTGGGGAGTTAGAGTTTAGGGAAATGTGCAATATTTTGTTTTGGTTGCTGATTTGGCTCAAAAGACCAGTTTGTACCAAAGGTCTCAAAAGCGCTGCACAAATATTACCCCTGTTCATCATGCCATGAGACCATTCTTGTCTGCAGCAGCTCAAGATCAGTACAATCTGGTCTCTACCCTCACAGGTACCCATTTGTGCTCCTGGGCGGAGGGAGGCAATTGTAGTAAAGTGTCTTGCCCAAGAGCACAAGCACCAAGTTCTCGTCAGTGGTCGAACCCACATACATGTACATGAGTTGAACACCATAATTAACCCTAACCCCCACGTGGTATTCCCTAGGCACCCTGCCAAATGCAACAGAATGCAGTGAACTAATACATGCCAGCCTTGGTACCAAGTACCTACCCTGCCAAATGCAACAGAATGCAGGGGTGCAATGCATCAGATCAGGAGACTGCTAAATGCAACAACTTGCAACAACTTTTTACCACTGGTGCATTCTGTTGCATTTAGCAAGGTTAGGGCTATCACAACTGTGCATGTTGTACCAGCCAAACACGCTTATCAAAAAAGAAGGCCGTTTACTTTCTTTTTCATTTTGCCTCCTGATCGATTCCCTCCTCAGACATAAGCAGATCAACCACGCCCGTAACATCTGGGACCGGGCCATCACCATCCTGCCGAGGGCCAAGCAGTTCTGGTACAAGTACACCTACATGGAGGAGATGATCGGCAACGTGGCTGGGGCACGGCAGGTCTTTGAGCGCTGGATGCAGTGGGAGCCCGAAGAGCAAGCCTGGCTGTCCTTCATCAAGATGGAGTTGAGGTACAAGGAGGTGGACCGGGCACGCAACATCTACGAGAGATATATCCTTTGGAATATCGGCGACCCTGTCGCTCCCTTGGCATTTTAGCTCTGAAGGTCTCGCATCGTCCCAAATCCACCGTAGTCAGTGGTGCGTGTGTAATGCGAGGCATGATATATTTCCTATTTAATAGATTTCCATGTTTTTTCTCCTTCATTTCCTGTTGATTCCTCCATTTTCCTATTCTTGTATTTCCTATTGATTCCTCCATTCCTATTGATTCCTGCATTTCCTAGTGATTCCTGCATTTCCTATTGATTCCTGCTTTCCTATCCGGTTTGTTAGTGTGACGTCATCTCAATTCAGCCAAGCGTACTTCACACGGTGTAGCATAGCATGAATGGAACCGGAAGTTAACGCACCTCGAGCGTTTATCCAATGGGCGCTAGTAATCAGGGGTGCGCGCGCGTGTATGACGTTTTTACTAACAAACCGGACTGATTCCTCCATTTCCTGATGATTTCTCAATTTCTCATTGATTCCTCCATTTCCATTCCTCCATTTCCTGTTGATTCCTCCAGCATTCTGTACTTTGGACATTACACTTTTAAGGTCTGCTGGACACTTTTTCCAATTGGCATAGAGGCCACTGTGATCATCATCTTCCTCAATCCTCCTAAATCTTCCATTGTGTAGGAAATACAAGGACTTTTTTTTACTTCAAATTCATGGGGCATTGTGGCCATTGTAAAGTTTTATTGACTTGCCTGTACCTTCTTGAATTCTGCAAAATCCTCCAAACCATCCAATTAGGTTTTCAAGGATCTGGGAGGGATATGGTGAATAAATATATTTGGTGGAAAAGAGTGACCTGTGTTTATTGCATGAACCTATAATGTCTGCCACATTTGACCAGAGGTGAGCTGCTAGACACTCCAAGATAACAACAGCGATTCTCTAATATGCAAGTCTATGTTTCTTGTTATTATATCATGCATTCCATGAAATACCTCTATTGGTATTTTTGGTGTCAGCCTTGTGCATCCTTCCATATGTGACCGGCTCCACAAAAAAGGGTATTAAGTCACGCTGTGCATTATCATGTAAAAATGGCCCACTTTAACGTTGAGAGGGTGAAAATTTCTTCAACATGTGATTTTCATTTTTTTTGGTCATGAATGACATCTTTGATACGTACAGTTTTAGGTTTCATTCACAGAAATGTTGAAAATGTCTAAAACAGAGCCAGCTATTTCAAAGCCTGTTTTCTCAGTTGTGTAATTTGAACTCCTAGAAAGTAACCCTAAAACTCCCTAGGGGGTGTGCAAAATCGTATTAAAATTGGAGGATTCAGGACTGTTAGGGATATATGTAAACACGTCATATCTCCAGAACGGGAGGGGCTATGGAGCTCTATTATATACATGTACCAAATGAAAGCTTAGGTTGTGGGCTTTCCAACCATGTATATAACTCAATTTCACTTTTTTTGCGACATAAAACCCTTTTTTTGTGGAGCCGGTCACATATGGAGGGTAAATGCCTCATGCAGAAAATTGCAAGGGTTAACCCTCAACCCCTAGCCCTGTCCTTTTTTGTTTTTGCTTGTAAAGTATTTGAAATTAGGAACATTCTCTGGCCTTACATGAAATTTTGAAATTTACACTATATTGCCATAAGCTTGTCATTTTGTGTCAGATAATTACAACTTACAAACTTGCAAAGTCTTTTTTTAATAATCTTTGGATGATTCTCCTTGACTCCTCACACTTGTCATCTGCCACCCCGAGATCAAGAACTGGATTCGTTTTGCCAGCTTTGAGGAACACAACAACTACGTCTCCAGTGCCCGCAAGGTCTTTGAAAGGGCCGTGGAGTTCTTCGGAGAGGAGCACATGGACGAAAAACTCTACGTGGCGTTTTCAAAATTTGAAGAGAGACAGAAAGAGGTACGGGGCCTTTTTTATTCTTTGCCTGTGGAAATCAATGTGCAATTTGAATCGAGTTGATATCGGTGGCTTGTCTTCGGCAGTCGCTATTTCAAGCCAATGATATGCACAGATAATTATATTGCTACATATCCACTCAAATGTGTCAGGTGCACATTAGCATAACAAAGGCACTTTGTTATATAATGCAAATGGGCATGCAGAACTCACTGCTTGCCAGTAACTATGGACTTAAGTTTTATCGCAAAGTTTGCTGACTCCGCAAACGATCATTATTGAAAAGAACCCCAAAATAATCCAAGGTCCAGTTTAACGTTATTAGAATTTGTTTGCAGTGAGCTCATTGAGAGATAGATTATACGAACTGAATGAGAAGATGAATGCAATTTGAGGTTTTGCACGGAGAGGTTTGTGGACATTTTTGTGGAGTGCCGTGGCCTCGGGGTCTGGAGCATTGAATTTGTGGTCTGCGGATAATTCTGCAGGTTGTGAGTCCAGCCTGCGGCCATGATGTGTGTGCCCTTAGGCAAGGCACTTTGTTACTCATTGCTTCTCTCCACCCAGGAGTAAATGGTTACCTGTGAGGGCAGAGATGGTTATTATAGTGGTTGATTTTTAGCTGCTTTGTGCCGAAATGGCAGCATCGAGCTGTATACTCCCCAGGGAGCTGAGATGGTATTCAGAATGTTTCATTGGCCTAATGAGCAGGGTAATAATGATGTAGCCTCTTGAGCACCAATAATGGTGGATATGTGCGCTTTATAAATACGCATTATTCAGAGATGAAACTTTTCCGATTTAAATCGGAAAACCGACTTTTTGAATTTTCCAACGAAATTTCCGATTTTTTTACAGTGTGTCCCACAAAATTTGATTTTCTGATGATTTATTCACAAAATGTCATTTTATTTCAATCATAATTTCGAAGAAAAGTCGATGGAAATGTCGTGTTAAAATCATCGCGAACGTAGTTTTATTCTCTTTCACCAGTCGTTATTGGAGAGTTTCAACGGTAGAAACACAGGGCATAACACTGATCGGAGCCTTCTCCGGCTGGACAAAAGGTTTAACATTGACAGGTGACATGGAAAAATCACTGTGTCGCACGTGCGTGCGAATATACAATGGTACCAGCGTACGTACCGCACCACCGTACCGTCCGCTAGCACATGGCTGGCCGGGACGGGTAGCCTTGTGAAGGATCCTGAAGATGAAATCATTATGTTGTGCGATATTCGGAGGTTTCAGATTCAGTTGTACAAAATGCAATGCTTTAAAAATCATGATGATTATCTCGAGGATAGCGAAGAGAGCATTAGCGAAACATTTCACTGGCATTTGTTGGAAGAGAAAGACGATAATGCCTGATATTTTCCCATGTATGAATGCAAGTGGTTGAATCATGGACATGATTGAAGCACCATGAACGGAGCCCTTGTCTTTTGGACTTTTCCCTCGACTTTCTCAAGTAAGAAGTGAACTTCTTTATTGATGACTCCATTACTCTAACCGTAATTCAGGCATTCTATGCAATGAAAACACTAACCGTTTTTTTTTTTCATCGTAAAATTTTGTTTGAATCAAAAATAAAGCAGGAGTTGGTGTCCGGAAATTGGGCATGGAGTGTATTGTACAAGCATGTATATGTGTGTAATGGCAGCGCGGCCCAGATTTCGGACACGTATTTTTGTTCGGCCTATTTTCCGATTTTTTTTGCCACATGCCAGTTTCATCTCTGATTATTATTCTCTGTTAGAAAGTGACTCACTCTCTAAGAGAGGTAGCTTTGAGAAGAACCTGAGGTGTTTCTCCAAGAGAGAGTCAGAGTATACTGACTGGAATGTCGAGGTAGACACTCCTGAGTCTTCTCAAAACCATATCTCTCAGGGATGCAGTGAAGTCCATCACAAGTCCTCCAGTCCCAATTCAACTCACAAGTTATTCAAATCAGCTTTGACAAAGGCATTCATTGGTGTTTGTAACATCCACTGTTTCTTGTGACTGGACTTATGATTTACTTGTGACTGGACTTGTGATTTACTTGTGACTGGACTTGTGACTGGACTTGTGACTGGACTTGTGATTTACTTGTTACTGGATTTGTGATTTACTTGTGACTGGACTTGTGATTTACTTGTGACTGGACTTGTGATTTACTTGTGACTGGACTTGTGATGGGCATGTGACTGGACTTGTGATGGACTCGACTACATCCCTGCTCTTTTTACTTCACATAGTTTGTCTGCGAACCTCTACCAAGTTAAGAAACAAGGTCTCATAATTGAAATCTTGCAAGTTTGATTTGATCTGACATATTTTGTTGTCCTTTTTTTAAAACCTTTTCCTTTGACGCAGCATGAGAGGGCAAGGGTGATCTACAAATATGCCTTGGACAAGATTCCCAAACAGCATGCCGAGGATCTCTTCAAATCCTACACCATCCATGAGAAGAGATATGGGGATCGGGCTGGCATTGAGGACATCATCGTCAGCAAAAGACGCTTCCAGTATGAAGAGGTGGGATTACTTTGTCAATAACTTTTGGAAAACTTAGATTGAACATAGAAATTTGTTTGCATTCATGTTAAATCCTGAACCTGTTTGATGCCACATAACAGCAAAATCCTTCAAAACCTCCTTGCTTTTGATGGACCCAGGAGGATGAGGTTCAGTGTCTTTACTCAATTAATGTGTTCTATTCATAAAAGTCTTTAACCCTAACAGAACTCAACCCATCAAACCCCAATGGCATGTTTTGTTGGAATCTGTCAGGATGGGTAATGTACCCCTAAACTGACAGTCTTTCACATTGGGTTGGCACACCTCCAGAAACAAAGTCAGAAATATGTGTGTGCAGATTCCCATATGGTGGCACCTGACAATAAATCGCTGCTACTTTACGATAAAATATCATTAGAGTTGTGTGTGTATGTGCATAGTTTTTTGTTTTCTAATATTGAAACCGACAAAAAGCTATTCGAATGCGGTTGAGGATCGAATATTCGAGTATTCAGTATATCCGGGACACCCCAAGCAGTAAAGTCTGACAGCTTTTGTTACACCGGTTGCATTTTGTTAGGTATGGCATTATTAAGGTTATAATTGTTTTTTATATTATTGATATTGAATCCTCATTCTGTTTTTCAATTTCAGGAAGTCAAAGCAAACCCCAGCAACTACGACGCATGGTTTGACTACCTGCGCCTACTGGAGACGGACGGTAACGAGGATACGGTACGTGAGATCTATGAGCGGGCCATTGCCAACGTCCCCCCAGCCCAGGAGAAACGTCTCTGGAGACGCTACATCTATCTGTGGATCAACTATGCTCTGTATGAGGAACTGAACGCTAAGGTGTGTTTCCAAAGACAGAAGGTGGTTCACCCTTAATGTTTAAGGTTTCTTTTGAACCCTAACCGCCCTGAATCCTTCAAAATCCGCTTTGCCAACGCAGAGGATTGAGGCTACATGGCAAAAGTGTGTGACTGATTTCGTAGTATGCCCTTTGTCAAGGTCTTGGGCCGGACCTTGTGTTGTTTTTGCTCAGCCATGCATAAATATAGGCCTGGATGATGCTTGAAATCCTCCGTACTGCTCCAGGATGTCACTGGCCAAGCCTCAACATATTGACATTCACTGCCGCAGGCTATATGCTACTTTTCCAAGAGGCTAATTGGAGGATTTTGCAGGATTGAGGCTACATCCTAGCAAAAAGGCCTAGGGAGTTAGGGTTATAAAAATGTAAACACTGAAAAAAGGCTCATTCAGGCCCCCCCCCCCTGACAAACACATACAGTATGTTTACTACAGACACATTGTGGTCATATTAGTTAACGCCATGCAGAGACTAGCATTAACCGTCATCAAGTTTTTAACACATCAGCATGGCCTCCAGTGCTAATCTGTCTGACTTTGTGGGGAAAAATGGCCAAAAAACTACTTCTTTTTAAAATTTCTGCAAAGTAAACCAAAACACAGCATTGTAATTGACGTTCAGGATGTTATCAAGAACTTCACATTTTTGTTCCAGTCTCTTTGTTACTTCTGTGTGCCTCAGGGTTCCCTACTGCCCCTTTTAATGGCTCTTCTTACCATTAGCGTAAAAATCCCTGCTTACTGTAGCAGGTAAGGATTCTGTGCTTACAGGGTAAGCACATAATTTCTCTGCCAGCGAAGTTAGCACAAAATGGTGATTATAAGCACGGAATTAGTGGGGCCATGAAATTGGGCCCTGCATACAAATACAATACAGTCGAACACCTTTATAACAAGGTCATTGGGACTTTACGAATTACCTTGTCTTGACAGGTACCTTGTATTAACAGTAACGAAAAACAAAGGAAAACAAAGAAAAACAAAGACTTGGGACCTAAAGTTTTGCTTGTTATAAGCAGGACCTTGTATTAGCAGTGCTCTTTTTATCAGGGTTCGACTGTACACTACATACATACCTGACACTCTTTCCAACTATCTAAAGAATATACATAAGAAAATGAAATAATCCCAGGGTTTTTAGCTTCAGTTCGGTTTAAGCTCATGCGCCAGCCCAATATGGAGCCATGCTCGGTTTTAGTTTCAAGAAGATCACATCCTACTATATGAGACCAGTTAAGATAATTTCAATTTGGCTCAGACATTTCATTTATCTTCTCAGTGATTCTAGAGCCAAAGCTGAACCAAACACCTCCGAGACACAACATAAATGTACCTTCCTTGTCTTGTCTTAGGATTCAGAGAGGACCCGGCAGGTTTACAAAGCGTGCCTGGACATGATACCACACAAGAAGTTCACGTTTGCCAAGGTCTGGCTGATGTTTGCCCACTTTGAGATCCGACAGAAGAACCTCAGCTTAGCAAGGAAAATCCTGGTAAGGGGCCAGTCTGTGCATCAGTTTACATCACATTTGATAGGATCTGGGGAAAAAACAGGTATTAGTGTTGAATATCGAAAGCATATTTCAATTTGAAAACTTTAATTTACTTTATTTCATCTCAAGGCATAAAAGAATACAGTTTGTACTTAGAATTTACTATGATTCATGCATTTTTAGAATATAAAGATAAGAATAACATTTGAATAACACCACCTAGAGATGCAGGGGACCCACAAAAAGCAAAGCTTGTCGAGTGCGAGTCCCCTGAAAATAAAAAACAAAGAAGATACAGGATGACAAGAACGATTATAAACAAAGACAGTATGAAACTTAACCCTTTCACTACCATGGTCTCCTTTTTGCACCGAAGTTTGCTGCCACTTCCTTACCGGTGGCTCCTTTTGGCACCAAGCTATGTTGCATTTTGCGAAAATGTGAAATTTTAAACACAACCACCGTTTTCACAAAAAAGGTGCGTGTTCTTTCATTAAAGCGAAAACAATTCACACACGTTCCTATGCGATTTGTTTTTGTTTTGCTGAAAGAACGCTTACCTTTTTTGTGATCCGTGGACAGAACTTGAAAACGTTGGTTGTGTTTAAAATTCCGTAACTTGAAAATTACATGAGTGATTTGAATGATTCTTCTACTAAAAGAAAGCTTATGAATTGGGCTTTCATATCCTATATTTTGAAAGTGCTACGTGCAGAACTTCACTGAAACAATAGTCCCGACATTTGGGTTTCGTTTTTTGACTCGCCCTGTAATATGCATTAAAGATATAGTCCATCATTTGTAATTTGTGCATTTTGTTCGTATGAAGCAACAAAAGTGTTCAAAATCTAATGAAGGATACTGAACAACTAACCTGATGAAGTTTCAGCTCAGCTTCAGCTGTATATTCCGAGAAAAACAGCATTCTAGGATCTCAATTTCAAATCAAAAGTTGCTGAATCATGTTTTGAATTGTTTTGAATTGCAGCTATACGCAATGTCGCGCACTGATCCGACGAATTATAGCAACCGCGCGCGCCTGTGCGTCGTGCCAATGCTGCTTGTCTCATAAATACAAACTTGTATCAATTTTTTATCAAACATTTCCACATTTTTTGTTGTCTGTTGATACAGGGTGCAGCCATCGGCAAGTGTCCCAAGGACAAGCTGTTCAAGGGTTACATTGAGCTGGAGCTTCAGCTGAGAGAGTTTGATCGCTGTCGCATCCTGTACCAGAAATTCCTGGAGTTCAACCCTGAGAACTGCACCACCTGGATGAAGGTAAGGCGTCAACTCGTAAAAAGCCATTTTTGAAAGTACGGAACTCACCGCGTGCGTGTATTGGTTCGCGCGTATAGCGTGAAGTACGCACGGCTAATTTTATTCTGAATGTTCACAAAGCCATAGCATTTTTGCGTGAGTTCAGGCATTGTTGGCAATGCGTTCAAATGTCTCTCCCAGGAGTCTTCCCCAACTCCACCTTTCTTATCATTGAGAGGGTACCTGTGCACGGAGCCCATAGGCTCATTATATGGTGTGCTAGTACTAGTAGTAGAATTCTGTACAACTCCTATCATCTGGCAGGAATGGATTTATCTGTAGTTGGGCCATTCCACCAGGTTGAGGAACAATGTGTGACATATGACCATATTAAGAAAAGCATGAATGCCTTGCTAGCAGTTGCTCTACATAATATTTGTTGTTGGGTGTTTCACGACTGCAGAAATATTTAAATCATTTCAATGTATGTTGCCAAAAATATGCAAAAAATGTCATTTCAGACGTAACTTTGACACCATGTCAATGTTACATCCAAATATGATATTTGTTCCTTTTTTTTTTTTTTCTGTGAAACATTACCCAAATTCACTTAATTACTTCTTACTATACATGCAACACAATAAGAAAAGCTTTTGTTAAGGTAGTCAGGTATCAAATGGAGCAGAAATGATAGCTCAGTTGTGTGGACATGACATTCACACGGTGTAAAACCAAAATGTTACACTTCAATTGAGTGATTTTTACACTGTTAAATCCACACTTCAGGTATTGTTTCTGCTATATTTGAATACTGACTATACCAAAACAAAAGCTTTTCTTGGTGCTTAGGCATCCAGTTATAAATATGCATTGTCAGTTTTGGGTAATATAAAAAATGGCAAAAATAAGTATTAGGGTGTAAATTACGTCCGAATCAATACATTTTTGCTCATATTTTTGTCAAAGTACATTCAAATGATTTCAAACTTTCTAAAGTATTGGAACACCCTAAGACAGATATTATATTGAGCACTTGTTTAGAATGCATTGATGCTTTTAATAATAAAACCAAATATATGGATGTAACATGCACTGCTTCCCAACCCGGTGGAATGACCACAATCTTTTAACTTTGTTTTGAGAATTTTCTAGGGAAGTTGTTCAAAACCTGCAATTAAGACACAATGGGCTTTTGGATATAAACCTATCAGCAAATTGATCCTGGATATTAATGTGATGACTCCTAACCCAGCCATCTGCTCACCGATTGGTCCTCGAGTTGTGGGAGATTGAAGAGGAAGATCCGGGTTGTGCAATGTTTTTTTGTTTTTTTTGTATTTGGGCAATTTCACAAAATTATAAACCTCACTGCCAAATTTTACAGTGGTACAGATGTAACAAATGAAAAATGTATATCATTTTTAAGCTTATTGTTTGTATTTTATTGAAATGTTCATTTCTAACAATGTTCAACAGTGCAGCTGTTACTCGCTACGGAAAAATTAATTAATGGATACATAAAATGATCATATGTAATAATGTAACAATAATATTTTTGTCTGAGTGCGTACATCCGACACCAGGTGTTTCGAGCCAATTTCTACTACAGCCAAACAGTTTGATGAATAATATCGTTAAATCATTGTAGTACCTAACTTATACGTTTCATAAAGAATTAAATCCACTTTGTGATTATAACTATAATCAGACACACTGTTAAATTGTCCAAAACATTGGTCGGACACATATATACAGGGCGGGAAACATGCAGGGCGGGTCACCAAAATACGAAACTGGGATATTATTGCTAATTGGAACAGAAGAAGGGCACATATTTGAATCAAAGGGAGATATCCTCTGTTAGGGTTGAATCTCCTCTTTAAAATCACACCCTGATCATGTCATTACATTCAGGGTTGACTGAGCAGTGACCAATTATATGAAAGGGTCTATTTAGAGAATTTTGCCACTTTTCATGGTGAAATCTCTTTTTTCTCCACCTGCCTTGATTGGCCTTTCACTATGTGACAAATGACACCACAAAAAAACACAATTGAAAAGTGGCTGTGGTTGCCAATCAAGGCAGGTGGGGAAAAAAAGAGATTTCACCATGAAAAGTGGCACAATTCTCTAAATAGGCCCTTTCTTAAAATTGGTCACTGCTCAGTCAACCGTGAATGTAATGACATGATCAGGGTGTCATTTTAAAGAGGAGATTCAACCCTAACAGAGGGTATCTCTCTTTGATTCACATGTGCCCTACTTCTCTTCCAATTAGCAATAATATCTCGGTTTTTTATCCACCCTGTACATATCGCACTTCAACCTTTCTGCTATTACACCTTCCAGGGCCCAATTTCATGGCACTGCTAAGCACACAAATTTGCTTAGCACAAAAAAAGTCTGGCTTATAAAAGCAAGTTACCAGCCAAAACTCCATGTGAATACTAATCACGAGCAATATACATCACATGGAGTTTTGGCCAGTAACCTGCTTTTATAAGCCAGACTTTTTTGTGCTAAGCAAATTTTTGTGCTTAGCAGCGCCGTGAAATTGGCCCCAGAACACTTCAATATTTGCTTTTAAAACAGAATATCCCACATTTACTGCTTGGACAGTACGTGTACTTAAGGGTGAGCATTCACAAACTCCAAGAAATGCCAATCTAAACCTGTCATGAGAAAGAGAAATACTCAGATGAAATGGACTGTAGTTCCCACCAGGACTTCCAAAGATGAGTTGGATCATCCCCATTTAAAATAATTTGGGAATAATGTTGACTGTTTGTAAATTTTAAAAATGCGTTCATTTTCGGAGAAATAGAACGAGCAATAGTGATTTTTGTTTCATTTTTTTGTCAACCAGTTTACAGAGCTGGAGGGTATCCTGGGCGACACGGACAGGGCGAGGGCGGTATTTGACCTGGCCATCAACCAACCCAAGCTGGACATGCCAGAGGTGCTGTGGAAGGCCTACATCGACTTTGAAATTGAACAGGAAGAGTACGAAAGGACGAGGGCGCTGTACCGATGTCTGCTTCAGCGGACACAGCATGTCAAGGTTTGTTTGAAGTTTTATAACCATGGTGTTAAATTTTTGTTTTTTTTGTTACCTCTGGCTTTTGCTTCATCTGTAGCTCCAGAATTTTTAAGAAGCTCTGTTACTGTAACATTCAAACACCCTTTGAAATCTACAGATAGGTTTGGATGGATTTTGCAGGATCGAGGAAGGCAAAATAATCCCACATGGGGATGGAGGTGATGTCCCTTGAAAATTGAAGTACAAAGAATGTGCCATTGGTTTCCCACTGTGCACAGTGGAGGAATTTTGAGGATTCAGTATGATTCTTAACAATAATCTGCTTAGGAAGTTTAGGGGTCGTGTCGAAGCAAAGCAGCTATACTTGCACTTCCGGCCTCACCATTTGAATGCAGTGTTCATTTTGAACAGACTTAGATTTAGCCAAGGCTGGGGGATATATTTGCTACAAAATGCGGGGAGTGTGGCATAGTGGTTAGGATTCGTGACTCCTGATCAGAGGGGTCAGGGATGGGAATCCTGCTGCTGGGCATACGTTGTTTCCTTGGGCAAGCCACTTCACCCCCATTATAAATGGGTACCGGCATTAGCTGGGGAGTAACCTGCAATGGTCTAGCACCCCATCTAGGGGGAATAGACTATTATCATGTTGCGGCCATCTTGATTTTGTCCCCATTCAAATCAACATAACCAAAGCGAGGCTGGAAGGAAAAATAGTCTGGTTCCTTTTTGCACAATTATTCAGTACTGTTATTGGATACAGGGAACATGACTAAAATGTTGGCAGCATGATAAAGGTCTATAGAAATATTCTCCGTTGTTTCATACTGAAACCGGAATTAAACGCCTGCCTGATAGGCCACATTGGCTTGTGACAGACTTCAATCTACCAGCCAAGACAGAGGCTTAAAATCTCCAGAAGCAAAAGTTAGTAAAAAGCCATGGTTTCAGAAAAAAAATCCTAAATGTTATTGTGGTTTATAGTGGCCTTTTACATTTTATTATTATCAGGTATGGATCAGCTTTGCCAAGTTTGAGCTGTCTGTGGGTGCTGAGGGTTGCGTGGAGAGGGCCAGGTGCATCTACAAGGACGCCAGCAAGGCGCTGAGAGACTCAGAGGAGAAGGAGGAACGCCTGATGCTACTAGAGGCGTGGAAAGACTTTGAGGTAAGGCCACCAACCACACCGTGTTTTATCACAGGATTTGTCTTGTTGGCCTTGTTTGAGTTAATAGACTCTTCACAAGTCAAATCACAAATCAGCACAGTCACCCAGTCCCATGTAATAAAGCTATTTGAACATACTATTCACTCCGTTCACAAGTACCCCCTCACCGGCTAAGAAAGTGCAGTTGGGGGTGATCGACCGACTCAATCTTACCTGAATACCACAACGCGCGGCCGTACCACTGCGTGTACATAGTACCGTGCAAATCCCCTGGTGTAGGTGTGTCATACACAAGGAAGGGTGCGCGTCAACCAGCTAAATGTCCCGCCCATGGGACGTCGTTGCTAGGTAAAAGGGCGCCCTCTTTTGTTGGCGCACGGAGCCCATAGCCTACTATGAAGATGTAGATGCAGATGGAGTATGGTTTGTTTAATCTTGGAAGGTTGCAGTTCGGAATTGGTTTGAAGTTTGTAAGGTTTGAAGCTTGGAAGTTCGGAAGGTTTTGCTGCAAATATACAAAAACCCAGAAATATATAAAGTTACTGGTAAAGGGAATAAACTGAACTAACAAACTGGGTTCAAAGAGAAAGTGAACAAAAACAAGGTGCATATATACTAAATTATGTGAACAACAAACCTAAAAAGTGAGATTATTAAGATTATTAAAACTATAAGATACTAAACGACTAACGTAATCAAAACAAAGGGTACTCGCTACGCTGGGCCGATAGAATTCAATAAACTGGTGCATCTGGAAATATACTGGAACGATTTGAAGACTTTAAATACAAGTAATAATTTAGCTGGTTTTCTTCCGATGCGAATGTAATGTGACGAATGCAAGAAAAATGTGATAAAAAACAATGAAATCGTCGCATTAGCGCAACAAGGTTGTAACTCCATTCTGCAACCAAGTCGTATCTCGCGCGAATACGCTCCGTGCAACAAGGTCGTATCTTGACGTCCATTGACTTTGTGTGTATATCCGGATTATTTTTAAGTGAGATATGTCCTTTTGACATTCTGAAACTCGCGTTTCACGTACGGCCCATTTTAGGAGATGCGACCTTGTTGCACGGACGTGACGAAATCAACACACGCGTATCTATAACGAGTTGCCCAACGGGGAGCCACGCCCTGCCGAATCTAAGCAAACTGGCCGCTACACATACTGAGACAAAGGTATTGATTTAAGTGGAGACTGGCTTGTGATTTGACTGGTGATTGACTGGATCTCAACTCTAATCGTTGTCCTCGTACAGGATTGCCATCATGCTTCAGCTTATTTTCATAACTCTGTACGTGTTTCCTTGTATGTAGGACGAGTGTGGCGACGAGGAAAGCCAGGCAGTCGTCAAGAAGCAGATGCCAAACAGGGTCAAGAGAAGACGCAAGATACAGACCGAAGACAGGGTGAGAAATCAGATTCTAAACCTAGGAAAAATTCATTGCATTTTAGTGTTCTTTTTGCCTTTATCCCTGCGTGGGGGCTGATAATAGGAAGTTATCAAACAGAAGTTATTTTCGCAATCTTAACCCTAACCACCTAGGCCCTTTTGGATAGGATCCTTCCTCAATCCTTCAAAGTGGTCAAATTCGGGCGATTCACAATGCAGTGCGCCACCAAGAGTTTGCCACGGAGAGTTCATTTTTCCCAGTGCATTGTGGGAGATGGTCGACAAATTCGCAGCGCGGGACATTTGAAATTGTTTGTTTTTCCAGTCAGTAGTTTCGTAAGCATATAATCCGAGTATATGTTTGCCCTTTTCTTTTCTTTTTATCAATATGGTGTTTTTTTGTAAGGCGGCAGAACGCTATGCCCCAATCTATAACAAATTAGCTTGTCTACTGACACTCATTCAAATGGGCCATGTTTTGCGACTGCTAACTTGAAAAATGGACTCTCCATGGCACATTGCATTGTGAATCGTCCGAATTGCCACCATGTAACAATTGAATACAGCCTCAATCCTCCACAGTCATCCGTTATTTCTTGAATTTGTTCTGTGGAGGGGTGACCACTGCTCAATCCTTCAAAATCAATGAAAATTCCTGGGAGTTGAAAAATCACCCCAAATTTGTCTCATATGCACCTGCTTAGCATCCAAAACCATATAATGGATCCTTAACCCCAACAACTCCCATTCAGTCAATCTCCATCACCAGGATTTGTTGGAATTTGTTAGAGTGAGTACTGCACTAGTAAACTGATTATGATTTACATGGGGTTTTAGGCATACCACCATAATCAGAGTCCAACAGTTTGGGTTAGAGTTGGAATTTGTAGGTGTGAAGAAGGTTCCTAGTATTAAATCACCAAAGGGGTTTAGGGTTAAATTGCAAGGAGAATGTCTGTTTAATTATTTCTGAAAATCAGCAACCCTCACATTTGCGTTGAATATCTGAAATTTGTCTCCATAGTCTGATGCTGGTTGGGAGGAATACTACGACTACATCTTCCCCAACGACGAATCCAACTTGCCCAACCTCAAGCTGCTGGCTATGGCTAAGCAGTGGAAGCTGAAGCAGACGGACCAAGACGACGAGGACGAAGACAGAGATGGAGATGAGGGAACTGAGGAGACAGGAACCAGCGATGCACAGAAGGAAGCGGAGCAGTTCAACGATGAGGACTATGATGACAGTGATGACAGTAGCAGCAGTAGTAGCGAAGAGGAGGACAGTAAGACATCACCGAGGAAAGACACCAGCTCCAAGAAGAAAGCATCTTCCTCCAGCGACTCGTCTGATTCAGATGGATAGTCTTTTCATTTTCTTCAGACAATGATGATAGAAGAAGCTGTTAGGAGGAACATAGTAAGACATTGCAGTTTGCACAGGACAGGCACCAACTCTGGAAGAAAGCATCTTCCTCTCTTGATTCATCTGATTATGAAAGATAACCTGCTCAGTTTCTTAAATGGTGGACTTCGCCTTTCGCGAGGAAGAGTTGGTGATGAAATTCACCCAAGTTGAGATGAATTCAACCTTTGCACGAATAAGCAGTGTCAACACTTGCTCATGGCCACAACTTAACATCTGCGTTCGCATTTTCATGCAGTATGAACCAGGATTTCATCTTTTTGAACAAGGGAGCATGGATGAATTATTTTGATACTTGAAAGCTGAAGAAAAATTTAAAAAACAAAATAAAAACAATGATGCTAAATAATGTAAAATCTAAAAAGAAATTATTTTCAAACTCATTTTATCCATCAATAATTTGTTGTCAAGTTGAAGTCAAGCTTTCTGTGGTCCACAAAACCCACTCTTTAATTAATAATTAATGATCCTTTCTTCTGCCCCCCCCCCCCTCAAAAAAGGTTGTAACGCTGTTGAGACATCAAAGGTACTAAGTACTAAGTGTTATTGAAATGTATGGATGTAACAATATGTAAATAATTTCTTTTGCTACCAACTTGTGATCAAGGTTTTTCCCAACATGTGGAAAACTTTTAGTAAAATAAGTCAGCACCGATTTCCTCATGAAGTACAAGGTCAAAAATACTTGTAAATATAATTCTTTGATCTTACAGTATCTTAACAGTACAGGGTGAACTAATAAAATGCAGCCCTGAAACATTTGCCTTTTTTTTTCAAAAACTTGATCTGTGAATTTTTATGTTTTTGGATATGAGATTAAGAGTGAGGGTTTTTCTTTCAATTCTGAAGAAAAAGATCATGAAAACAGCACATTGGGGTGTAGGGGTGGGGTTAGGAGGGGGTCGGAGAGGGGGAGGGATATAGGAATTTGAGTAGGGGTTGGGTTGGGGTGGGTGGGGATAGGTAGGTGGGTGTAGAGGTTGGGTAAGGGGAGGGGGCAGTATATATAGGGATCGGAGTAGGGGTTGGGGTCGGTTAGGGAGTAGGGGTTAGGGTGGGGATGTGTAGGGGTGGGTAAGGACGGCTGGGGTGAAGATAGGGTAGGTGGGTGTAGGGGGTTGGGGTAGGGGAGGGTATGGGTCAGGGGAGGGGGAAGGAGATCGGGATTGGTGATGGTGCTGTGTCCACATGTACATGTATACCCATGCTTGTTCCGCTTTTGTGGCGACTACACAAAGAGTTCTCCCATGGTAATACAAGTATGGGGACCCGAAGACACTGTGGGGGCTGCAAAAAGGCTCCAAAACTGGGTCCTAATTACTCTAATAATGGAAAACTTCCGTATATTGCAGTGACGGCTAACCTAGATACACATGTATTTATTAGGTCATCTGTTGACTTTTTATGTTGACATTTAAAAACTGACCCCTATACCCTGGCACATCAACGAGAATCTTCGTCCCCATCATGCCCATCCCCAACCCTACCTTCAGCCTCCCTTCCTGCCTTCGACAGCGAGCCACGGCGGCTTCGCCCTTCTAGTTATATTTTGTACATATGCTTTGCTTTAGATTGCAAAATTATATGAGCACAAGCGTTGTCAATAAATTGTGATATACTGTACAAGATCTCTGGCATGCTCAGTCTTTTTCAATTGGGTTTTAAATAGCTCTGAAAACGCTAATTTACGCGATCTGAAAACTCTTGAATTTGTATATATCTCAAATTATATGAGCTTCCGATAGCTAAATTTGCCAGCCGGACCAACAAATCTGACAAGGTAAACTGGCCTTTCTTCCATTAAAAAAAAAACATTTGTTAGCCCCCCCCCCCCCGAAAAAAAACCAATTCCATTAAAAAAGCACGGTAGTAGCAAACGTTAGAAGGTAACGTAACATGCGAACTGTCTCCCCCCTAAAAATAAATAGACGTGAGAAGGGGGCAGTGTGCATGATTGTCGGATTTTATCAGCGCTCCCCATTAAAAATATGGTACGAACCCCCACCCCCACCCATTGATTTTTGGATGCCTAAGTGTCTTGAGAAAAGAAAACCCGGTCTATTCAGCACGCCACCCTGTAACAATTTCTGGATCCACCCCGGCTAAGAACACCTCAAAATGTGGGCTCTAGAACCACACCTGAAACTGCATAGCTAATTAAGCTGAGATTGGAACATAGGCGACTGATGCCTGCATTGGCGGGGGGGGGGGGGGGGGGGGGGGGAGTTTGCTCAAAGCAAACGAGAGCGAAGAAGAGGATAAGAATATATACAAATGACGTTACGTAACAGAGCACAACTACATGTATAATTGGCGAGCTGCATCAGTCGCCCGAGATCGGAAAAGACAATGTAGCACTTCAACAAATGAAACAATTCCTTTTATGAATACAGTGCATGGAATGTTTATGTTTTAAACGGTAAAGAGAATGTGACTAGTGAAATAGCCTAGCGGTTAAATTGCTGATCCGAGAGTGAGGAGTCGGGGGTTCGAATCCCGCTGGTGTCATTTTGGTTTTTAACGTACGCGTTCAGTCATTGACTATAAGAGATTTAATTTCCCGTCGTAAATCACCAACAGTACCTTAGCTTAATCGGTAAGCACTGCTGCTGGTACTGTCCGCGAATTCCAGGTTGGCGCCTTCGTACAGGTTCAGGGCATGTGGTCCACTCGGGGGATCAGGGCTTAGGGGCCGCCCTGTTCCTCCCTTAGCTCTTTGCTTTTACATGGTGCCTGGCCCTCCGGGGTTACATGGATGGATAGGGAAGGAAGTGTGTATTGGTCGGGGACGCCGAGACCCCGGAAGAGAACTAAGGGATTGGCTGGGGCATTGTTATGGCTCAGACCGATCCCTGAAAGCTTGACTAGCACATAACTTTTTGATTTTTTTATCCTCTATCTTTTATACTTTGGTTTAGTTTGATATTTACATCTGCTCGGCAGATGTACGGTAGTTTTGAAAACGAAACAGAGGTCTATGTCATGAATTAAAGAATCATAATTGACAATAATTAAAACGGAGTTTCGTTTGATCAATATGACTACCATTATCAATGGCGCAATTTCCAATTGACGTAAGAAACGCCATATTATACCGGGGGAAAAAAATAAAGAAAAATATAAACATTATTTACATCTTTCAAATAACGTTTCTTTAATTGTGAACATTTCCAACAAATATAGTAATTCGCAAAAAAAAATGGGGGGGGGGGACGCAAGAAAACAAAGCCCATCACCACACCCTTACAACTGAAAATACAAATGAAAAACAAAGTCAAGTGGAATACAAAAATGTACATTAACGATTGAATTGGGGAAAAAAATCATTACATGGGGCTTTTACCGACTTGCTTTTTACTGTCAGTTACATGGTCCGTCAGCCTTAGCAGTTCCAAGACATTTGCATCCTTTGCAGCCCCACCCTAAGGGTAATGTTATAAACTCTATTTGAGTTTGTAAAAAACTTTAGAACTTCGATTGATAAAACCTATTACGTCCCCCAAAAAGCAATTTATTGTGTATTCTGACTGTTTGGAACAACAACAAAAAATGACACAGAATACTTGTTTCAACAACGGTCAACAACAGTACTGTAGTACACAATATCTTGATTGACATCCCTGGTTAGGCAAACAATATGATTTACACAATCCTTTTTTTTTTTTTTTTTAAGACGGGCCTTCATAAGGATTTTGTCGAATATATGTAACTTTTAATCTAAAGTTTTATCGTTGGTGATGTTTGTAGACAATTGTGACAACGATTCTTGAAATCGCATTTTTGGACGAGAGGTTTTAGGGTCATTGTGTTCAAATGGCGATATTCGTTGAACGTCATTATTATTTTTGGTGCTACATTTTTTTTTTAATATGAGTTATAATTTTGAGGGTTTCGGATCCACTTTTGTTTTACTCACCCTGTACTAGGACGGTAATGAAACTCTCATCGGGTTATTTCTAATCGTAATAAAAAAAAAAACACTAGTTTTATTGTACATACACGATTCGTCCTCGTTTGAAAACGATGACGAGGTATTTTTTTCCCATTTATTATTCATTTATTATTCATTCTACACTGAACGGGTGCCGAGGACTCGTGTCGGACTCGATCCAAGTCCTCTTGTCATTACGCCCGAGTCCGAGTCCGAGTCCGAGTTGAGTCCCCAATTACCGAGTCCGTCAAAAGTGGACTCGAGTCCGTGAGCCCAGACTCGAGTCCCATAAGCGGCCGCCGTTGTCTGAGGGCTTGCGATAAGTCGTGCATTCGTGTCCCATCGAGTCAGCTTGTGACTTTTTTCCTCAGAACCCCTAGGACTGCAGAGAATATACAGTGTCGGTGATGGGATCAAATCCTCCTCTCGTGAGCTGAGTAGGCTGCACAGGCTGTGATACGTCATGTTGTCACTACTGTAACAGGCTCGAAAACAAATAAAATGCCTCGTTTTTCCGAAGTCGGACTTATGAGGCGTCTGACCTATGAGGCGGAATAAATAAATTGTATGCCTCCTCAAATGTCCAACGCCTCATAAGTTCGAAATTTCGGACTTATGAGGTGTCGGACCTATGAGGCGTCGGACTTATGATACGGCCCTTTTGTATATGGACATTTCCACACTAACGGGTTACAATTGACTGCAAATTTGGGATTTGAGAGGGGGACACTGGAGAGAACAGCAAAGCAAGATATTTTGTTCAGTTGTTTCCTGTGCCTTCCTGAGAACTTAATGATCATGTGTACAAACAATATAGAAAACCTTCTCTGTAACTTTAGAAATTGCAGGGGTCATCGTAAAAATTACGTCCGTAACAAAAGACAGAATGTTTGCGACAGATTGACACGACACTAATTATCATGTGTCTGAATTTACCCAAATGTCATCTCATTCATATGATAACCCATAAGGAATGCTAACAGCCACAATGAACACAATTGTGTTGGTCTTTACGACACTTATAGGTAACGTATGTAAACGTGGACAGAAATGTTGTGACGTTTTCCTGTCCATGCTACATACGTATTCTGAACATAATACCCTGTGACATCTGATTGTCTTGGTTTTTACAGGTAACAATGCTGTAGGGATAAGAATGAAAAGGTACAATATTTGATAAAGACATAACTTTCTTTAACAAACATTCTATCCATGTTACGTACGTAGCACAGTGAGCATAAATATCTTGTCAAATTTGCCTGGAAAGTCTTAAACTCTTTAAAAGCACAACCCTCAACAATGGGGTGGACACATGTACAAGTGGAAAATGGGACAAACAACTTGATATTATTACCCTGCTTCATTTCCCAATCCCATGTCACACTTTTGTACTCCTAGTGTGGAAAGGCCCATTTACCCAAAACAGTGCCCTATTGTGTCCGCCATATCTCAAATAGGCTAATTACAGCCTTAAACAATAATTGACTTAAAACAAGACAGGCACAGCTCTTCTGCTATTCTAAACAAAAGGCCTTCCTGTGCTATGGACACAAAACGGACGAATACAGGCACATTATCAGTTCGATGGAGAAATCACTCTGAACATTTTTGTAAAAAGCAATTGCCCCATTGACAGATTATTGAACAATGGCTTGCACAATATTTTCGCTTTGAAGGTTGCCTTCCTGATAGAATTAGTTGCACGGTAGGATCGGTTTGTTGGTTTAGTTCCATTGTCCATGTCCATTTATTCTTAACCCTACCAGACTCAACACTGTGCATCAGGTGTGTGGGACATTGGTGCAGTGAGCCATCAGTACCAATGCATTAACAGCCAATTCAGAAACTGCGAGAGCTACAATCCTGGCCAAATATCGCTGGGCCTCCAACCCCCCCCCCCCCCCGGCCCCCGTTTAATGTTGTCTCTCATTGCGCGGTGTGTGCTCCATCAGCTGGAGAGAACAACATTGACCGGGGGAGCGGGGGAGTGGGTGACCGTGGAAGGCTCAGGAAGTGTCCCAACCAATAATTTGGCCGGGATTGTAGTCCACATTATCCTGCTGCAGTTGGTGACTACAGACTCTGAGGCAGTCTGGCCTTTAGATATTTTTGACCTGATGGATCTTGCTACACATGAGCAGGCATTTCAAGTGTTGCATATGGCTGTGTTCAGCAGGGTTTCTGGTTAGGCTTAAAGACTCATTCAGCAACCACAGTTAGAAAAGACATAACTGAGGTGAAAACACCTAGGCACGTATCGCAGTATGTTCCTAAATTTGAGGTGCGAGTGCAAATTAATGAACATGCCTTTGGTCAAAGAAGCAGTTTGATGTGCAGCGTTCTCTCAAGCATGGCACATGAGCAGCAGAATTGTCAATTTGGTTTTGGCAAGTTAGTTCCTAGCCAATACTTGACAACCATTTTTATTGTGCCACCATTGCCAAACTCGAGAACACAAATAAGCTTCCTCCCCTGTTGGCAAAATGTACACAGGCGGCCCTTAGTAATGTAAATTAATGGGAGTTTTCTTGCAGAGAAAATAAACTGCTGCTTTGTTTTTGTCAAGGTAACTATTCTGGACAACTGAGACTAGTCTGTTTCTTGAATCTGCCAGAAGTTACTAGAAGTATCTGGAAGGCACTAGAGGTAGTGATAAAAGTATCTAGACATGTTTGCAGGGCTCTCGGTACCTCTTCATGACCCTTTCAGCAATGTGTTCCTGTAGGAAATAATTGTGCCAATGCCTATGTGTAATGTGCTTTAACTAGCTACTAGTGTTTTATTAACACTAAGTAATGTGTTCTAATTAGCTGCTAGTGTTTTTAACACTAGGTAATGTGTTCTAACTAGCTGCTAGTGTTTTTAACACACTCAGAAGTACATGTAATGTGTTCTAACTGGTTATTCGTGTTTCTCACACACTAAATACATGTTATGTGTTCTAACTCGCTATTCGTGTTTCTCACGTACTAAGTAATGTGTTCTAACTAGCTACTAGTTTTTCTTGCACACTGTAATGTGTTCTAAATAGCTATAGTGTTTCTCGCACACTAAATTAATGTGTTCTAACTGGCTGTTAGTGTTTCTCACACACTAAGTGATGCGTTCTAAGTAGCCATTAGTGTTTCTCACACACTAAGCCGAGTAACATCTTAAGCTCTTCTCTGACAACTTCCATGGGCATGTGAACATTGTTTGTTTTTGGGTAAGCTAGATTGATGTCCCACAGTGGTAAGAACCACACGCCTATGCCGTGGAAGGTTTCTTGGTTAATCAAGCCCACCTGCCAGATGAGATAATCACTTCCATAAATAATGGCAGAGGAGGTCTTATGATTCCTAGGATGCGGTCCCTTGACGACAATTGGCACATCCGGACACCTCTTACGGAAGCGAATGACCGCCTCTCGTATCAGCTTAGTCCTGGTAAGGTAGCTGTGATGGGTCCACTGTGTGAAGTGAGCCCAGGGACTGATCACAACGATGTAATTGCATGCCGGGTCGTCCAACCCATCGAAGACATCCACCTCAAACATGGTGTCTTTGACGTCCACGGCGTAGCTGGCCAGAACGTGGGGGTGGATCTGGAACCACATGGTTAGGTTGAGTTCCTCATAGACCCGGACCATATGGCAGCAGTATATGTCACCAGGCGGCTTAACCCCACGGACACCAATCAGCCTACTCAGAGCAGTGAACCACTGCCTGGTGGTAGAGTCCCCAAGGAGCACAAGTCGCTTGTTCTGTAGGCACTGTCCCAGTTGCTTCTTTTCCAACCAGTCCGTCCTCATGGCGCAGAGTAAGGAGTGCCACACACCGTCCTTCCAGTATCCTTGGAATTTCGGAATGGGCTGGTCAGGACGACAGCGTGGTAAATCCTTCCTGACCAATTCACCGGTTCCTTCAAAAACAAAAATCAGTTACATGAATGGGATTGGATGCAGAGATGTGGGTATACCTCCCCCAAAAAAAATTAAGATAAAAGAAAAATTAACAAAACACTATAACAAGTCAAATCAAATCAACTACCTTCTTTTTAGTGGATGTCCAGAAAGAAGGTGACTAGTTTTAATTCACTGAATACATACGAATACCTAGTAACCTTTTGTTGGCCGTTGAATAATGAAAATTGGCTTAAAACAATACACTGTATTCACAAGCAGCCTCGTTTCCAAAGACAAAGTATTTGCACAACTACCCTCTGCCAAAAAGTGATATTTTAAAACTGTCATCAATCATTCTTAATTTCATAGAGACGTCAAATGCTTGAAAGAGGAGGCTTTTGTCAGAACTAATGTATACATGAAGGTTACAACTGCACTATCTTCGCTGCCATTAAAAATGCTGTCTCCATGCTATTTTCGACTTTCCACCCCCCCCCCCCAAGATATTGTCAATCTTCTAGCACTGCAAAAGTGATTCACCTCTAAATTAATGAGACAGCAAACGAAGCAGTCCACCCTTGTTCAGTTAAATTACTACTCTATACATTTTCATTTTTTGGCGGCCAACAATAATCAAGTGGGATCTCGCAAAAGTAACCCCCCAAAACAGGACCGCTCGCTGAGGGTTGCAGGGAAAAACAGTCTTTTTGTTTTTCGCAAACATAATACACACAAATTGAAAGTTCTTTAGGAGAATAACGCTGGAGTTGTTGGCCAGCACGGGAGAGCGTCTTTAAAATGTGCCACCAGAAACTGGAAATAAAAGTAGCCTCCCTAGACCCTTGTTTTTTTTCCTGAAGGACCACTCTGTAAAATCTTTCCAAATCTTACTGTGACCATTTTTTCTCTAGTTCCTGAATAAAATGCGCACCTTTAATTGTCAAGTTGGAGGAGCATACGGGAGTGTAGGAGGAGTTGGAGGAGCATGATACCGGAGTGTAGCTGTTGGGACTGTACACAAAAAATGTACATGAACAGACAGGATTATTAAAATACATTAAAAGAGCACAATGAAATTAAAGAGATCAATGCTGCTTTCTAATAAGGTCTGAAAGATAAAGCCGTGATGCAGGATTGGTAAGCTTTTAAATTAGTAGTTTTCAAACACGTTCTTGTAAATGGATCGATAACGGTCGATGCTTTTGCACGCAAGGTGTAACCAAAAACCTTTCGTTATAACCAAGACTCTGTACTACCTGAATTCGTCTTTAGCACTATTCTCCCCATAGAAATGTATAAATGTGTGTAATTTTCCCGGAATTTCGCCCTATCCGATTTCGTACTAGCAGAAGTCGACTGTAAATGAATTGTGTCAAAAAGTTATAATTTAAGGTAGACTACTTGCACACCGTCCTTGACGTAAAAACACATAATTCTAATTAACAACAGAGAAGAATGCCGTAGAAACAGCCCATATGCTTCTCACCACAAGGAAATTTAGAAAACCAAATTATGATTATAAGAAAACATTGCCAGCACACTCTCGCAAAAAGAAGTCCGGCCATCACTGTATACAAAACCTCATTGGCCGGGGGTTTGGGGCGTAAACATTATCAGTCAGCTGATCACACTCAATTGACTTCGGCAAAACCGCAACGTCCGCAAGTCCCATCATAAAGAATAAGTTAACCAGACCATTTTTTCCAAGAGTGTGTTCTAATGAAACGACTTATTTCCGAAGACCCGATTATGGAAATATTTGAACACAGCTGGTTACAGCTTATCTAATGCTTTGAAAAATGCTTATCTTATGCTTTGAATCAGCTTTGAGATGTCCGGGATGCTGCACCCAAGCATGGAATATTTTTCCCCTACAAATTAAAGTGTTTTTTTTTGTAATGATTTTGCTGATACCATGACAAAATATGATTAGGAAAGGTTTACTTCATATTTATTTTTTATTGTACGTACCTGGCAAAAAGATAGGTCACGTTCTTTGTAAGTCTGGACACACTGCCTTCTATTCTAGCACCGTGGCCTTTCATGCGGTAGAGGGTCTCACACGGCACATTATCTTTATTCTCGCACACCAGCCTCGTATCCCCCATCGCTTTAGGATGTTCATACTCACATAAACCCGTCCAGTTGCCGGGGCCCCTGAAGTTACAACCGGTTCGCGGCCACTTTTCGTCCGTGACGTTGTCTGGGTGGTAAAAGCCAATGAAAGACACCCTATCCTTAGCAGGCCACACCACATTCCTGAGATGGTTTACCGCCTCGCCGGTGTGCACCAGGGTGAGGTTCAGGTTGGCTTTCCCGGCCCAGGCAGCTACCGTGAAGAGATCATAGGAACCGTTGCAGTGGTCTACTACGAAGCAACCGCAGCTCGCCTCAGGTTCACCTCTGGCAGACGCCAGTACGGCGAACCAGAAGTTCCCACCGGACACGCAGTGACGGTCCAGGGCGAGGTTGGACTCGATCCGGTAGTGGATGGTATCGCCTAACGTTACATTGTCCCATGGTGGGGACACCAGCGTGACGTTAGGTTCAACGAAGGTCCTCTTGCATTTGTTCCACGGTTTGGGACTGGAGTGGTTGGTAACCGGCCCGAAGCAGACCTTGCCTCTCTCATCCGCATCAGCGTTGCGATCAGCTGAGGTTTTTGAATGATGAGATCTTCTTTTTGGAGGAGATGCTATTCGCTTGGGAGGAGGAGGGTAGTGGGGATGATGCTTCACTTGAGGATTTTCATCTGCAATCTGAACAACCAACATGGTAATGAAACTGTACAGTAATTCTGTTATGCCTCAACTTACTAAAGCAAATGGTCCCAACTCACGGTAGTTGGGAAGATGCGATAGTCTATGGTACACATTTTAACACATGTCATTACAGATTAACCGCCGATATGTGAATAACTGGAAATGTATTCAACTCGAGTGTCAACTGATCTGGACACCACTTGAAATCTTCCACGCCCTCAAATTGTTCCCTGCAGATTTTGTGATGGTCTAAGAAAACAACCTCTCTCCCGGATTTTTTTTTTTTAAACGGTATAACATTTAACCTGAAGGCGCGGCCAGAAACAGCTTGTTTCTTATTAGGCGTGATAGGGAGAATTTCAACTGCTTAATTACAAACAAAATCACGAGCAAACTTGCCTGCAGCCCCTTTGCTAACGAAACATATCAGAGGAATCCCCATTATTTACGGTAAAGGTACTTATTAATAAAAATACAATGTACTAAAAAATGGAATGTACTCTCTTCTTGCCCGTTGTCTCTTGGCTGCTGCAACCTCTCGGCCTGAGGAGAGAGTTGCTTCAGAGAGTCCCATGCAGCCTCCTTCAAGACTGCGACTGGAACCATCAATGACCAGGTTCTTTTTATGTCGTGTGACGTGTGCAGCTATAATGTCAGATCAAGTTTTGACATCCAGGCCGCACCAGGGTGGCATACCTTTTGCTTGGTGGATGGCCTTAATACCGCTCAATCGTCTCAGAGGACAGTCATTCATAATATGAGGGATGGTCTGGTCTGGGTGCACACAGTCGCAGGAGGGGTTATCCCTCATCCTCCATTATAGGTGGTGGGCAGTTCTTGCACGAAGGGTACGGATCCTATTTAGAGTCACCCAATGTTTACAATGCTGGTTGAAGCCATGCAGGTGGCTCCGATGTAGGATCTGAAAAGGAGCTCTCTGTTGGCAATGTTGACATCTGTCCACTCTGACTTTGGGTCGAAGTTGGTGTCGTCAAGGGACTTGGCTGAGAACCAAAAGGGTTTGCGGGATTTCAGGCGCATCTTGGACAGGGACAGCTTCACCAGTTTGCATCCTTCTCACGCCTCACCGCACCCATCCTTAAAACATCGCATCATCGTTGGAATCCCTTATTCTCCTGACGACGGGCAGAGCATACTGTTCGAAACGTTGAGTCCCTCCGGTTCTTTTTCAGAACCACACTTACTCACAAAAGAGATTTATTCACATGGTGCTACCGCAAACTTATCTTGTCTTAGTATCTTTCCACCATGCAAACCTTCAAATCTCATATGTGAGATGCACAGCAAAGAAATGACGTTGAGCTTTACTTCCAGCTGCGAACAGATAACTGAGTGCCATCCGCGCCAGTCGATGTTCATATGACACCGGTATCTATCATTAAAGTTGTACGAGGGTCTCTGGTATTAAAGAATAGGATCCTTTTTGTTTAATTATTGTCCTTTTGATTCATATTTTTGGAAAAAGGTTGATTGAATGGTTAACGTAAATTTGTAAAGTCAATGTTTTCTTTCGGAATTTTCTGTTATGTTTAATTATAATTATTTATGACCCAATTTTCTGTTATGTTTAATTATAATTATTTATGACCCAGATCTTTTTGTTTACTATGTATTTTTCTTGGGTAAACAGTACATTTATAAATGTAAGTATGAAGAGAAGCCTCCCCAAATCAATCATGTTATGAGTTTAGTAAGAATGAAGGGAAGAATTGAATTTTATATTGCAATTAGAAGGGATAAATTAGCTACCCGTCAAAGAAAGTGCAACTGCCATTTCCGAATTGTGTGATCATAATTTCAATTTATTTGTTTTATAATTATCATTGCACTGATGATTTTTTTTTAACATATAAAAGGATCATTTGCACTTATATCAAAAGTAACCTAACTAATATCTGTCGCAAAACTTACTTAGATTAAAGATATAGTCCATCATTTGTAATTTGTGCATTTTGTTCGTTTCAAGCAACACAAGTGTTCAAAATCTAACGAAACCTAACTAATATCTGTCGCAAAACTAACTTAGATTAAAGATATAGTCCATCATTTGTAATTTGTGCATTTTGTTCGTTTCAAGCAACACAAGTGTTCAAAATCTAATGAAGGATACTGAACAACTAAGGGTTGAAGTTTCAGCTCAGCTTCAGCTGTATATTCCGAGAAAAACAGCATTCTAGGATCTCAATTTCAAATCAAAAGTTACTGAATCATGTTTTGAATTGTTTTGAATTGCAGCGCGCACTGATCCGACGAATTATAGCAACCGCGCGCGCGTGTGCGTCGTGCCAATGCTTGCGCGCGCTTCGCCGAATAACGAAACGAACTACTAATTTAAATTTTCCTATGGTGCGTCTTAAAGGTATAGTCCATCATTTGCAGCCATCCGAAAAGTAACTGGCGTAATTATTGTTGAAAAACATACTTGGTTGAAAGATAGTAAGGGGACTAAACTCCCTGTGAAATTATTCTTTCTGGCAAGCTGTCATTTTGAAGTTATCAACGAAAGAAGGCATTTCCAACGGTGATTCTTAAGAAGCACCGTAGGAAAATTTAAATTAGTAGTTCGTTTTGTTATTCAGCGCAGCGCGCACAAGTATTGGAACGACGCACACGCGCGCGCGGTTGTTATAATTCGTCGGATCAGTGCGCGACGTCGCGTATAGCTGCAATTCAAAACAATTCAAAACATGATTCAGTAACTTTGGATTTGAAATTGAGATCTTAGAATGCTGTTTTGCTCGGAATGTACAGCTGAAGCTTAGCTGAAACTTCATCAGGTTAGTTGCTCAGTATCCTTCATTAGATTTTGAACTCTTTTGTTGCTTCAAACGAACAAAATACACAAATTACAAATGATGGACTGTAGCTTTAAGACGCACCATTGGAAAGGCCTTCTTTCGTTGATTACTTCATATTAACAGCTTCCCAGAAAGAATAGTTTCACAGGGAGTTTAGTCCCCTTACTATCTTTCAACCAAGTTTGTTTTTCAACAATAATTACGCCAGTTACTTTTCGGATGGCTGCAAATGATGGACTATAGCTTTAATAATCGTCGTAACTGGTACTAAACACCAGGGTTGTTTTTTTTCAGTCTGGCTTGGTGTCATTTAGAAAAAATCAAGAAATGTACTATATGTAAGTGATTTATTGTAGGAAACAAAGAGTGCTAGTGACGAAATCGTGTTTCGTGATCAAAAGATTGTGCATACAGTTTTTCACTGTTTTCTAGAAAAAAAGAAAATAATGTGTAATATCCACAGTGCTGAAACTTCAACAGGATATTGTGGCGCAATAGCAGTTTGGTGGTAGCCAGGGGCTATCGTAGTTGTAGAGTAGACAACGACCTAGACGTCAGCCAGGGCTGATGCGCGTAATGCGCCGCGGCACCAGTCTATTTGCCGCGTGGCTATAAAAGCGCGAGCGCGTGTTCAGTGCGGGAGTTCCGTTGCAGTACCGTTCCAGTCCCGTACCAGAGTAGTGAGACACGGGTGACCAGTAGCGCGTCGCAGTTGCTGAGCGTGTTTATTCAGTCCCTCGCCCGTGCAGATTAGCGGTAGTAGGCAGCTGTGTCCGTAAGTGAGGCTCTTACTGGGATAAGTTTAGCGGGGGCTTGTTCGGTCAGTTGAAGAGGGGAGGAACTCCGTCCACGGGAATAGGTAGCGAGGCCGTAGTGGTGAGTGGACGTTAACTTAGTGTGGAAGATTTATAACCTGTACAGGGAACTCGCACCTGTTTAGGAAACTCACACCTGTTTAGGAAACTCGCACCTGTTAAGGAAACCCGCACCTGTTTAGGGGAGGCACCTGGGAAGGTGATCAACACCTGTCAAGGTCTAGAGATGATTTGCAGTCTGTCTGAGTAGATTATAATAAAGGAATGTCAACCTAAAGAGAAGGGTCCCGTGTTTGATTTGGAGGTGCCCCGTTTCCCTTCCCCTGCCCTGTTCCCGTGTGTGCTGGCGCGAGAGCTGCTGGCGTAAGAACCGCCCGCGAATAAAGTTGTTCCCCTGCTGCGCCTGGCGGTAGACTGCCCCAAAACGGGCCTGCTCCCTTGGCCTTCTCAGAATTGACCGCTCGCTGACGTCGGCCGAGGACGACTCGGGGTTGCTGTCGGCGCGACCGCCACAAATGGTGTCAGAAGTGGGATAGGCGTCGTAGGTAGAACAACTAGTATTTAGCCATGGATCAGCACTCGATGGAAGGAAGGGGACTGCTGCCGATGGATGACGTGGTGGTAGGTGCCGAAGGAGAATCCACGGAACTTCAGAGCTACAGGGAGGAAACAAGTCGGTTGGCAGATTTGGTATTGCAGCTACAGGCGGAGGTGCGTGAGCTGAGAGTTGCGGGAACTGGGGAACATAGGCGGCAGAACTGGACAGTACCAGAATTTCAGGATACGCCGAACACTTCGATGTTTACACATTTCAGCGGACGAGAGGAACATTCGCCGTTCAATCCATTCACTCCGAAACCTACACCCAAGCCTCGGACTAAATTAAGCAGAACACCTGTTGCACCAGCAAACTCTCCGGTGACAACGAGATCAACAATTGAGGGTACACTCAGCGCCAAGTCCAGCGACTGCACGCCGGCTACGGTTGAGGAGAAAAAGACATGCACACCGTCATCAGTGAGTGTGGATCAACCAGCTGAAGGTGCCAAAGAAGAGTTGGGGGAAGGCAAGGCTGCGCCTGCCGTAAAGGTGCGCCAGGAGGTGAAGACGAAGCGGCCGAACATCACACCGGACCGGTTTAACGGGAAAACTCCATGGCGTGATTTCCTGCAACACTTCGAGGCGTGTAGACTGGCGAACGATTGGTCAGACGGACAGGCGAAGATTTTTCTGGCAGCAAGTTTGCAGGGGATTGCAGTCAAGGTGCTAGGGAGTCAACAGGCTGGAGGGAAAGATGTGAGTTACAGTCAACTCGTGCGCCTTCTAGAGGAGCGTTTTGGGCCAGGCCAGCTGGCGGAGAACCACCTGGTGGAGTTGCGCCACAGGCGGCAAGGTGCAAAAGAGACGCTTCAGGAGCTAGGGCAGGCGATTCGAGAACTGTCGGGACTAGCTTACCCTGAGCTGACAGATGAAGGAAGAGACAGATTGGCGAGGGGACATTTCTCTGACGCCGTAGAGGATCAATCGACCCGCGAAGGGATCTTTCGCGCAAGGCCAAGGACCTTGGAAGAAGCGATTCGAGCAGCAATTGCCACTGAAGGATTTCTAAAGGTTGAAGAGCAGAGGGCGGGACGGATTAAGCCGAAGTACGCGAGAGTGCTTGGTGACGAGTGTGAGCCTTTGTGGCAGAAGTTTCAAGCAGATATCTTCGAGAAGCAGAAGAGCATGGAAGAGGCCATTACAGAAAGCCGGAAGGAGATGAAGGCGCTGATGGAGCAGATAGCGAGGGGCGGAAATGGGCCTACGAAGCAAGAGCGGCCGGAGAATGGACGTGATACTTACCAACGAGCAAGGCGAGAACCTGCACCAGGCGACATCTGCTTTAGGTGCCGAGAACCAGGACACTTCGCCAGAAACTGTAGGCGCCCGTATGGAGACAAGACTAAGAAGTCGGGAAACGAGTCGCAGCTTACCCCGCGGCCCGGGGGCGAGCTGGGGGACAACCACCAGGGCCGAGAGGGGAAGATGGTGGAGAACCCCAAGCACTAGAGCGCGGGGAGGAGAAAAGTTCTGGGGCGAGTCGGATGATTCAAGCCCAGAGTGGATTGTTTGTTCCGGTGACTGTCAGAGGCTATAAAGCGAGTTTGTTGGTGGATACGGGGGCTACAAGTACGTTTCTCTCATCCACTTTGTTTTATAAGATGGCGCCTGAGGATAGACCACCTTTGAGCAATACGGGACCGAAGGTTAAGAGTGCAGACGGGACTCCACTGGAGAGCATTGGTAGAGCGTGGGTCGAATTACGCGTGGGTAAAACTACCTATCCAGTAGTAGCCACATTTGGTAAGCTTGACACCTTGGAAGGGATCCTGGGAATGGACTTCTTACTTCCGACTGGCGGAAACCT